AAAAAATGTGGCTATCTCTTGGTTGAAATGTGTCAAGAGCTTGAAAAGCAGTTGAAGTCAATGAGTAAGGCAAAAGAATTGGAAACAAAGACTTTGGGCTTGTCTATGTGGTGCAGCAATGCACACTATGGGGATGTGATTTCTAAAGCGGACTAGTAGTGTGCACTAAGGGACTTTTAGTGTGCACCAGCAGAGCCCACCCAGACCAATTAGTGCGCAACACATTCTGCTTTAGAAATCACATTCCTGTAGTGCTGATTGCTGCTCTGTGTAGACATGCCCTCAGAGTGCTTTTTTTGTGGCTTAGCTTAATCCTCTCTAAAGTAGACTAAGGCCCTGGTATAAGCCAAAAAATTAGGTCGAAGGAAGCCGCCTTAAGTCGACCTGTTAATGTATGTGTCTACACTACCGGGTCCTTTATGCTGACCTAAATTGCCTCTAATGTCGACTTCTGTAGTCCACCTTTGCAAGAGGTGTAGCCCTTAATTCAATTTTCATGGGTCAGCTGTGAGATAGTTCAGATATAGTGTCGTGTAATTCAACTTAATTGGCCTCCAGGTGGTGTTCCACAAAGCTCATCTGTGACCACTCTGGAGATCATTTTCAATTCTGCTGCACTGCAGCCAGGTACACAGGAAACAGCCCTTCCCCTGCTAAAACCCTGGGAATTTTTGATTTTCCATTTCCTGTTTGATCAGCATTGGGAGCATGCCAGCTTCAGTACAGCTGATCATAGAGACTACACGCCCCAAACGTGCTTCTGCTTGTTCTGCACAGGAGGTGGTGGATCTCATTGCTGTGTGGGGAGAAGAGTCTGTGCAAGCAGAGCTCCGATCCATCAGAAGAAAAGCTAACATCTGTGCAAAGATCGCTCGTGGAATGGGGGGGGACACGCAGCAGTTCTGTGTGAAAATAAAATAACTTCGCCAAGCGTACCAGAAGGCAAAGGAGGCGAACAGTTGTTCTGGTGCTGAGCCCCACACATGCCAGTTCTTCAATGAGCTGCATGTGATTCTCTCAGCACCCCCACAAGCAACGTGGACACCTGTCAAGGTTCCTCCCCCACTCTGAACGCTAGGGTACAGATGTGGGGACCTGCATGAAAACCTCCTAAGCTTATCTTTACCAGCTTAGGTCAAAACTTCCCCAAGGTACAAAATATTCCACCCTTTGTGCTTGGATTGGCCGCTACCACCACCAAACAAATACTGGTTACTGGGGAAGAGCTGTTTGGAAACGTCTTTCCCCCCAAATACTTCCCAAAACCTTGCACCCCACTTCCTGGACAAGGTTTGGTAAAAAGCCTCACCAATTTGCCTAGGTGACTACAGACCCAGACCCTTGGATCTTAAGAACAATGAACAATCCTCCCAACACTTGCACCCCCCCCCTTTCCTGGGAAATGTTGCATAAAGAGCCTCACCTATTTGCATAGGTGACCACAGACCCAAACCCTTGGATCTGAGAACAATGAAAAAGCATTCAGTTTTCTTACAAGAAGACTTTTAATAGAAATAGGAGTAAATAAAAGTAAAGAAATCCCCTCTGTAAAATCAGGATGGTAGATGCCTTACAGGGTAATTAGATTCAAAACATAGAGAACGCCTCTAGGCAAAACCTTAAGTTACAAAAAAGATACACAGACAGAAATAGTTATTCTATTCAGCACAATTCTTTTCTCAGCCATTTAAAGAAATCATAATCTAACACATACCTAGCTAGATTACTTACTAAAAGTTCTAAGACTCCATTCCTGGTCTATCCCCAGCAAAAACAGCATATAGACAGACCCTTTGTTTCTCTCCCTCCTCCCAGCTTTTGAAAGTATCTTGTCTCCTCATTGGTCATTTTGGTCAGGTGCCAGCGAGGTTACCTTTGGCTTCTTAACCCTTTACAGGTGAGAGGAGTTTTCCTCTGGCCAGGAGGGATTTTAAAGGGGTTTACCCTTCCCTTTATATTTATGACAACACCTCACAGGTGTAAGAGTCTAGGGACAACAAGGAGGATTATATGGTGGAGGAGGAAAATGGGAGACAGGCGAGCGATGGATCCATTCTCCCCGAGAGCCAGGAAATATTTTTAACCCTAAAGCCCTGTGGGTTGCAGGACATCACTGTGGCTGACCATGATGCCAGGGAAGGCACCTCTGGTGAGTATACAATCAAAGTCCAGTTAAACTTTAGCAGGCCCACACATTTGATGCTATTGCATGTTTACTGTGAAGAAAAAGCTCTCTGCTTACAAGAGGCCGCTCCAGCTATGCAAAGGGTGGCCCCCAGAAAAGACTGTTTATGTGGACTGGGATAGCCCAGGAATCCTCCGTGGATATCTTTAGGAAACTTTCATGGAGGTACTCTGCGATCCTTTGCAGAAGGTTTCTGGGCAGGGCAGTCTTATTTCTTCCACCATGGTAGGGCACTTTCCCACGCAACTTCTGAATTAATTCTGCTGGCATCGTTGCAGTACACAGCATAGCAGCATAAGGACCGGGTCTTGCAGCATCTCCTTCCTTTCCACCTCTTTTACCCTCAAGAGACTGATCTCACAGAAGGTGCCCATTCACAGACCTTTGATGATCTGGAATGTGGTGTTGTATTACACAGCTGAAAATGTTTCTCCCATTCCAACTTTACAACCCCTTTTCCCCAAGGTTACCTTTTTTTTCTGTTCTCCCTCTTTACTTATGTTTGTTAAATAAAGTAAATGGATTCGAGAAATAAATGTTCTTTATTGAGTAGAAGCAGTGGGCTTGGGCAGGGGGTTGGCTTTACAGGGACAGTGATACAAGCCAGGTGAAGGTTTGGGAAAGCACAATGTAGACAAGCAGCTCACATTACTGTGACTCATTATTGAAACAGCTTTTCAAAGCCTCGCAGCACCCCTTGCTGGGCTCTTCTTATTGCCTTGGTGTCTGGCGGCTCAAAAATGGGTGCCATGCCATCTGTCTCAAGTGCCCATCCCTGCAGAAAATTTTCCCCCTCTTTTTCCCCATAGATATTATGGAGCACACAGCAGACAGCTATAACTATGGGGATGTTGTCTTCACTAAGGTCCAACTTTGTTAGTAAACTTCTCCAGCGCCCTTTTAAATGACCAAAGGCACATTCAACCGCCATTCTGCATTTGCTGAGCCTATAGTTCAACCGTTCCTTACTGCTGTCCAGATGGCCAGTGCATGGCTTCATAAGCCATGGGAGCAAGGGCTAGGCTGGGCTCCCCAGGATAACTATAGGCTTCTCAACATCTTCAATGTACGTTTTGTGGTCTGGAAAGAAAATCCCAGATTGCAGCTTTTTGAACAGACCCAAGTTCCTAAAGATGCACTCGTCATGAACCTTCCCCGACCATCCTACGCTGACATTGGTGAAACAGCACTTGTGATCCACCAGCGCTTGCAACACTTTGAAAAGTATCCCTTTTGGTTTATGTACTCCTTGGCAAGGTGGTCTAGTGCCAAGATGGTGATATGTGTGCCATCTATCACCCCATCGCAATTAAGGAACCCCATTGCAGCAAAACCATCCACTATGTCCTGCACATTTCCCAGACTCACTACCCTTCATAGCAGAAGTCGATTAATGGCCCTGTACGCTTGGAGCACAGTAGCTTCCATGGTTAATTTACCTACTCCAAACTGATTCCCCACTAACCAGTAACTGTCCGGCGTTGCATGCATCCAAATCGCAATCCCCACTAACTCTCCACTGTCAGAGCAGCTCTCATTTTTGTGTTGCTGAACTGCAGGTAAGGGGAAAGCTCTGCACAAAGTTCCTGGAAGGTGGCCTTCTGCATTCGAAAGTTCTGCAGCCTCTATTCGTCATCCCATACCTGCAAAACAATGCAGTCCCACCAGTCAGTGCTTGTTTCATGGGACCAGAAATGGCGCTCAATAGAGTGCAGCTGGTCTGTGACTGCCAGCAGCAACTGTGAATTGTTTCTTTCAATGGCTTGCAACAGGGCTGATAGCAGAACATAGCTATGTTCTGCACGGCGGACCCTACTTCAGCTCTGGAAATTCTGCAGGAGAAGGCGCAAGGTGTTTGAGTTGCTCACACCGAGCAGGCTCCATGTTTCTGGGGTTATGGCATATGCGTGGCAATTTTAAGGCACGAAAACCACTGGGTTGTTTGCCATTGATATGAGGGAGGGAGCCCAGTGCATCATGGGATGCTGACGCAATGTTCCCATTCTCTCCTGCGACAATGTTTTGGTCCCATGAAGCATTGCACAAACTTCCCAAAACACACTGCAGCAAGTTGCACTTTGGGATAGCTAACCACAATGCACTGCTTTGTGCATTGATGCAGGCACTGCTAGTGAGGATGCACTCCATTGAGACAATGAGCATGGTGTGGCCATGCACAATCAACTTAATTAATTTGGTTGAATTAGATAAAGTCAACTTAATTTTGTAGTGTAGACAGGCCCTAAGATAAACCAGACAAAGGGGTTCTCAGTGCAATTGCAGTGTCCACATGGAGAGTTAGTGCAGAATAAATATTGTGTTTTAAATTCACACCATAACTTCCATGTGGAAAAAGCCCTGAGGGGAACAATGAATGGGGGAGATAAAACAGGTTGAGGGTATGGATGGGGGAAAAAGTAGCAAAGGCCCATCTCTCCCAGAAGTTAACAAAGTTATAACACTGTAGATTATGTTTAAGAAAAGTGGTTATGTTGCTGGGATCTGTTAGATTTGCTTTTGGGAAGCAAAAAATGAATTAATCACAAAATGAATTTCTGTTGTAACTGCGGTTGCTCATTAGAATTCAAAGTAAAATATTGATATAATATCTCATGCATCCTGTATGAAGGGATTTTTTTACTGCATGCTTATAGTGGGATGGACTACGTACTAAGTCTCTTCTAGACTACAATCCTAAAAGTCTTCAGTGAGACTATTGTATCTGTTGCTTTCTATTCAGGTGTTTTTTGGGTTTTGTTTTTGCCAATGACGATGATTCAGTGTGTTTGATTTGTTTTCTTTCCTTTGTCTTTAGGAATGTCTGAAAGTCAGGGGACAAACAATGGAAGCCACACCAGCAAGATTGGTTCCAACAGTGGCAGCTCTGCTGTGTGCTTTGGGCAGGTCAGTCTCTCTTCATCTAGAACAGAGCTGGAAGTCTTCCTCTTGCACTTCAGGAAATATCACAAATCACTTAATTGTTTTTAATGCATAACATACCTGTCATCATAACCATGATAATCTTCATCCTCATTACATTTTCCCCTGCTGGTGGCAGAGCTGTCTCTCCAACACTACTAGCTTTTATCTGAATTACTTGGAGAAAGGGCCTTGAATTATTTTTTAAAGGACAGGACGAATGTTTTTCTTTCTCTGATGAACTGGACTGTGTCGTGGAGTAGGTATACCCCATTATGGGGCACTGGGTTGTGGGGAGATCAAAGCAGAGATTTTAGCAGCCCAAGTAGCTTGGCCTCCCATGTCACCACAGCTGCTCTGGCCCCTAGGATAATGTAGCCCAATGGCCAGAGTCCCCAAGGCTGTCCTTTTGTTCAGGGCTGCTCGACCTCATGGCCCGAGTCTTTCTAGCAGCCCTGTAGCTCAGAGCAACATGGCCCAATGGCTAAGGTCAGTGGGGCAGGCATTCTGCTGCACGGTTCGCCCCTCTGGGCATCAGCTGCCCCACTGGTAGGGCAGCCAGCGTAGGGGGACCCAGGCCCACCCTGCTCCACTGGGTCCCAACCCAGGACTAGGAAACAGTGCTTCCACAATCAGTCTTGGTCACCCAGTACCTTAGTCCTGATCCCTGGGTTGCTTCCTACGCTTACTTCCAAGTCTGGTAGTCTTGTGGCCTCTGTTGTCTCTCCTCTGTCGGCAGCGGTGGTCAGCTGGGGGTCTGCTGGAGCCTTAACCCAACTGGCTTCCAGATCTTGGTTGTGTGGCTGTAATATTTGGTTCATTGGTCACTGAAAAGTGGCTGCGGCTCCATGCTGCCCAAACGGCATCATGATAAATTGGTATAAGCCAAACAGGGTAGGGAAGGCAGCCTTCTCACAGGAGGCCAGTGTCAGGGGTATTCGCCAGTACCCCTTAGATGTGATGTTGAGATGAACTAAGCACTACCCAGCCACACGAGGAGTTCATCTACCTGAAGCTTTGGGTAGGTGTCGGTCCAGGAAATAGCATTAACTTTCCTGAAATCGATACAAAATCTGATGGCACTAACAAGCTTTGGGACCAGTACTATCGGGTTCCGCCACTCTCTCTGAGATTCCTCTACTACCCTTAGGGACAGCTTAGTTTGCAGTTCTTTTTGGATGGCTCTCGCCATCCTCTTAAGGAGTGGTCGGTGGTTATTTCGTGCCTTCTGACCTAGGATGGTGATAATACGGCGACTCCTCAGGCTAGTCTGTCCCGGGAAGGTCACTCAGTCACCTTGTGTCAGGGTTTGTCATAGTTGCTGGTGGCCTGGGTTGGCAGCAGAGGTTCTTACATTGGCCTTTTGTGGTCCCCACTTGGCTGGATGACCCCAGTTTCCTGGGCTCCCTGCTCTACAGGCTTGCTGCTCTGACCCTCAGCGATCATGAAGTCTTCCAATAAGAAGACAAGTTCAGCAAGGGTTGCCGGACAGTGCCATTGCACCCATTCCTTCCCCCAGCGGGTAGGATCTGGGTAAACTGCTCCAGTGCCACCATCTCCACCACTTGGATTCTGGTCCATTTCTCTGATTCCAGTTACCACCAGCGGTAGTCCCAGAGTTGCTGGGCTGTGGCCTGGCCCTGGGCAGGGACTATTTGCAGTAGAGTCGTTGGCAGTACATCTCAGGACTGACACCAGCCTGGTCCAGGGTGGCTGCCTTCACTTTGTTGTATCGCAGTGCCTGATGGGGGTGTAAGTTCTGGTAAGCGATTTGGGCTGGGCCAGTTAAGTACAGTGCCAGGAGGGTAGCCCACTGTACTGGTGGCCACTGTGGCTGGCGACCTGTTTGAATGTCACAAAGGTCTCAGGGTCGTCACTGGGCCCCATCTTAGTCACATGCACTGTGTGCAGCATGGCCCAGTGGTCAGAGTCAATGCAGCCCGCCCTTCAGTGCGGCCCAGTGGCCAGAGTCCACAAGGCTGTCCTGTTGTTCAGGGCAGTTTGGCCTAATAGCCTGGGTCTATCTAGCAGGCCTGTAGCTCAGGGCAGTATGGCCCAATGGCTACAGTCAGCAGTGCAGTTCGTCCCAGCGGGGCAGCTGGGGTAGGGGAACCCAGGCCCATCCATCGCAACTGGTCCCTTTTATACTACTCCCTTTTATACTCTGGTTCATCTGAAGCATGCCCAGCAGGGGCATGGAGGTGTGGCTTCCTCAGCCCACAGCGTGTGGTTAACCCTTTCTGAACCAATGCAGGGTAGGTACACCCCATCACAGACTGAATTTATCTTAATAGTGGATGACATGCCCCAGGCTTGCTTATAAAAACATGCATTCTCCTCTATTGGTGGAGAGAAGGTAGCTGTTTTCATTCAGCCATTGGAAGAAACCAATAGACAGAGTTTGTCTTTGGCCTTGCATGGTGAATTCTCCTATGCATGTCATTATTTCTTCAGTTAGCTAATGAATATGATGTCTGTATATATATGTACACAATGCTCTCTTTCCCTTTTGCCTGACGTTGTATATTTCTGTGTAACTGCCAGAAAAAGAAATGGACAGTTATTCCTAAAAAAAGTTAAATGGAACAATACATTGAAATATAAATGTTAAAACCTCATGATTGTATATTAGAATTTTTTTGTTTAAATTTCATGCTGTTTGCTTGAATTATATTGCCTGGCAGGATGGGGATTAGCACAGCTCTGAGGGTCCCTTAAAATTTCACTCTGAGTTCTGTTTTGCAGATGAATAGAGCAGCAAGATTGAGGATTAGTCAAGATTCCCTTTGGAGAAGACCAGCTCCCTTCCTTAGTTAGGTGGAAGTGTGGTGCTGTTGAGTAGAGAGAGACATCTACACTACTCTTCAGACTGGAGCTGGAATTTTCCTCACACACACCTATATCCGTGCAGAACAGGAACACTCACTCCACATTCCTGAACACATACTTAATGCTATCTGTATCTTTTGCAGAGTGTGTATAGATGATAACTAACATTTCTTCCAGTGCAATAAGTAGTGACACCTAGTTGATCTTCTGACTAATATGAGTGGTGCTGATAGAGATTCCCGCTATGCTTCATGCCCCTGCAGCCTGGACTGGACTTTGCACATGTTACAACTGCTGTAGGATTTCATAGGGATGGGAGCAAGGGTACTCTTTCAAACTGGTGTGCTTGGCTGAGTTCTATCACTTTGTAATTGGGATGTTTGCTGCTTGGGAGAATTGGAAAACAGTTGTATAGAATTTAACACAGATCATTGATCCATCTATTCTAGTTCCTTGTAAGAGCAAGCAATATCACCCCAGCATAATACACCTACCCCATGGAGCAAGGTAAATTCCTTCCTGAGCCCTTTGACTATCCTTTACATCCTGAAGCATGAGAGTTGAATACTCATCTTTTCCTGGAAGACTGCAATAAAGAAAAATAGGATGAGACAGGTGCAGGGGAGCTAATAGAGTGAAGAAACTAAAGCTGTCTGACTCTGTTTCTATTAAAGTACCGGTATACGGCAGCTGAATACCTGGCCATCCAGAATGCCCTGCGTCAGAGGCTGGGTCCGGAGTACATCAGCAGCCGGCAGGCTGGTGGAGGACAGAAGGTACAAACAAGTGTGTATGCAGAAACTTTGTGGGTAGGCAGTGGAAGACAGAGAATTCTTCACTATAAGAAACTGTCCCTAGCTCAGCCACTGATTTCTTGACACCTTTGGCAAGTCACTTAACTTCCTCCTTCAGTTTCTTCATCTTTTAAATGGAAATAATATTTACCTACTTCATAGGATGTTGGGCAGTAATAATTAATTGTTCAGTACTTTGAACATGTAAATCACTATATAAATGCTATGTATTGTGAGTAAATTATTTGGGTTTTTTTTCCCCTTTCTCTTGTGTTCGCTAAATCTACCTCTCTCAGTTGTGCCATCTTCTTCTGGAGATTGGGCTTGGCAGGGAAAAGTTCTTTTTTTCATTGTTTGCACACAGGCAGTCAAATGTTTCTTGAAATGAACAGTGTTTCTTAGTGCAGTACAGCTATGACTGTAAAGGACCTTTTAAAATTCACTCTTCCTCTTTTCAGGTTTGTTATATTGAGGGTCACAGGGTCATCAGTCTGGCCAATGAGATGTTTGGCTACAATGGCTGGGCTCATTCGGTCACTCAGCAGAATGTTGGTGAGTATCTTTTTCCAGGCTTTGAGAATTTATGTTCCTGTTGCTTCATACTGAGGGTCTGTAGTGGCAGAATGTGGTCCCTGTTTGAGAAACCATCTTTCCTGTAAACTGTTCAGCTGAAACAACAGGAAACATGCCTTTAAAATGACAGTCCCTGTAAAAGATGCAGATGAAATTTTGGAGCCTACAGGCTCCTTGACAGTTAGGAGAAAGCAAAATGGAATAATGGTGAAACACCTGTGTTTCAGTATCTGTCCTGCATGTAAAGAAAACTCTGTTTATGTTCAGTAGCTCAGCTTTATGTAATGGCACTTCTGAGTTACTGAAAATGAGTTTATTCAGCTAAGTGGGGATGACTGAGCCAAACCATTCCATCTGGACTCTTCCACCTGCTTAATGCTAGCAGCTCTAGTTTTTCCTATGTGTGTGCAGAATTAATTTTGTTATGTGCACCAGTATGGAGGTGATGTGTGACACACAACAAAATCCATGTGGCGGGGCCAAGGGGTTCGGAGTGGAGGGGGGCAGCGGCTCAGGGCTTGGGCAGAAGGTTGGAGTGCGGAGGCGTGAGAACTGGGAGTGCAGGCTCTGGGGTGGGGCCAAGGATGAGGGGCTTGGGGCGGTGGGGGATGTGGGCTCCGGCTGTGGGTGTGGGTTCTGGGGTGCCCTGGGGCTACAGCACGGAGAGAGGACTCTCCCCAGCTCTCTCTCTCTCCCCGCAGCAGCACCTGGGATGGAAGGGAGAGGCACCTCTCCCCACTGCAGCAGCTCTGGGGCTGGGGGAGAGGCATCTCTCCCTGCCGCAGCCCTGAGCACTTGCGCAGCGCTTAATAGGCGGCTGCTCAGCTTAGGGGGAACTTAGGCCCTGAGCCAACTGTCATGGCCACACGCAACTGCTACCTGCAACAAACATCTCAACTTATGCATCCCCCACTTCACCTATGGAACTTCCTGCAAAATACCTCCTTGTGACCAGCATCCAGGTCCTGAGACACTCTTTGGGTAGTTGCTCATGTGTGTCCCCATATTTGGGATACCTGTACCCAGGTGCACAAACTCAGAAAGTTTTGGCTAATAGTGCCTATTTGAGCCATGCACACACTGCTTGATGCTGTGCATTGAGCAGATGGCAGAAAGAAGACCAATCCTAACTGCCCTGAGTTCTTTCTGAACACTGCAGGAGCAGCAAGTTGAAACACTGTGGTATCCCCAGTGCTTTCTTCAGTCTATTCTCCTTTGAGCTTGTTAGGGTAGCCTTAGCTTTCAGTTAAGTTTGCACTCTTAATTGTTAGGAGGAACTATTGCAGGTTTGTTTGGGGTCAGACTCCATTGGCCCTGACCCCTATGTTCTTAAGGTCTGGTACATGTTACATGGTTCAGGCCTAGTGGTCTCTCTTCATTTACCATTCATGTTGTGGCTGTTGCCAGTAAAAAGACTAGTTGTAGTCTCTCTGCATTGTGCGGTGTGACAATGGTGACCATGAGCATTGCTTTTAAATGCCTCAATAAAGGACAAAATCCATATTGATGCTTGGTCTGCATCATTTTCACCCCTCACACTAGAAAGAAGAAGGAGAGCCACCTCAAAGTTCATCTGTTGGAGAAGACACTTGAGGTTCATACAACAGAGTGCAGTACTGAAAGATCAGCACATTCACTTTGAAAGTCTAAGTCTGGTGCAGGGATTACAGTGAGAAGCTCCTAACCTGCACCAACATTTCAGCCTGGTGATTGGAAGGTTGGTGCTCGCTTCCTCAGTAATGAATTCTGATAAGAAAGCCGGAGAGTTTTGACTTGGTGTTGCAAAGATCTGAGAAGCACATTGTTAGAAAAGTGTTGGTCTAGAGGATCTTCAACATTTAAGGGACTGGCATCCTGCTGGCGCTAGATGTTTCTCATGACATTGAAATAGAGTGGGATCCTTTCATGTCACTCCATACTTTGATACACAGTGTCACTTGTTGATACTGAACCATAACAGACCCCAAGGGAAAGAATAGTTACTCAATAGTCCCTACAGTAACTGTGGTTTTTCGAGACGTGCTGGCCACATAGATTCCACCCTTGACACATGAGATTGGATTATTTTGTGCCAGTGGTGTCCATTGAGGCCATGTTTACATTTTAGGGGCCCTCATTGCTCCCACCAAAGGGCAAAAAGGGTGGAGTGAGCCCAACTGCCCTTCAGTTTCTTCTTCAGTACAGAATCCTTTAGGTGTGAGAATGAAGTAGCAGGGAGGCAGTGTGGGTTGTGTAATCTGTATGGACAACACATCTTGAAAAACCACTGTTACTGTAGCTCAAGGAACCATGTGTTGTTTGTCAATTGTCTGCATGGATTCCACTCAGAGTGACTAACAAGAATGTTTCTGTTTCCTTGGAGGCGGTATTAGGAGTCCTACATGAATAGTCACTCCAGGATAGTCCTACAAAGACTGGCATCTGACCTGCCAACATATACTAGGGAATAGTGACTAATATGTGGGTCGAGCTCCATCTAGCTGCATTACATGTTTCAGATATGGGAGCCTTCCTCAAACAGGCAACAAAGTCCAAGTGGAATGAGCTCTAATATGACTGAGTGGATCTTTCCTACCCTTACTCATAACAGGTTCTTAAGTACTCGGAAATCCATTCAGATAATGTCTGTATGAATAAAGATTGCCACTTAACCCTGTCAGAAAATGCCAAAAATACCCTGGGTGTGTTCCTGAATGATCTTGTTCTGCCTAGGTAGAATGACAGTGCTCTTTACACTGGGTGTGTGAATATTCTCCTCACTCAGGATAGAGTGACGTTTAGGAAGGAAAACCAAGAAATGGATGGACTGGTTTATGTGGAACTCCGAGGGGACTTCGGATGAGATCTAAGAGTAACTGGTACACTATACGCAGGGGGCCCTGAATCTCTCCTATCTGATGTAATGGCCACAAGAAACGCACTACTCATTGACATGTGGTAAAGAGAGCAGGTTGCTGAGGACTCAAAAGGGGAATCGTGTACGTTGCTAGTACTACATTAAGGTCTCAGGAACAAGGGAGCTTCCCAACTGGGTGAAAAACATGCATGAGTCACTACAGGACTGGAAACTACAGTGTGGCCCTGGATAGAATGGGGATGTTGAGATAGTCATAAAAATGGTAGAAATGCAGGGTTGGAAGGGATGTCAAGAAGTCTTCTAGTCCATCTCCCCACTCTGAGGCAGGATCAAATATACCTAGACCATCCCTGACAGGCTTTTGCCTGTTCTTAAAATCTTCTAATCTCAGGGATTCCACAACCACCCTGGGTAAACTATCCTTATAGTTAGAAAGTTTTTTCCTAATATCTAACCTAAATCTCCCTTGCTGCTAGCTAAGCCAATTATTTCTTGTCCTACCCTTGGTGACTATGAACAACAATCACCATCCTCTTTGTAACACACTTATGTATTTAAAGACTGTCTCCACTCAGTCTTCTCTTCTCTTGGCTAAACAAGCCCACTCCTTTCAACTTGTCTTTTCAACCTGGTCTCTAAACCAGTGGTTTTCAAACAGTGGGTTGTGGTGGCTGTAGTCAGCACTGCCGACTGGGCTGCTAGAATTGCCATCAAAAGTGCTGCCCAGCTAAAACAGGCTAGTCCCTACCTCAGTGGTGGGCCACCAGACTGTTTGTTTACATTTGTACGGCCGCCCACAGCTCCCAGTGGCCGCAGTTCGCCGTTCCTGGCCAGTGGAAGCTGTGGGAAGCAGCGCGGGTCTGGCCACTGCTTCCCGCCTGCCTCTGCACCCCGGCTGCGCCGCTGAGTGGGAGCTGCCAGAGGTAAGCCCGTGCCTCAACTCCACACCCCAATCCCCTGCCCTAACGCTGAGCCCCCCCCAAACCTGCACCGCCAGCCCAGAGCCTGCACCCCCTGTCCCAGCCCTGGGCCCCCCCCGAACCTGGAGTCCTCTCCTGTACCCCAAACCCCTCATTCCCAGCCCAGAGCCCTGACACCCTCTCGCACCCCAACCACCTTCCCAGAGCCCCCTCACACACCCTAAATCCTTCATTCCTGGCCCCACCCTATGCCCCAGCCCTGAGCCCCTCCCAAACCCCCCCTCATCCCCCAGCTCCGTTGGGTTGTGGACATCAACAATTTTCTTCAACTGGGTCTCCAGAAAAAAAGTTTGAAAACCACTGCTCTAAACCTTTTATCAGGTTTGTTGCTCTCCTCTGGACTCTCTCCAATCTGTCCGCAACTTTTTTTGAAAGCGTGAAACCCAAAAGTGTGGCCACAGTTCTCCAGCTGTGGCCTCACCAATGTCAGGTAGAGCGGAACAATTACCTCTTGTATTTTACCTACAACATTTCTGTTAATACATCCTACAATAACATTTGCCTTTTTCCACAACAGCATCATGTTTGAGTCAGATTCAATTTGTGATCCATTATAGCCCCCAGATCCTTTTCTGCAATACTACTGCCTAACCACTTATTCCCCCGTTTGTACTTGTGCATTTGCTTTTTTTTTCCTTTCTAAGTGCAGAGCTCTGCACTTATCTTTATTGAATTTCCTCTTGTTGATTTCAGACCAATTCTCCAATTTGTCAAGGTCTTTTTGAATTCTGATCCTGTCCTTCAATGTGCTTGCAACCCCTTTGTGACGGGGTGCGACTCACCACTGCGGCGCCTCCAGCTGGCTGTCCAGGGAATTAGCGCTGTGCCCTCTTCTGGTGATGTCTTGCCTGCTGTCACCTCTGTTCCTGGACCCACATTGCTCCCAGGACTGTGGTGTCCTCTTCAATGACATTGCCCTCTGGTTGTGCCACACTCTGTCTCCCCCCCCCCCCCCCCCCTTCCGGGGGGACCTGCAGTCTACTGTCCTGCTGGTGGCAAATTGGGGTCCATGATCCAGCCGCTTCTTTCTGTGGCAAACTGCAGTTCATGGTCTAATTGCAGTCCACTGTCTAGCCCCTTCCTTCAGTGGCTCCAGCACTCTCCTTGCCCTTGTGTCAGGACCTCAGTCTGCAGATCCTGCAGCCTGCCAGGAGCTGTCTTTAGTTTCCTGGGTCTCTGCCTGCAGCACTGCTCTGCCCAGGGTGCTTGCTGCCCTCCGCCTGCAAGGCAGCCAGTCCTCCACCCTTCTCAAGCTCCAGGGAGTGACTGAAACTGCTCTGTTCTGCTGCCCTTCTTATATGGGCCAGCCTGGCCCTGATTAGCTGCTCCCATAAGCCCTTCTGTGATCAGCTGCCTCCCTAGGGCTGCTTTTAACCCCTTTTCTGCCAGTGTGGGGCAGATGCCCCATCAGACCCTCCCAGCTTGGTGTCATTTGCAAATTTTATAAATATATTCTCTACTCTATCATCCAAGTAATTAATTATAATATTGAATAGTACCTGACATAAGACCTATTCAGGATCCCTCTTGATGAATCCTCCCGTTTTGACAGCAAACCCTTGATAACTATTCTTTTAATACGTTTTTTCACCTGGTTGTGCACTCACGTTCTCTAGACCATATTTCCCCAGTTTTGTTAGAAGAATGTCATGTGTGACTGTGTCAAAAGTCTTATTAAAGTCCAGATATATCCTATTTACTGCTTTCTACCTATCCACTATGGTGGTTACCCTTTCAAAGAAGGAAAATTACATTGATTTGGAATGATTTGTTCATGACAAGTCCATGTTGACTATTACTTAGTATTCTCTAGGTCAGTGGTATTCAATTACATTGTCGGGGGTGGGCAGCCAAAGCAATGTCCAAACCTTCCCAGGCCAAAGGGCTCCTCGGGTGTTTACTCTCCAGTGAAATCATGTTAATTCTTTTCATAGCTGGCAGGGATTGGCAATGTGTGGCAGCCATGCCAAAGACCGCATGTTGGCTGAATGGCACACAGACTGCTAGTGCAATCAGGGACATGTTCTGAGATGCACTGCTGTTTGTTTTCCTTCTGTTTTGGTCATGCCTTGTATAGGTAAAGTCTGTTTATTCGAATTTCAGTTAACTGAAAATCCTGATTATCTGAATGAACAATGTCTGCCATGCTCATTTGGGGAATCAGGATTTTCAGTCCCAAGGATGGAGAAAGGGAGTGGGTGTAGCTGCAGGAGACAGGGGCCTTCTTAGTACTGCTTGAGTGGGGGGAATAGGGAGAAAGAGGAGGGCAGTGGAGGAGACCTGGGAGAGCAGGGAGTGACTCCCCCAGACCACAAGAGCCCAGCCCATCCTGTCCCTGCACTGCCTGGCCCGTGCTAAAGCCATCATGATCATGCACCCAGGGTGCTGCCTTCATTTCCTCAGGACACTTGGTGTCATGGAAACACATACATCAACCCCAGTGTCTAAGAGATGAGGAAGGAAGGTACATCAGAGAGCCTGGCCTCACATCCCTTCAAGCAGAATGTGCAATACTTGGTATGGTGGTTTGTTGCAAACAGGTCTACTTTTGGGAATCCCAGTTTGCAAAAGATGCTCTGTAGGACTGAGTCTGAGAGAGGCCACTCATTATTGTTGAAAGAGTTCCTGCTTAGCTGGTCTGCCAGTGTGTTTTGAAAGCCAGAAAGGTGCAGAGCTACTGGTGTGACCTGGTGTATAATGCACCACTCTCATAAACTTATGGCTTCCTTGACAGAGTGGAGATGGTCTTGCTCTCCCTTGCCTGATACAGTGCATTGCTTTGCTATAATGTCAGCACTTGAATTATTGATTCCTGAAAAAGAGGCAGGAAATCCTTGCATGCCAGGCAGATTGCTGTGGGCTCTAGGATGTTATGTGGAAGCAGGCTTCCTGAGGGATCATAGTCCCTGAATTTGCATGTGATCCAGATGAGCCCCCATTCAAGAACAAAAGCATCTTTCACTGGAATCTTTGTAGATAGATGTATGGAGAAGGTTACTCCATTGCATACCTGAAGATGATCTTTCCTCCATTTTAACAAAGAGAGGACTTCGCGGGAGAGTAATCATCATGTCCATGCAATGTCTGTTGGGTAGATGTATTCATTTGAATCACTCTTACATGGAGTGAAGGTAGAGTTTGTCATGTCATGTGACATAAGTGAGCTCATGTGACCTAGAAGCCTGAGATGTGTCCTCATTGCTGGTGTTGGATGAATTTGACACTGATTGACAAAGATTTGTTAACCTTTGGAATCTGTCCTGAGGACGATAGACTCCAGATCACTGAGAGCCTAACTGCTCCTGTGAACTCTATGCTTTGTGTCCGAATAGATTTCTCTCTCTTGACTTTGAGACCTAGCAAAGCTAAGAACTTTTGGATTGCTTAAACGGAGCTGATTGCCTGTTGTCAGGTATTTCTTAATTTAGCCAATCATTGAGATAAGGCTATACCAGGATTTCTTGTCTCCTTAGTTTAAGTGCACAACTGATAGACAATTTGGTGAAAACCCTCTGCCATAGAAAGACTCAAGCACGTGACTTTTTACTGGTCTTTTTAGCGGGGCCCTTACCCTTCTTTTTACCCTGGCCCTTCCCGCCAGCTGGTGGGGCTTCCCCAGAGTCGGAAGGAGCGACGGATGTGGCAGCAGCGAAGGTCACCCCAGTGTCCACCGCTGCCAGTGCCCCAGCAGGGGCGGTAGCAGGTGGTTCAGCTGCGGTGGCAGAGGCTCAGGGTGGCAGGCGGGGGAGGGGCGGCGGGGCCCTACCCGCCTTGTTCCCCGCCATAATGAGCAAGGGGGGAGGGGGAAAAACCAGAGAGAGGAGGGGAAAGGGGAAGCAGGTCGACCACTCCTCCCCGCTAGGCTGCAGGCAGGGGAGGAGGGTGTCAAAAGGAGCAGGCTGGATGGGGGAGCAATCAAGGGCTCGGGGTCAGTAGCGGGATGTTCCTAACAGGAATTTGAGGTATTTCCTGTGAGCTGAATGTATTGAGATATGGAAAATAGGTATCTTGCAAATCAAGAGCCGTGAACCAATTTATACCAACTAATGAACATAACTAACACTAAACTAAATTTCAGAGTAGCAGCCGTGTTAGTCTGTATTCGCAAAAAGAAAAGGAGTACTTGTGGCACCTTAGAAACTAACAAATTTATTTGACCATAAGCTTTCGTGAGCTCACTTCATCGGATGCATTCAGTGGAAAACTAAATTGTAATAATCTAAGGTGAATCAAACAGTATGCAGGTGAAGTGGACACTGCCAAATGTCCCATCTTGCAGCTACAGCCAGTAAGATGGAATAGAGACTGTAGGGCCTGTTTTTCCCATTTATGCCCTTGGGTGAGCAGAGGGATCACAGGCATCAGGTATGCGTGCAGCCCCAATGACACTGCTGGCTGAAATAATTTAATCTCATGTGCGTGGGACACACATGCACCAAGAGTGGCATCAGTGTGAACAATCACTCAACCTCTCTGCTATTGGATATTTAAGGATTGCGCTCTGAGTATCTTGTTGCCCAGAGTAGTCTGGCCCATCCTTTTCTAGAGGTGATCAGGTTCCTTCTGGTAGGAAGGAACCAAGTGGTGATTAGAGACACAGTCCCTTTCATACACTTGGGCTCAAGCAGTCAGTGAGTGAGCATTTGCTCATCTCCAACAGAAACTGCTACCCAGAAACTTCCAAGCTCATGTATAGCTTAAGAATCTGGGTGTGTACCATCATTCTTCTCAAACTACAGTTACTGATAGTTAATGTCTCTAGTCCCATTTTACAGATGGAGAGGTTGAGGCACAAAAGCTTAAGTCACTTGCCTGCTGTCACACTGAAAACACACCATAGAGGATAGAGAGTCAGAACTCCTGGTTTAACCTGTTGTGGGTTGTAATATAAATGGTGGGTCAGGCAAGGCGGCTGATCTGAAAGACTCAAAGACACTGGAAGTTTATCCTAATACAGGAGATGGATTAGTTCAGCTGGGACTGTTATCATTACTGCATGCTTAATTCATTCCTACAAGATAAGCCATTGCATATACAAGTCACCAGTTATACATTTATCAAATGATTTGTTTGTGTAACTCCTGTAATAGTGCACTCAGATTATCAAATCAGGACATGCTTTTATTAAGGTCAGTCTGTTAAAACTGTCCTTTTTTTCTGGGAGGGAAAAGTTTAATTTGTAAATCTATACTCCGTATGAAAGACGGGCACACCAAAATGAAGCTTCAAACACATGGATCTGGAGCCCCTTTTCTTAAAGAGAGATGCTGTGGAGTGACCAGCCAATCAGAATAGAGAAACTTGGTATTTCTCCAGTGGTATTGATTTTTCTAGTTGCCTGAGAAGGGTTTTAAAACTTTTCCCCCCAACCTCACACCAGGTACTTTTGCAAAGAAGTTCTAGGTGGTTCACACTGAGGGCATATCCATACTATGGGCACTATAGCAGCACAGGTGTGGCACTGCAACTATGCCTCTATAGGGCCGTCGCACAGATGCTTCCTACATCATTTGAAGGGGTTTTTGAAGAGTTCTTCTGCCGACATAGCCATGTGTACGCAGGGGGTGTAACTGTGGTGCACAGGGCACGGTAGGTAGGTTGATCTAAATTTTATGTGTAGACCAGGGCTTAGTTTTTAAGCTTCCTAGGAAGATGAGCATGAGACAGAAATTTCACCCTGTGATATACTGTTTGGGTCTCCATTATAACTCCATCTCCTTCCTGCTCTTCCCAGATTTTGTTGATCTCAACAATGGCAAATTCTATGTGGGAGTTTGTGCATTTGTGAAAGTCCAACTCAAGGTAAATGGATATATTTTTGTTTGCTCCATCTGTTGATGAACTGCTCGTTGCTTAAGAACCATGAATGACACTACTACTGTGTGTGTGGAGCGGACTGCAACACACCATGTTACTGTGTCCAACCAGACAGTTCTGTGGGCCCCTGGAAAGCTGATCTTACTACGGAATAAATACCAATCCACTCAATACACACAATCCACATAAGAGAGATGTAGTCTTATAATCAGGTGCATGAAGGCAAAAGTCCCTGCATTTTTTTTAACTCACCCCACAGGATGGATCGTACCATGAAGATGTGGGTTACGGAGTGAGTGAGGGCCTGAAGTCTAAGGCATTGTCCCTAGAAAAGGCAAGGAAAGAAGCAGTGACGGATGGACTGAAGAGGGCACTCAAGTAAGTGGAGAACCAGTATGTTGCCCTTCTACTTGCACATTTCCACAAGTGGTGTGAGAATAAAACGTTAAATTCTCAGTCATGGCAAGCTCTCTTGTCCCTCAGGTGCTTTGGAAATGCTCTTGGGAACTGCATTCTGGACAAAGACTACCTGCGATCAGTGAATAAACTTCCTCGTCAGGTGCGATATGGGGGGCTTTGGAGAAGGAGAAAGCAGAGTAATTTAGTTTGCCAGGAACACTTAGTAGGTCATTGGTTCCATCCCCCTGTATCGAGAGGGATGGAAACCATAATATTTAAACCATACTTGCTAGCCGTGTGTGTGAATGTGTCTAGCCATGAATGTGTTCAGTGACAATGATTCCACAGCCTCCGATTGCTGCTAGTCAGGTTGTCTGAACTGTTCTTTGTAAAAGATTTTCCCAGTAGTTCATCAAAATAACGCCATTCTGAAGCTTAAGCCCATTGCTGTTTCTCTCTCTCCAGTCTTGTTTACTCTGTTCTAGTCAGGTTGTCATACTATTCCCCTCACAATGGTACCTGAGCACCAGACCATTCTGTATCATTACCAGTAGTGGGTCCAGCAACACCCTTGTTGATAATAGTTTAAATACTACTGTAGACAGGGATGAACTATTTCCAGTCCCATATCAACCAAATTACTCAAACCACTGTACTGTGTGCTATGTACAGCAGAGCTTCTTTTACACTAGAAATTTTTCGTATGGTATCCCACAGCTACTGCCCTCAGTCCACCTTCACATTTGTAGGCAACAGTGGGAACTCTAGTCTAAACAAAGCTTACATAGCTGTCGAAAGCTTCAGCTCTCCCCAACGGCTTGTAAAATACCAGTGCAGAAATCTTCAGCATACAGAGAACTGAAACTTTAGGGACTAAGAAAAATAAACAATGTTACACTGCACTGGTCTACTGGACTGATTATATTATTCATTTTTATATTTACTATAATAAAACCACTCCAGTTTTTGATATACTTGAAGCTACCATAGAATTTCCAGTCTAATGAGAAGGGTTTGCCACGGACTTTAGTTCCAGTTTACTAGAGAGTCTTATATACAGAAGTAGAGCCCTGGGCATGCTTACCTTAGGGAAGGATCCAGGAGGAGTAGTCATTGGTACCTGTTGGAGGGTGCCATATTGGAATCAGGTGGATGGGCTAGGAGGTGCTGTTTTATAATCTCACTCAGTACCACATGGTGGCTGAAACACAGTATTGCAGCTTCCTGTGGAGTTAATATGGAAACTGCAAACTCCCAAATTTGTGTGGGCAGGAGGGATCTCTGCTGTCTTTTGATTATCTTAAGGTTGGCTGGTTTTGATAGGCCAGAGACAGCTAGAGTAACATCTTTGTAATGTTTAAAACCAAAAATACATGATGGAAGAGTTGGAGGGGGAAGTGATTGGTTGAAACCAATGGGCCATGGCCCTACAAATTTGACCTCCAGTCCTTAAGCAAAGTATTTGAGGCTAGAGTTCTACTAAACTTTGTGCTTCATTACGAGAGGAGGCCCTTGCACTCCTTACATGAACTCCCCTTTAACTATTGTCTTTCGTCTTTCTCCCAGATTCTGGTCATGCCCAGATCTCAATCAATCTTTTCTCAGACTGATATTTTCCAGACCTCTTATAGTTTGTTGCTGTCTTCAGGGTACTCTCTGGTTTGTGTCTTGGGTGGTACCCAAAGCTAGACTTAAGCTTTTTAACTTAACCAAGGCTAAACACTGAAGAATAATATCTTACTTTTTTACATGGAATATGGCATTTCCCTTTTTAGTGGCACATCCACTGTAACCCTTAATGCCTTCTCAGCATCCCCACCCATCTGTTATTTCTTCACTACTATTATTATGTAAGAATTTCTAGGGTATCCATCACCATAGGTGGATCAGTTAACTTTCTGTAATGAATATTAATTATTAGAATGAGATTCACATGTGAAATCTGTTTATTGCTGGAACAGTTTTCATTAGAATAAGTCGTTTTGTGGCTTTTCTGTTAAAGAAGGCTATTTGCCATGGTTAATAGTGGTTCAGAGATAAGTATGGTAATTGCTCAAAGCTAGTGTCAGTAGCACATTGCCATCTTCTCTTAGATTTCTGCACTTAGAAGTCCAGGCTGTGTGGTACAGTGTCTCTCGCTGTTGCTCTGTCTAGCCTCCCTCCCCAAATGTGTGCTCAGTTAAAGGGTGGGGATGTATATTTCTACTCCTGGGTTGGAGAGTGAAGACCATTCTCTGGCCAGATCTAATACATGCCTGTACACACATTTATGTAAAGTGAACATTATTGTAATAGTGTTTACTACCTTGCCTGCCTCCATACCGTGGGGGTTGTCCAGATTCAACTACTTTTATATTTTAAAATTCTGTTGTGTTTGTATGGAGGCAGTGCTAGCTAACAAACACTGTGCTGACACTGCTAGTGATGGTGCTCCGCAAACAGCCACATTAACTCCCTTCAGAACCCAAACAGTGCTTGGAAAATGGGAAAGGACAAAACCTCCCCAGAACCTAGGTTAAGAGCAGCTAGAGAGGGAGAGACAAACCATGAAATAAGAAAAGGAGTACTTGTGGCACCTTAAAGACTAACAAATTTATTTGAGCATAAGCTTTCGTGAGCTACGGCTCACTTCATTGAATGCATCCGATGAAGTGAGCTGTAGCTCACGAAAGCTTATGCTCAAATAAATTTGTTAGTCTGTATCTGCAAAAAGAAAAGGAGTACTTGTGGCACCTTAGAGATTAACATGGCTGCTACTCTGAAACCATGAAATGTTATTATAAGATGCTTTGAGTCTCTGTAACTTTTGAGTTGATGGGGGACGGGGAATTGGTCAATGGATTGTGATTCATTCTTATACTAGCTGCCTCCTGAGTTGGATTTGGCCAAAGCAAAAAGGCAAGACTTTGAGCCTGCAATAGAGAAGGCTAGATACAGTAGCTGTCTGCAGAAGCAGAGTGCATGGCAACCCCAGCACTGTGAGAGCATGTCCCCATGCAAACCTGGCCAGGAGGCGGCTTCCTTAAGCACAGCTGAGCAGGAGCAGCAAAACAGCTCCAGGTGAGTGGTAACTGGAGAATATTTTTTTAGTTTAATTATTTTTATTTATATTGTACTATAAATGAGCATCCAGCCCACATTCTGGTCACTCCTGGGACTTAAAATGTACAAACTCCCCCAATCACTCCCAAAATTCCATATCGCTGTAGCTGCAGGAGCATGAATGAGTCATGTTCAGTGGAGCTCCCTGAGTCAGTGATCTTGCGGCCAGTTCTCTCCTTAATTTAGACAATACCAACTCTATATTTGATCCATAGCTATTATACCATACATTTCTCCAGTGACTGTCAGTAGGCTTTTAGGGGGCATTCAGTCCTAAGGGAGTGCTGCATTACAAAGTGCATAGTACGGTCTCTATGCCAGAGAGTACGAGTCCAGCAGCAGGCAGGAGGAGAACCCAGAGGTTCCAAGGGTGTTAGATTTCTACTTCTGGCTGCACATAACCAGACAAGGTGTCTAATAATCATCTACCTATGCAATATTTTCATTGGACTGAGCTCCTCAAATTGCAGAGTCTTCTACAAGGTGTGATAAATACTGTCTCATACCAACTTCAAATCAGTCTCTGGAGTATGGGATAGTTTTGTGTAAATGATTCAGGCAGGAGAGCTGGGTTCTAGCCAGAGACTTCCTGTATGAACTTGGACAGGGCCTAGCTGTGCCTTAGTTTATCCATCTAAGCAATGGTAATACTTAAGCCTCACAAGCACCTCTGAAGTTGTAAATAGTTAATGCTTGTAAAGCGTGTTGGGATGGGGAGGGCCCTTCTTGGAAGGTGTGATAGAAGTGCTAACTACTATTGTATTTTCCCTGGCATGCTATTGCTTTAAGCATCCCTCTTCCTAATGTGTAACTGCAGCTGGAGCGCCATCCAACTGTGTGTTTATTTCTTGGGACAGACATAGCATCACCTTAGTCTGTGGGAGTGATGCCACTTACCAGCGGAAGTTACGGCAGAAGCAGCTTCAGCAGCAGTTCCGGGAGCAAATGGAGAAAAAACAGCTGACAGTAGCCAATCCAGTCAGCAAACAGAGTAAGAGACACCACTGTGAATCTGCAAGTCCAACAAACTAGGCTGTGTCTACATTACAGCAGCACAGGTGTACGACTGCAGCCCCACCGCTGTAAGGTCTCCTATGAACCTGCTCTATGCCAATGGGAGAGAGATATTCCCTGGGCATAATTAAACCACCCCCAACAAGCAAAAGTAGCTATGATGCTCTCCGCCTAACATAGCACTGTCCACCCAGGCACTTCTGTTGGTCTAACTTATATCTGGCAGGGGTGTGGTTTTTTTCATCACCTGCCCAATAAAGGTGCTAGTGTAGACATAACACCCCCCCACCAGTGAGTTAGGCTATGTGCAGGGCATGAGCATGATTGACAGGGTTAACCCCTCATTGGCTACCTAATTTTACCAGCTCTTGTCTGAGTGAAGAAAGCTATAAAAAAGGAAAGCTGAAGTTTTTAATACTTGTTCCCTATAGGGCAGGGATGTGGGCTCAAACTGGACGTGACCAAACTTGACCCATAGCCTCTTAGAAAACATTAGGCAGTGCTGCTGTAGGAAAGACTGAGCTAACCAAACCTCTGCTCATGGTGCAAGAAATTTCAGGATGTTTCCCGTGTCCCTAGTAAGCCTTACCAAACACCATCTCCTACCTTACCTCCATACCCACATTTCCAGCAAAGGGTAAGGAGTGGCTATAGGACAGCTAGTATCTGATATCAGGTGTTGGTGGCCTTTCTGGTCTTACCTAAGAACAGGAGTACTTGTGGCACCTTAAAGACTAACATTTATTTGAGCATAAGCTTTCATAAGCTACAGTTCACTTCATCAGCTGCATTCCAATGAAGTGAGCTCACGAAAGCTTATGCTCTAATAAATTGGTTAGTCTCTAAGGTGCCCCAAGTCCTCCTTTTCTTTTTGCGGATACAGACTAACACGGCTGCTACTCTGAAACCTGATCTTACCTGACTCTTCCCCCCTCCCCTCACCCCCAGAGAATTAGGTGGTGTCCTTTTGCATTTCTAGCACTAATACCTTCCCTTTGTTACCTGTGCCCAGTAGCATCTCATCCCTCACTGGTGAAACACAGCACTCCAGCACAACAGGAACCAACTGCAGAAGAGGAGTTCTTTGCAGGTCAGCAAAGAATGGCAGCTAAATGCTGGCAAATTGTTAGTTCACAGGGTGGAGGCAGGAGTTAATGAAGGGATTGGGAAAGGGTGTGGGCACCATCTTTACTTCAGCAATAGGAAGTGGCAACAAGAACCCTTAGAGGGGGAAGTAGTTGCAGTTTGGAGGGAAGGAGGGAGAGAAAGACATGGGCAGAGGTGTGAACTGATTCATGGCCACACACTTTCATCACTAGGAGGGTTTAACAGCCCCTACAATTAGAGGATCACTAGAGGGAACCTGCCTCTAGGAACCTTTTCTTGTAGCCATTAGGGTTCACACACATTCCAGTCTTGGTGCATATACATGTGAGATCAGATGCTTTTCAGTAAGAAATGTCTGTTGGGGCTGCACCTGTATTCTTTAACCTTACACCTGAAAGTATAAAGTAGAGAGAGAGCCCAGCTGCATCTCCTTCCATCTTACTGCCTGTAGCTGCAAGACAGAACCCTTGAAGTGTCTGCTTCTCTTGGGCAGTGTGATTTTTCATTTTGAGTTAGATCAACAGGCAAAAGGAAAACAGCAAGCTCCTTTCTAGTTTAACCCCTCTGGGGTCATCAAGTGAGGAAAAGGGGGGCTGGTACAAGAGCTGGGCTGCCACACTATTCTCTTCCCTCTTTGTTGTGTTTGTCTTTGCATTGTTCCAGATGACCCTGAGCTTTGGGACATCCCCCTGGAGACCACTGCTCTCAGTGATACAGAGAGCCACCGAAAAGCAGTTGTAGCAGCCCAGGCTCCTGCAACACCTCTTGGACACTATCACATGACGACTCGCAGCAAGACCCCTCAAACAATGAACCATAAGAAACCACAAATGAGAGCTGCACCATGGCAGGTGTCCCCTAGGCACAGGCCGTACAGCCCCTCTTCCAACCAAGGTGCACCAGGTATGTACTGTAAAAGGAGTGTAAGTGGCGACAGTGAAGAGTAGGCAGGAGGAAGCTACAGAAGAAAGTAGAAGTGATCATGCATTGTGCTGAGTAGCAGCATGTGAAACTAGCAGGGCACCTAATGAAGTTTGAACATTTTGAGCACATTCCAGCAAAATGACTAAGTAACTGTCCTGGCATGGAACTCAGTTGTGTGGCTGTCCTTCCACACAGACTGCTTTACACTTTCAAATCCCAGCTAGCACTTCCTTTTTCACTCTTATAATTTTTAGGAGGGTGGGTAAGGGAGGGAGAGATTTGTTTGTTTTTACCAGAACCTGAACATAAGACTTAAGCTCCTTGAGGGCTAGAATGGAAGGCACAAAGGATGGCCAAGTCCATTTTCTGGGGAGATCTAAGAGAGAGAAAATGCACTGACAAAAACATGGGTAAGTTTTGGAGGCAGAGAAAAGCACAATAATTTGCCTACGAAGGACCTGTTGTCTTATTCAGCAGAGTGCAGCCCATACAGGAGGAGCCAAGGCATGAAGAAAAGGAAACTGGAACCCTCCTGACAGACAGGACAGCACCTGAATTATGTTAGTTTCCTCATGATAATTTGACCATAACCATCTTTTCAGAAGCACATCTCAAGAACCTGTTTAAACACAAAGGAAAATCTAGTTCATTAGATCCATGGCTTTCGTGCAATGCTGATCATAGACCATCTTCTGTCATAACTCTTTACTTATTTTAGCCCCTTTTAATGTGCTTGATGTCCCCTCTTGTGGTTAGAAAGTTTGATGCATCATTTCTTCATGAGTCACGCACTTTGGGAGCTTGCCCAGTGCCAAGGCTTATTTTAACTCCTTTGGAATGACATGAGATGTAACTCTACTCTCTACTGATAACTGAAGGATGCCCTACTACTTTGCATTTCATCATAGAGGGAGTAGTTTCCTTTAATGTGGCTAGCGTTGAGTAAGATCAGATCCTGGAAAGAATTATTTGAACAGAGACTTGTACACAGAGTATGTGGCTGGATGTGTTATAAAGGACTAAGGTTGACTAGTTCTTTTTAGGTACTTGTTTTTATATTAAACTTTTTCTTACAGAAAATGTGAATAAACGTGCAAAATCAGAGCATTAGTTGAATAATCTCATTTGTAACTGCAAGGGGACAGTAGTATGTATGTTTGGAAGATAAAACAGTCATTTGGGCCGGGGACATATTCCTGTTACAGTAACATCTCATGGTTTAATGCAACTCAGTTAAAACTTACTCTTGTCTTGAGGAAAAAGAAAGCAAGTCTGTACCATAACCTTACAAGTGAGAAACTGAAAACCCAGTCACTAACCACAAAGTGTCAAATCCCATTTTAAAATTCTAAGATCTACACTGATCAGAGAATCTAAAGTAGCTACTGTATTTAGACAGCAGTAATGTCAGTGGAATGAGTTTACACCTCTAAGAGGGGGGCAGCAGGGACAACAAACAGCTATAAAGCAAGGTGGTTATTACCCTCTTGTACCTTCATTCTCACTGGAAGTTCAGCTGTGGTTAATTCTGGGCCTTAGCACTTGACCAATAAGAGGTAAATGAAAAAGAGCAACCTAATGAGTAAGGAGGAAGTACAGGTTAAAACCAAAAATCAGTCTAGCTTAGTTCAAAGGGAAGATTACTCTCCTAAAGTGACAGTGTGAAAATGATCAGATGCTTCAATTCCAGTTGAAGGATGGGAAAGGAATATCACTAGCCTAAATGGGATGAAGTTAAAGTTCCAAGCAAGAAGCAGCTCTTCTGTCCATTTAATTCCATCAGTCTCATAGTAACATTGGTGTCACATGTGAAACAGTAACTTGTCCAGCAACAATACAAGTACAGGAACAATGCTATAATGAGCCAGTGGGAGTGGAGGTTAAGCACACCATAAATGACATGAGGTAGAAAAATGCATATGTGACTAATTTGGACTGATTTAGTGAGTGTTCTGTGCTCCTCTGCCCTGCAGCTGCTCCCATTACACATTTCTCCTTTCAACATCTACACATACTCATGGTTTTCTCCCACACATATACTTCCTACCTCTCAAAAGCAGTAAGTTTCCAGCAGGAAACTAGTTGTAGGAGTGAGTACAGGTAAATGTCCTCAGTAGCCTACACTTTACTGGCAGAAGCTCTCTCACATCCAACACATCTTCCTAGAAAATTCAGCTAATTCTGGAGCTTTTGTAGTTAGCAGTATGTCTACAGAGAATTCATAAAACCCTCCAAGTACAGCTGAAGTTGACCAGTCTTATTTAGCAGTTCACTACTGCAGCCTTTCTGGGATCACCACAGTTCTGGGAGGAGAATGCCTATCAATAACGAAAAAATCTCAGTATTTGACAATAGTGAGTTCATACACCCACACTGTTGAAATAAGACAGCACTTTTGTTAGAAAGGGAACTTGCAGAGGGTACATGTAGGCAGCGCAAGATTAGCCAAGGAATATTGTGGTCATAGCAGTTCAACAGAGTAAGGACCAGGCTCCTGCAACTGTGGTCTGACCCTGGGCACAATACAGGGGCAGTGTTGTGATGCAGATATGGAGGGAAGTGTCCCATCTCACTGAACTACCTGTACACCTTGCTCCTCACAGGACTTTCAGCACGTATTCACAAGACTTCCACTTACTTGATTTGAGTTCTTACACGACCACAGTTTGAGGTGGTATGAATCAAAACAGAAGCAGTTTTAAAAAGAAATACACTAATGGTTAAAAACGAATATTTAGAAAGCCAAAGCTTTCCAGAACCAAAGTCGCTCCACAAGACAAATCTTGATTAACCACGCCTCTTCTGGATCAAGTCACTGAAATGCCCACCTAACTCAGGGCCTCAAGGACGACTGCAGTGAGACTGCGAATGAGTCAGCATATTGTCAGCTTAGCTCCCACAATGGCTCCTTGAACAAGAAAAAAAAGCATATGCCTTTTGGCAGTAGCCAGAAGTTTTTGGTATAGAATCATTCCGGGCTCTGTTCCAGTAAGTTTCCTCTCTCCCCATTGCTGAAAGCACATCCTGTTTCTAGGGAGAAGGATGGGGAGGGGCACAGCAGAGAAAGAAGAGCAAAAACAACTGCCGAAAGGAGATTTTTCAGATTCATAGACTTTAAGGTCAAAAGGGACCATCATGATCATTTAGTCTGACCACTTGCACATTGCAAGCCACACAACCTCACCTACCCACTTCTATAACAGACCTCTAACCAAGTTACTGAAGTCCACAAATCCTGGTTTTAAAGACTTCCAAGTTACAGAGAATCCACCCTTTGCACTAGTTTGAATCTGCAAGTGACCCATGCCCCATGCTGCAGAGGAAGGCAAAAAGCCCCCCAGGATCTCTGCCAGTCTGACCCGGGGAAAATTCCTTCCTGACTCTAAATTTGGTGGATCAGTTAGACCCTGAGCATGTGGGAAAAACCTCTTTTCAGCAGATATAGACTCCTCTTTGGTATAGAAATACCAAGAGGCAACATAAAACCTTTAGATATTAGCTAGTATCCAATTTACAGAAAACTGGGAAAGTTGCCAGTTCTCAAAAGTTATGAATGAGTATAACCTAAGAAAACCACACCAGGAGAGAGATTCTCATTGCTGCAGGTCAAAAAAATGAATTAGCCTTTGCCCCCTCAAAGTTTACTCAAATTTTGTGGAAACTATTTTCTGTGTCTACTTATTGTTCCATACTACTTGGAGAATCTTTGGTCAGTTAAAGGGCAGATAGTATTACTGATCACTGCTTTTGAGAGGTTTAGTCTCAGAGTGGGTTTTAGTACTTTCCTGAGGCAAACTGCCCTAATGGCGAGGTAACAGGAGCCCATCTACAGCTAAATAAATACTCCAGGTGACAGGAGAAAGGAGAAGTGGGAACCAGCTGAAAATGAAAACCCACAGTTCAACAAAAGCAGGTTTGGTTTATTTGAATGATTTCATTAAATATTCTACAAAGGTAACAAACTGCAGCACAAAGCGCAATCGTACAAGAAGCGCAATGCCTGGATTTAGTGCAAAACATACAATTAACTACGGCCACAGAAGCCTAACGTTTGAATTCATTTTATTTGTGTGTATTTTTGTTTTTTACAGTGTACATTGTTAAATAATGTAAAGAAAACATTTGTAATTCAGAAACAGATTTGTGGAAAAAAGGTACTCAAAGTGTAATATTAACACAAAATAATTTAACAGTTCAGTAGCATTAGTTTATTCCTCTAGACTTCAGTTATTTCATCCACAGGAGGGAAATCAATGGTAAATAAAACCACTTCTTGCATAACATTAAGTGAAAAACCGACCTCAAACTATTAAATCAAAATAATTAAATAACGATGTGCTGCATTCAGCCGATCAGTTCTTCTGCCACGAAGTGTTGCCCGACTCCTGTTACTGCTTCAGCCGTACAATTACTCCATTACACAGAGCATTGTTTTCCCTACCCATACTTGGTGTATTCAGGAGCCTCCTCTCCAGTCATTTTAACCAGAAAGCAGAGGCTTTCTGATTCATTTTACCAGCAGACATTCTCTTCCAACCACACATACACAACGGTGAGATCTTTTCTCTCATTCTGTGGTTCTATAGCGCCTGTGTTATTTGCCAAGAATTTTTTTAAAAAAAAAAATCTACTGAGAAACTGTTAGAACCCAGCCACCTTGCCACTAGTCTCCAACCTCAGACTCTTCATTTCCACCCTATATATGCCAGTGGTAACCTGGCTGACAAAGCTGCTGTAAACATCAAAACCAGGTGAAGGGAAAGAAACACATCTTGTGCATTTGTTTTTAGAGACAGGAGCAAAACATCCACAGAAAGTATAAATTCCCTAGTAAGACCCCCCAACAAGGGAGCAGTGCTCACAGAAAATTCATGTGAGTAAGATTTCCTTGGTGCAGACACTTCCAGGACACCACTGAGCTACTCCCAAGTACCAGGAAGCAGTACTTTGACCCTTCACAGCTTGTTGCAGCACTACAGAGTAATACTGGTTGATTGCAGTATTATTACATTGAACAGGGAACCAGTATTTTTCAGTATGAAAAAGGGAAAATGAGTTGAGAAGTAGAAGGTACAATACAGCTACTAAAAGATGGCACAGTTAGTTATGGTCCTGGTACCAGTTTAAATTCTTTAGAGTGAACAAAATCGTAAGTCCTCTGCATGCTTAAAACAGGGAATTCCTTGATGCCGGCTGTTTCGAGTGCATCCATTGCCGGCAATGGACATCGCACCAGGAAAGTCTACTCCTAGCACGAATGGATAAAAAAAGGGTAAGAAAAGCAATCCCAGCAGATAACTCCATCCCCCTAAGGGTAATCGCTCCACCTCCATACACACCCTCACCTAGCCACTTTCCATGTCACAGCTTAATAGTCAAAACACCATTAAAGTTGAACTTTTCCAAAATATGCACTTTCTTCCCATCCTCTGTTCTGATCCAGCCTTCTTAAGGCTCTAGGAAGTATCTGTTAGTTTCACTTGAGCTTCCTCTTCCCCCTCCATCACTTCTGCCTATCACCCCTTGTTACACTAGCATTGTGCCATCAACTGCTTACTCTGTCAACATGGACAGGTTTCCCCACCACCCAAAGCTCTGTTCCAACCTCAGCCTCAATGGCTCTCCCTCCTTCCAACACCTATCCTATCCAAGTTACAGTGTGACTATATATATACACAATTTAACATAATATATATAGTCATACTGTAACTGATTTTATATATAGTTAACCCTTTGGTATCTCAGTCACTAGGTACAGAATAGTCCATTCTTCCCTTAACTTGCTCTGACCAGCTGGGACCTGCTGAGGAAGTGATGCTAACTGCAGAAGCAATAAAAGTCCAAGGCACTAAAATATCCAGCAAGCATACTGGGAGAACAGACAAGTATTCAAGTACATTAATTTATACAATTTTACATTCACATTTATCTAATACAATGAAAATACAAAGGAAAAAGTTAAAGTGTCTCCAATAAGTATAGGATATAGCTAGCTTTTTTTCCATTTTTTCTTTTTAACTTTTTTTAACCCTCTATTTTCCACTCATTTTTAAACTACTGTTGTCCAACAACATTTATATATCACAGTGTTTCCACATCAAAACTGATGGTAAGTACATGTCCGCAGGGAACTTTTTAAAATTTATTTTTAAACAATTTAAATTGCTCTAATGCTGCAGTCAAAGCTGTTAATATCTTTTACTTAAAGCAGTAATGACCTATCTCTCAAGCATGGGCTGCACTGCAAGTCCATTTATGTGCCTTACCACTCAGGAGGTAAGGATGATTGTTTGGGGAGAAGAGGGAGATTTGGATAGCTTCTCTCCTGACCTTGATTCTTCAGAGAAGATGAGAAGTGTGTTAAAACCTCATGCTAAGACTAAACTCTCCCATCTCAGCACATGTGGATTCAGACTCAAACCGAAGTACTTTTACAGTTAGAGCACATTGATCCAGTGACTTCTATCTTCATTGCTCATCTTATACAAGAGCAGGAGTGTTCATGCCCATCACCCTCCTCCCCCTTCAGAAATGGGGAAACTCTCCTTACCGAGAGCTGACAGCAATGGTTGGAAAAGGGAAGCTCATTCCCATTCTGGCAGAAATAGCCAGTTCAGTGCAGCACTAGTAGTTGATACAGGGCCCTAATTCCCTCCCCATCTCCTGTCCCAAGTTCTACACAGCAGAGTCTGGGTCTGGCTAAGTGGTCCGCAGGTTGGAGCCTGGGGGGTTGCTGATGGATTTCTGCAAGTTGCTGATGTTGAAGCTTTGCAAAGAGGCAGCTCCTACAGGCTGGAATTGACCAAGGGGTTGTTGTGCTGGACTACCTGTCCCACTCCAGGGAGCTGCAAAGGGCGCTGTTGGGTAACCATACTGCTGTGGAGGGCACATAGCCTTTGTGAAGTGACCTAGAGAGGTAGCTGATGCTGCAGAGATAGGTGTAGCACCCAGGGAGGACGACATAGAAATACATAGCTGGCCTGGTGCTGAGAACTTTCTTGCCATTCCAGGGCCCTGAAAGAAAACCCAGCCCCAAAGAGAAGTTACTTAAGTGTGGCTGAAGCAGTTCCCCTCCATCCACAGCCCCTTCCATGTAACTGAGTTAAATGGGTGCTTCTCAAAAGATACCATGATCTTCCTCGCTCTAGAGCCTGACAGAACAGGTGGTAGGAGCCCTCCACATGTAAGCTGTGGCTCATTCCCTCCTAGAGCCCTAGTTTGGCCTGGCTACATGGAAACTCTTCTTTATATGTGTTTTGACACTGAGACAACGAGTTATGTTAGCAGTGACAGCTCTCCATCCATGCATGTTCAAGAGGGAAATAAAGGGGAGAAATCTCTTACCTCATAGTTGCTATGCCCCTTGCCACCTCTCCTTCCTGAGAGGTTCATAGCATCACGGGCCCAGTTGTCTACCAACTTGTGCAGGTCATCTGTGAAAGTCCCCTTCCGGCTGGAAGTTATGGCAGGAGGCTGAGATTGGGGTGCCTGGCTGTTCACTGTACCCCCAACTGTGGTAGTGCTGCTGGTCCCTAAAAGTACAAAGACAACAGCAGAATCAAGAGCCAGGTTACAGCTAGTTTTCTACGAAGTTTAGGAACCATGACAATGGTGGAACAGTACGGAGCAAGAGTTAAAAAGCCATGCACATGAATTCTACATTTCGATTCTTGGACATGTTGAAGGGGGAATTTACAAGGCCTCATTTAGCTAGTCTCTCAGATTAGAAAGGTATTTTGTAGATGTGTGTGTTTTCCAAGAAGTGCTGCAAGCAGCAGCTGTGTAGGAATTGAGCGGCTGCTGCCCACACCAGGCTCCTCTTTTGGCAATGAGGGAGGAGGGAAGACTGGGTTTCATATTAAGCGGCAGTACTCGTGATGAACAAATGCTTCCTTCCCCTGGCACCACATTTTTTAAAAAACGAGTAAGTAGCAGCTACTGTTTGCGCCCAGTTCATTTCCAACTCTGCCCATATGATACAGAACGCCGAGTAAGCAGCAGTACAGGTTGGCTGCTCTGTAACCCAATGAGCTCCACTCCACAGGATGCCGAATGTACCAGAAACCCAGATTACATGAAGAGAACATCTGGATGAAAGGCAGAGGTCTGGGTGTAAGCCCGTCCCATGCCAAGAAGCTTCCCCAGGGTGGGGATTCTAAACACTAGCTAAATATAACTCTCAAAAACACTTAAAAAAACCCTAAGAATAATGTAACTTTGAATATATTTACAGGATGAAGAGAAAGGAGAAACTCTGGACACTGTGGAGGATTCCAGCTCCAGCCCTGTAGCAGTAAAAATGAACCAGAGCGGCAGGCAGGCAGTCTGCCAGTCTCTTATACACAGGGTGCAGATCATGAAGAGAGCTGAAGCACAGGTGCAACTCAATGGACACTACTCGCAAGAACTCTCCAGTCTCAGGCGCATGGTGTGCATGTCTACCCCAGTGGAATGCACATAGGGTCCAGCACTCAAAGAAGAACCGTTCTTCCTCAAAATACAGGGAAGATGCTCACCAGTGCTGTATCTGCATACCTTGGACACCTGCCTCTCAACCAGGGTTAAGAGGCTTGCACAACAATTATCGCTGGCTTGCTACTAAGGTTACAACAGGGACAGCATCTGGGATAACCCAGGTGTGCTGAACGGGTATGTCTGACAAAAATCATCAAAAACCTCATGAGCGAAATCACCATCTCACTACTCAACAAAGCTAGAAGCCAAAACCACTAACTGAAACAAATGAAGTGGCTCTCTGTTACTCACTTCCCTAGACATCTCTCTTCAGGACCCTCATACCTGGAAAGAACATCAACCTCTCCAAATCTCGGCTGGAATGGCTCTTGTTACGATATTGAAAAAGACAGACAACATACTTATTACCTGTAGCAACTGAGCAATGTGCTACTGGAGTGAGTAATGCTATCCCCTCTCCCAGCACTGCCTAGAAAACATGAAACCCTCTCCCCACCTATAGTACCTAATAATAGGGGTGTAATCATTAGGAGCAAGGAGCCCCATGCAGCAATACAGATGAAGGGGAAGAGAACAGAGGGCCTCTCACAAACATATGTGGTGGGAGTTCAAAAGGAACAGAGTAAGAGGACCATACCGGGTAGTGTGCTAAGGAAAATGTGATCGAACAATGAGAATTTCAAGCATGTGTAATATGAAAGAGACCTGGAACAATTATCTGACAAGGCAGCAAAGCAAGTGAAAGGGTGAAGTTGGAACCCATATAAACAGGCAAGAGTGACAAAGCAAAAGGTACTGAAGAGGAGGTACCAAAACAGACAGCAAGATCACCACATTCCATAGTCAAGAGTTCATGCAGGAACAGCACCTCTCAACCCCTTCCTGATGGCCAGTCATCTGCACCCTCCTGCTCAATACATTTATATATTGTATACCCAGTTACATTTTGGTCTGGAATTACAGCTCATACCCTGATGTATCCATGATAATCCACAGACACGGGTTTAGGAGAGAGAGGCACATTTAGTCAAGAGATACCGGAGTGCGTATTCCTCTGTAAATGTGCAATGGGATTTACAAACATTTTGAAATGCTTCCTTTGAGTAGTTTCTGTTGTCTACGAAGTGATTTTGTTAATTTAGGAGCACCTGTCTCAGCCTCACAGCAGGGACAGAGTAGGATTAACCTGTGCTGTAAAACATGAGCTAATAAATAATAATACAGGGCTCATTTCTTATCAACAGCATCTTATTAAACATTCTCAGGGATTTTAAATTTCAGAAGTTGGTTATTCTGCTCTAATCCAAATCTAGAGCCATCCAGAAGAGTCTGAAAGGGGAGTGCTTAGATTCATGGCATTCAATGGAAACAACCTTCTCCAGTCCTGCTCAGCCACAGCAAACGTCCCAGTTTCTTGTCTGGTGACATAATGAAGGATTTGAAATGAAAACAGACTTCTCCTCTCAGCCTATTACTCCATCATGCTTTCATTCTCTGCCCCCTTTTATTTCCTCCCTTGGAAACCAGCGTGAGCACCCACCCTCAAAGATAATCTTAGATAATACCAGCACACTTAGATTAGGCATATCTAAACTATTCCTGTTTTGGGGGCACATGTTGAAGCCATTTAATGGCTTATCCTTACCCTTTAAGATCTTGAAGGAGTCTCTGCAATGGAATCAGGAGACAAGACTAGGCAAACCCCTTCAGCATAGTCATTACAAGCAAATCCTGCTGCACAAAGGGGTAATTTTAGCACCTCAGCAGCGCTGTGTGCAACTGATCCTACTTCACAGTTCACTATCATTACCAATCAGCAAGGAGTTCCACAGCTAAGCTGAGGGCCTGCAAGCCTCTACAGTACTGAGCAGCAGTTAATTTCCCACTAGTCTGCAAAAATGAATAGGCAGCCAGAATCTATTAACATGTTAGCAAAGGAACACATGTTAGAGGGGATAACCGAGACAGAGACAGATGCTGTGCTGGAGACAGATTCACAGAGGTTAGGCTTCACTGATCAGAGGGAAACCTCATCAACAGGGACCAGAAATAACAGAAATAAGATAATTACTACAGAGCTGGTTGCAAGGACAGACTTTTTTCACCATCTTCCCTGAAGCACAAAGAAAGAGTAATTTGTTAAAATAAGAGAAACAGTGAGAAGTGTTTAATATCAGCAAACAGCACACAAAGCCCAATGAGAAAGAGGAGACTGTACAGCTGGACACTGCCACTGGCTGCAGTTACATTGAGAGCCCAGTGGGATGTTCTATGGAAATACCCAGACCACAAAACAGTGTTTCACCATTTGTACTCACACAAAAAGAGACTAATATGTTTGTTCTCCAATAGTTCTCTGAAATCTAGTGGTATCTTAAGAATGTTAGGGATGTGCTGATGTTTAGAGCTGGTACATCTCAATCACTGGCTGTTTACCACAAGAGCAACAGCCAAAAAAAAAAAAAAATCTCCCACCTCTATCTGGAAAGGTGAAGTGTCCCTCATGGCTTTCATCGGTCTGAGAATTTGTGGGGTACTCGGAGGATCCAAGCGTGGATCATGTACTCTCACCATCTGTTACTACATCCCCCTTGCATCTTTTCTAAAATGTTAGTGCAACAGTTACAGATACCCCTACTAGGCCTGTACCAATCAGCTCCTCCAGCTGCATAGTTAAAAGCATGTTATTGATCAATGCACTGTTTCCTCTTCATTGCCGTTTCTAACTAGGTGTCTTTCCCCCACCCTCCATAAGTGGCTGAGGCAGCATATCAGATTCCAGGAAGCAAGCAACCTGTAAACAAACTGAGCATTCAAGCCAAGCTGCGCTATCGGAAGCATTACCCACTTTTACAGGACAGCTACAATAAACCTTTCAGAAAGTCCATCCACCAATGTCAAATTTCAGAAGAGAAAACAATCCATCCCACCACAGCATGGTACTTGCTTCTCAGGAGAGGCTTTATAGTTTGCCTCAAGAGGACTGACAGCTGGACTGAGGTTGTGACAAGCTAGCGGTACACTAACACGTAAAAAAGCAGTAACGATGAGTACATCCAGCTCACAATGCCAATCTCAGAGGCTGAGAGTGAAAGAGTGACACCCCTACTGTTCTTTACATTACCCTCCCAAAAAAGGCATAGGGAAGACTAAAATATATGCTTTCCCAGATTTTCTAAGAATTTAACTTCTTCCAGGAAAAGAAACTATAAAACTTGCAAATCCAAATGGACATTCTTTACACATCCCTTCAATACCTTAATCAACCTGCTCAAAGCTTTTAAAGCTGTGTGGTTTGGAGGCTAAGCAGCAGGGAGAGGAGAAAAGTTACACAAGCAATTATGCACTAATGGTGCATTTAGTCCCAATATTGGGAATTTGTTTATGGCAGGGTTTAAAGTATTGCTGAAAAACTCAACAATTAAGAACTCTTCTCACCCTCCTCTCAATATAAAGAGGATAATTTAGTCAGTTCCATTGCAGCTGTCTCTGTAGAAGGCTTGCTCTGTAACTGTTGCTTTGTTCATTGGAGTTCATCCACAAAGATCCCTAGCCCAGCTGAGCTGCTGCTTGCTGTAGGAGGACAAATGTGAAAGTCTGTGGAAGTTGTGTGAAATGGGGCAAATGAAGACCATTTCATAGGGCTTCCAGCTCTCACGTACCAGTGATTTGGGGGGTGGGGGGGGGAGGAGGAGAAGAGAAGGAGTGTCACAGCATTCAAAGGTCCTGTCTACACTGGAAGCATAGTGGTATTTTGTATCACTCCCAGGAAAAAAGCATAGTTTTTGAAGCCTTAGCCCATGCATTTAAACACTTCAAATAACCACATCAGAAGTTTGAGGCTCATAGGTCAAAAACCCATCCTATTATCTCCCTGCCCCCTCCACTTTTAAACTTGAACTAGCTTGCTAGGACAACTGGAATGGCCTTAAATAAGAAGGATGTGGAGTATTTTTTGTGGGGTGGGAAGAAAGAGGTGTTTTGAGGAGTTTCATCTCACCACAACCCTCTACCTATGGCATGTTTAATCGGCTCCAGTCCTCAATATGAAGAGTCCTTTCTGAACACAGCTCCCTTGGCTACTAATATGGAATGTGATCATTTGGCCTTAGTGTTCCTTTCACACATGACTAATACCTTTAAACAGTGCCAGTTTTAGTCACTAGTTACTCAGTGATTATGAGAAAGGAAATTCTGATTACCTCAGCATTTACCCAGAGCACTTCTGGGAACAGCATGCAGAGATTTACCCACCCTACAGGGAGATGTGTTGTAGAAGGAAGCCATACAAATTTAACATTTTCATTAAGGCAGCTACTTTGTCCTATTAGGAAAGACAGCACACACCATATACCCCCATTGCTATAATTTGGAATGGGCAGCCATCTCTCACTGCCACCTTGTCAGTGCTACTGAGGAGAAGCAGACTTTCTCCCCAGAAGTCTTTCAGGTGTCAACAAGTACTGTCTGTAACAATCGTAAGTCAAACCATAAGGAAAAGCCCATATATTCATATACCTTGTGATTCCCTCCCCATATTCTCTGCTAATTCCTTGAAGATCACTATTTCCCACAGACAAGTTTTCCTAAAAGTTTATCTAAGTTATTTGGCCCTTGTTAAGGGCTATATTAAACAGGACACTTAACATGAGAACCCAAACTTCTAAGGTGTATTAAGAGCAGTTAAGCAGAGCCATGAAGTGGAGGGAATACAAAGAGGCAGAAGAGAATGGGCTGCATGAGACATCAGATCCAAGCAGCAGAAAAAAAAAAACAAAGACGAAGGAGTAAAGGTGTTACACACAAAGAGCCAAGCAGGGCGTACTCAGAAATCGGGTCCTCCTGCCACCAGGCTTGAACGTCACCTGCTCAGATGCACAGTTAAACTTCGCACAGCCTGTGATAAAACAAGAGGGAAGAACAGAGAAAGGAGAGGAGAAGAGACAGAACACAACTACAAGATGTTAGCAACTTGAGGTTGGATGGGTGAAATGCAGTAACACAGCACACAAGAACAAGCCTCAAGACATGGAGTAGGGGATATGTACACAGTACAAGGAACAAGGACTCTTCCTCCACTCTTAGGTCAAATTTGTTTGTTTTTTTACTAAAACAGTGCTACCTTCCAATACCTAATCCATTAGGAATAAGGCTGCACTCCACAGGTGAGTCTAAATCCTGGCAAAGGCATTCTCTCAATTACATAAGACACTGCACAACTTCAGGACACAGGAAGTTACAGATTAGTAGCCCCAATATTTCCGAAACAGGTTAGTGGAGAAGGGGAAGAGAATCCTCAGAATGAAAAGTTTCTGAAGGAGCGGCTTTCCATCTTCCATTCTTTTGCTTGTTGATCTTTTTTTTCTATCAATGTCTACATTTTACTCCAAACTGTAATTCAGACAAAACACACCAGCAGCTTCTTGACACTGCTGCATTCAACTAGTCTCATGGGAACATTTACAAATATAAGATATTTGTAAAATAGCTTATAGGGAAAAATCGAACAATTGTGAATCACAGAAATGAATAAAGGAATACACAAATAGACCAACAATCCCTAATGAGTGGAAGAAAGGAGGCCCCCAAATACCAAGCAGAGCCTTCCAGAGACTAGTTAAAGCTCTAATAGCTTAGCAGAAGGATAAAAGCCCAGTCTGAGGGCTACAAGGAAAAGAGTGCTATTAACTACCCCCTTCCACTGTGTGCTCATATTTTACATCCTTATCCCCAGAATTTTTTGGCCAATATAACTGCAGAGTTAGCTGCATTTTCTGAAGGGTTTTTTTCACCCTCTTCAGGTTTTTCTAACCTTTCAGTGCTGCCATTAGAGCAGAAGGGGCAGTATGTTACCCCTTTATTACCTCACCTCTAATTTTCCCAACCTGAAAACTTAGAAATCTAACTGCAAATAGTGTGCTAGGCCTCACAAAGAGACAGACTAACACCCTGATCAGTCTCTAAGCACAGGCCATACCCTGAAGTCAATCCACTGTATTTTGAGGCTGAGAACTCCCTGGTATAAGACTTAGCATTAATTCCATAGAAGTTCTTACCTTGGCCTGGTGCAGAAAGGCTTGGTACCGAAATAGCACCATCACTGGTAAAGGCAGAGTAGAGATTCTCACTAGAAGGAGATGGTTTAAGGGGCTGTAACAGATGGTTTTGTCCAGTCTCTGGGACGTTTCCAGGAGGATGAAGGGTCTGCTGGGGGGGCAAGACTGAAGGGGCACTCTGAGAAGACAGGTTACCTATAAAAAGAAATAAGAATCAGGACACAGGACAATATAGATATTCAGCTTCCCCACTTCACCTCAGAGGCTTTTCTACTGTTCCCATTGGACAGAAGGAAGTGTGTCTAGAGCTGATGAATGCTTGGGAGTTTTAGCAGGAAAAATCTGCAGTGAGTAAATAAGAACTAAAATCCATCACTGGGAGGAACTTGTAGGAGTGATAAGGGAGAAATGCTGAGACTGTACGATCAGCAGGAAAACCCAAGGAAAGGGCCTTTATCCTTTTACAAGGATTCTTATATCTAGATTATCATGCCTTACCAAGGCTACAGAGGTGACTTTGCCATTGCTGAAAAAGGAGCCAGAAGTGGAATTTGGAATAACTGGTTTTTAGAAAGGCCTCTAATTACAGCCCTGTTCTGCCTCACTATGTGTCAAGATAGCTCATCCATTGCACGTAAGAGCAGAATTAAGCAGTGCAGGTGACGGAGCATGAGGAGAAAAGGTATCATTACTTTGACAGATGCCAGTCTATTACTGAGAATCTTGTTTTGAAAGCAAAAAGACTGCTTTACAGTAGTTTTAGCTTGTCATAAATATAAAGGGAAGGGTAACAACCTTTATGTATGCAGTAACATCAAATCCCTCCTGGCCAGAGGTACAGAATCACTTATGTGTAAGGGGTTCATCAGTTCAATTAACCTAGTTGGCACCTGACCAGAAGGACCAATGGGGGAAAGAAGGTACTTTCAAATCTGCGGGGGAGGTTTTGTTTGTGCTTTTTGTTTTGTTCCCTCTCCGGACAAAGAGAGACCCAGCTCCTAAAAAGATCCTGAACTGATACATCTAAAATTACAGAAATTGTAAGTAATAGCAAGGAAATGTGTTAGATTATCTTTTGTTTTAGTGTGTGAATTTTCCCTATATTAAGAGGAAGTTTTATTCCTGTGTTTTGTAACTGGGAAGCAGTGTCCAGAGGGGAGTCCTCTGTGTTTTCAATCTTTTTATTTACCCTGTAAAGTTATCTTCCATCCTGATTTTGCAGGAGTGATTCTTTTCCTTTTTTTTTTTTTATAAAATTCTTCTTTAAGAACCTGATTGATTTTAAGTGTCCTAAAAACTAGGGATTTGGTATGTGCTCACTTTGTTAATCTCTTGACTGATATATTATTCTCAAGCCTCCCCAGGAAAGGGGATGAAGGGGTTTGGGGGGATATTTTGCAGGAGGTAGGGCTCCAAGTGGCCCCTCCCTGAATGTTTGTTTAAATCACTTGGTGGTGGCAGCAATACCGTCCAAGGACAAGGAAAGGAATTTGTGCCTTGGGGAAGTTTTTTACCTAAGCTGGTGGAACATAAGCTTAGAGGGTCTTTCATGCAGGTCCCTACATATGTACCCTAGAGTTCAGAGTGGGCAGGGAACTCTGACATAGCTCATTCATTGGTATGGAGATTCATCTTCTGTTCTGTGAGCCCTTTACATCAGAATACACCGCTCACATAACACTCCCCAGAGAAGATATGACAGCAGGGATTTTTGCATCTCATTCTTAGAATAGTGAAATATTTAAACAAGTCTTTGGGAGTGTCATCTATAAATCTGATCTTTTAAAAAAAATAAATAGTTTGGTGTTATCATGTGAGAAGCTGACAGCACTGGAGATTGAAAAATCCTACTTATCCACAAAAGAGATATAGACAGTGCAAGCTTTCCCAAAATACCCTGCCAATGCACTACAACCTTGACCTGGAGGCACCTCTTCTGTCAGTAAAATGGACAATGGATACTGAACTTCCATTCAATCCTTAGTCTTCGTACTGAGATACTAACAGGCAGGCCAAGTAATGCTAAAATTGCTCGGTGCACCACGAACCCATTTCACAAAGATCACTGATGCAGTTTGTGGAAAGAAAATTCACTTGCTGAAGATACATGCCCTGCCGTGTCCTGTGGACTCTGCAGCCAGAACATAACAGCCACTTCAACAAATATTTCCATTCACAACGCTGGCCTTCCCATATTGATGTGCTCAATGGCATTCAAGGGGTTTTAAGAGGGATTTTCGCATGTGCTGGGGAAGGAACTTTGATTTTCATGGACCTATTTCTCTGACTACTGTTAGTTAGGAAAACTGTTGTGTGTTTTAATAAGAATGGCTTCCCTCATAATCCATCTTTTTCCTCATTTAATCCTGTAATTACATGAAATGCTTAATTTGTGACACTGCAGTCACTTCCACAGCAGACTGATGTCAAAAATGAGATTATAACATCGAGACGAGATGCTGTGCTGTTAAGCACCTATTAAAAGAAAATAAAAGACATCTGCAACAGCAGTCAAAGGAACAGAAATACCACCAAGTACAGTTGTCTACTGCAACTTTAGCTCCACTGTGAAAGTCCATCTTTAAATGTGACGAGAACAAGCAGGAATTAAACAGGAGGGATCAAGAGGTCCTCCTAAAAATAAGTTTGCCTGGCTGTTTCCCTATGCTTTAGAATTCATCCTTTGACACTGGAATCCCCAGCTCTTGCCAGCAGAAGCACTATGACTGGTCTCTACAGAATGCATACCTATAAAAATCAATTAAGAGTGCAACTACGGTTTTGAAAATGCTCTTCCAAGAAAGAATGTATTTGAATTCTAATCTTAAAATTAGGGCTGTCGATTAATTGCAGTTAACTCACATGATTAACGCTAAAAAATTAATTGTGATTAATCACAGTTTAAATTGCACTGTTAAACAATAGAATACCAATTGAAATGTATTAAATATTTTTGGATTTTTTTCTAAATTTTCAAATATATTGATTTCAATTACAACAGAATACAAAGCGTACAGTGCTCACTTTATATTATTTTTATTACAAATATTTGCATTGTAAAAATGGCGAAGAAATAGTATTTTTCAATTCACCTCATGCAAGTACTGTAGTGCAATCTCTATCGTGTAAGTGCAACTTACAAATGTAGATTTTTTTACATAACTGCACTCAAACACAAAACAATGTGTAAAACTTTAGAGCCTGAAAGTTCACTCAGTCCTACTTCTTGTTCAGACAATCACTAAGACAAACAAGTTTACATTTGCGGGAGATAATGCTGCCAGCTTCTTATTTACGTCACCTGAAAGTGAGAACAGGCGTTCGCATGACACTTTTGTAGCCAACATTGCAAGGTATTTACATGCAAGTTATGCTGAACATTCATATGCTCCTTCATGCTTTGGCCACCATTCCATCCTGATGATACTCGTTAAAAAAATAATGCATTAATTAAATTTGTGACTGAACTCCTTGGGGAGAGAATCAAATGTCTCCTACTCTGTTTTACAAACATTCTGCCATATATTTCATGTTATAGCAGTCTCGGGTGATGACCTTGGGTGCAAATTTGACAAAGCACAAAGAAGGTACCAATGTGAGATTTCTAAAGATAGCTACAGCACTGGACCCAAGGTTTTAGAATCTGAAGTGCCTTCCAAAACCTGAGAGGGAATAGGTGTAGAGCATGCTTTCAGAAGTCTTAAAAGAGCAACACTCTGATGCAGAAACTACAGAACCAGAACAACCAAAAAAGAAAATCAACCTTACTGCTGGTGGCATCTGACTCAGATGATGAAAACGAACATGCATCAGTCTTCACTGCTCTGGATGGTTATTAAGCAGAACCTGTTATCAGCATGGACGCATATCCTAGGGAACAGTGGTTGAAGCATGAAGGGACATGAATCGTTAGTGCATCTGGCACATAAACATCTTGCAATGCCAGCTACGTAAGTGCCATGCAAATGCCTATTCTCACTTTCAGGTGATATTGAAAACAAGAAGCAGGCAGCATTATCTCCTGCAAATGTAAACAAACTTGTTTATCTGAGTGGTTGGCTAAACAAGAAGTAGGACTGAGTGGACTTGTAGGCTCTAACTTTTATATTGTTTTATTTTTGAATGTAGTTATTTTTTGGACAATTCTACTCTTGTAAGTGTAATTTTCATGATAAAGAGATTGCACTATAGTACTTGTATTGGGTGAACTGAAAATACTATTTCTTTTGGATTTTTTACAGTGCAAATATTTGTAACCATAAATATAAAGTGAGCACTGTAAAAAGTGAGCACGTTGTATTCTGTGTTGTAATTGAAATCAACATTTGAAAATGTAGAAAATATCCAAAACTATTTAAATAAATGGTATTCTATTATTGTTTAACAGTGCGATTAATCAAGATTAATTTTTTTAATCACTTGACAACCCTACGAAAAAAAACAAAGTGGCCAGTGAGACTACAAAACACCATTAGTAAGGGTTATAAGAACAAGGCCATTCTTCAAGACCAGACTGAGAGGAACTTAGAAGACTCATATGCTGTGCAAAAACAGTGAGATGTACAAACCCAGATGAGACTCTCAGTGAGTCAGATTCCTCAGAGACAGGCAAGAGATCACCTCAACCAACCACCCCATCAATCTGTGGGTTGAGGGTGTCCCATGATCTATTGTAAAAAGAGTTAAGGCAGAATCAAAAGGTACTAATAAACCATCTGCCCTGCGTGTCACATTGGTACCAAAACCTGAGGGTGCCTTACCTAGCAGCTGAGGGCTCTTATTACCCTGGGAGCTGCTGCGACTGGATTTGCTGCCTTTTCCTTTAGTAGGTCTCCTCCTCCTCCCTGAGAGAGGAGCAGCTGGGGGGATGATTACTGCAGGGGGAACCTTTCCCAGTTTGGTGTACAGCAATTCAATCTCTTGCTTCTGACGACTCTGCAGCTCCTGGATCTCTTTATAGTGCCTAAAGAGTTAAGAGCATGAATAAGAACTTAACAGTCCTGTCCCACCCCATTGAACTGCTTTCTTTCTGAGGGTGGAAAATCTTGGCCACAATTAACAAGCTGGATGCCCATGACACACACACAAAAATCACTTGCTCCATTCCCCTTATAAAAATTGTAACATTGGCTAGAATTCTGATGTACAGTTTGCCTGTTATAGCATAGCAATGATAAAGCCAGGAAGGGGAGCGAGGGTAGATCATCAATAAGGTCTGGAGCTTCAGCATAAACACTGTAGGGCTGGCAAGATTCACACTCACTTTCCCAGACATGAGGGCTTTGAAATTTCCACTAGGCTTGGTATGGTCTCAGCGTCTTCTGATGTTTTATATGTACAAGATCCAAAACTGCCAGCTATCCTTAAAAATACACACACACGCGCATGCACGCACAAGTCTAGCCTACCTTAGAAAATAACACAAGAACTCAGGCAGCTCAGTTTTCTCCGACATCTTTACCCCTATCCCTGTGGGCTCAGGATAACATTTTCAAGTGCCCTTAGGTAGTTTAGGAACCTAAGTTCCATTTTCAAAGGAGACTTTGGAACCAGACTGTGTCAACTTGTGATACACAAGAGGTATCAGTTAAAACTGAGCATAAAAAGTATGGGTGTGTATAGAAAAATACAGTTACTTTCTCGTAACAGTTCTTCGAAATATGTTGCTCATGTCCATTCCAATTAGGTGCGTGCATGCTGTGTGCAGTCATTGGAAAGTTTTTCCCCTAGCAGCACCCATCGGGTCGGCTGTGGAGCCCCCTGGAGTGACGCCTTTATGGTGCTTGATATACCACTCTGCCGACCAGGCACCTCTTCAGTTCCTTCTTGCCGGTTATTCCGACAGAGGGGAAGGCGGGTGGGTTTGGAATGGATATGAGCAACATCTCAAAGAACAGTTACAAGAAGATGAGTAACCATTTTTTCTTCAAGTGATTGTTCATACCGATTTCAATTAGGTGACTCCGAAGCCCTACCTAGGCAGTGGGATCAGAGTTATGGAATTGCTGACTGGAGCACCACTCTGCTGAAAGCTGCATCATCTCTGGCATGCCGGATGATGGCGTAATGAGAGGTGATTGTATGTACTAAGGACCAAGTTGCTGCCCTGCAGATTTCTTGTATCAGGACCTAGGCCAGGAACACCACTGATGAAGCCTGAGCCCTTGTGGAGTGTACTGTAAGAGCCAAGGCTGGTATTTTTGCCAGCTCATAGCACATACGGATGCATGACGTGATCCAGGAAGATATTCTTTGAGATGAGACCAGAGTCCTTTCATCCAGTCTGCCACCGCTATGAACAACTGGTTTGACTTCCTGTGCTCAATGTAGAAGGCTCGTGCTCACCGAACATCCAGGGAGTGCAGTCTCTGCTCATGGCTACTGGCATGAGGCTTAGGATAAAAAGCAGGCAGGAAAATGTCCTGACTGGTGTGGAAGTGTGACACAACCTTAGGAAGAAAGGACGGGTAAGGTCTGAGTTGCATCTTATACCTGTGGAAAACCACATAAAGTGGGTCTGCGGTAAAGGCCTTTAACTCAGACACCCTCCTTGCTGATGTAATGGCGACCAAAAAGGCTACCTTCCACAACAGATAGAGAAGGAAACAAGTTGCCGGCGGTTCAAATGGGGGCCCCCCGATTAGCCTGGAGAGGAAGGTCCCACACAGGGACAGGCTGTCTGATCTGGGGATGTTGCCATTCCAGACCCTTGAGGAATAGACCAACCATTTTCCACCTGGGTGGAAAGCCAAGATAGCAGCAAAGTGTACCTTTATGGAGGACACTGCCAAGCCTTGCTGTTTCAGGTGCAGAAGGTACTCTAAGCTAAGAGGCATAGGTGCCTGAAGAGGGGGTGTACTATGCTAGTCACACCAACAAGTAATGACAGGTTTCAGAGTAACAGCCGTGTTCGTCTGTATTCGCAAAAAGAAAAGGAGTACTTGTGGCACCTTAGAGACTAACCAATTTATTTGAGCATGAGCTTTCGTGAGCTACAGCTCACTTCATCGGATGCATACCGTGGAAACTGCAGCAGACATTATATACACACAGAGATCATGAAACAATACCTCCTCCTACTCCACTGTCCTGCTGGTAATAGCTTATCTAAAGTGATCATCAAGTTGGGCCATTTCCAGCACAAATCCAGGTTCTCACCCTCCGCCCGCCCCCCCCCCCCACAAACTCACTCTCCTGCTGGTAATAGCCCATCCAAAGTGACAACTCTCCCTACAATGTGCATGATAATCAAGGTGGGCCATTTCCAGCACAAATCCAGGCTCTCTCACCCCCCCCACCCCCATACATACACAAACTCACTCTCCTGCTGGTAATAGCTCATCCAAAGTGACCACTCTCCCTACAATGTGCATGGTAATCAAGGTGGGCCATAGCCTGGATTTCTGCTGGACTTCTCCTGAGGAAACTTCAATCCATCGGTGATCTTCCTGATGACACCATCCTGGCCACTATGGATGCAGAAGCCCTCTACACCAACATTCCACACAAAGATGGACTACAAGCCGTCAAGAACACTATCCCCGATAATGTCACGGCTAACCTGGTGGCTGAACTTTGACTTTGTCCTTACCCATAACTATTTTACATTTGGGGACAATGTATACCTTCAGATCAGCGGCACTGCTATGGGTACCCGCATGGCCCCACAGTATGCCAACATTTTTATGGCTGATTTAGAACAACGCTTCCTCAGCTCTCGTCCCCTAAAGCCCCTACTCTACTTGCGCTATATTGATGACATCATCATCTGGACCCATGGAAAAGAAGCCCTTGAGGAATTCCACCATGATTTCAACAACTTCCATCCCACCATCAACCTCAGCCTGGTCCAGTCCACACAAGAGATCCACTTCCTGGACACTACAGTGCTAATAAACAATGGTCACATAAGCACCACCCTATACCGGAAACCTACTGACTGCTATTCCTACCTACATGCCTCCAGCTTTCACCCTGACCACACCACACGATCCATCGTCTACAGCCAAGCTCTGCGATACAACCGCATTTGCTCCAACCCCTCAGACAGAGGCAAACACCTACAAGATCTCTGTCAAGCTTTCTTACAACTACAATACCCACCTGCGGAAGTGAAGAAACAGATTGACAGAGCCAGAAGAGTTCCCAGAAGTCACCTACTACAGGACAGGCCTAACAAAGAAAATAACAGAACGCCACTAGCCGTCACCTTCAGCCCCCAACTAAAACCCCTCAACGCATTATTAAGGATCTACAACCTATCGTAAAGGATGACCCAACACTCTCACAAATCTTGGGAGACAGGCCAGTCCTTGCCTACAGACAGCCCCGCAACCTGAAGCAAATACTCACCAACAACCACATACCACACAACAGAACCACTAACCCAGGAACTTATCCTTGCAACAAAGCCCGTTGCCAACTGTGCCCACATGTCTATTCAGGGGACACCATCACAGGGCCTAATAACATCAGCCACACTATCAGAGGCTCGTTCACCTGCACATCCACCAATGTGATATATGCCATCATGTGCCAGCAATGCCCCTCTGCCATTTACATTGGTCAAACTGGACAGTCTCTATGTAAAAGAATAAATGGACACAAATCAGATGTCAAGAATTATAACATTCATAAACCAGTCGGAGAACACTTCAATCTCTCTGGTCACGCAATCACATACATGAAGGTCGCTATCTTAAAACAAAAAAACTTCAAATCCAGACTCCAGCGAGAAACTGCTGAATTGGAATTCATTTGCAAATTGGATACTATTAATTTAGACTTAAATAGAGACTGGGAGTGGCTAAGTCATTATGCAAGGTAGCCTATTTCCCCTTGTTTTTTCCTACCCCCCCCTCCCCCGACGTTCTGGTTAAACTTGGATTTAAACTTGGAGAGTGGTCAGTTTGGATGAGCTATTGCCAGCAGGAGAGTGAGTTTGTGTGCGTGTGTGTCCGTCCCCGGGGAAAAAAAGAAAAAAAAGGGGGGGGGGTGAGAAAGCCTGGATTTGTGCTGGACATGGCCCACCTTGATTACCATGCACATTGTAGGGAGAGTGGTCACTTTGGATGAGCTATTACCAGCAGGATAGTGAGTTTGTGTGTGTGGTTTTTGGAGGGGGATGAGGGGGTGAGAAAACCTGGATTTGTGCTGGAAATGGCCCAACTTGATGATCACTTTAGATAAGCTATTACCAGCAGGACAGTGGAGTGGGAGGAGGTATTGTTTCATGATCTCTGTGTGTATATGTCTGCTGCAGTTTCCACGGTATGCATCCGATGAAGTGAGCTGTAGCTCACGAAAGCTCATGCTCAAATAAATTGGTTAGTCTCTAAGGTGCCACAAGTACTCCTTTTCTTTTTACCAAGAAGTAAATCTTTTCCACTTTGCTAGATATGTGGCTGTAGTAGAGGGCTTCCTGCTGCCGAGTAGGACCTCCCTTAGCTATTCTGAGCACAGAAGCACCATGGGGTTCGTCCATGAAGCTTCCAAGCCATGAGGTGGAGGGACTGCAGGTTGGGGTGATGAAGAGGACTGTGGACCTGAATGATGGGTCGGGTAGGAGAGGTAACGGATCAGGGCATCCCCTGAGTTCCAGGAGCGTGGTGTACCAATGTTGTCGAGGCCACGTTGGTGTCACCAGAATTATCTCTGCCCCGTCCCTGCAGACCTTAAGTAGGACCTTGTACAGATGAGGGAATGGGGGAAAAGGCATAGAGCAGGCAGCCTCCCCAGGGTAGCAGGAACGTGTCAGTGACTGAGCCTGGGCTGTGTTCTGCTCCTTCCACAAACATCGGGCACTTTCTGTTGCTCCAGGTGGCAAACAGATCGACCTGATGATACCCCCACCTTTGGAAGATGGAGAGTATGACATCCGGGCGGATGGACCACTCGTGATTGCAGAGGGACCTGCTGAGGTGGTCCGCCAGTACGTTCTGAACTCCTAGTAGATAGGATGCTTCCAGGTGAATGGAGTGAGCTATGCAAAACTCCCACAGCCAGAGGGCTTCCCAACATAGGAAGTAACGTAATGTAATTGTTGATGTAAAACATAGCAGTGGTGTTGTCAGTCAGAACTGCTACGCACTGACCTTGTAGTCGGGCCTGAAAGGTCTGGCATGCTAGTCGCACTGTCCTCAGCTCCTTGATGTTGTTACGGATGTAGAGCTAGTCCTGCAACCGAAGGCCCTGCTATTGGAGGTCTCCCAAATGCACACCCCATCCCAGAGCTTACGCATCCATTACTAGGGACAAGGAGGGCTGTTGAAGGGGACTCCTTCGCACACCATCTGAGGGTCGAGCCACCACTGAAGGGACTCTGGCACCTGCCCCAGCACTGTAACCACTGAGTTCAGGCTGTTGCGTCCCAGGCAATAGGCTGAAGGCAGCCATGCCTGTAGAGGTCTGAGCCTCAGTCTGGCGTGCCGGGTCACATAAGTGCAGGCTGCCATGTGGCCGAGGAGACTCAAGCATCCCTTTGCTGTAGCGGTTGGGTATTGCCGGAGGCCTTGAATGAGGTTCCTCATGGCTTGGAATCAGGATTCTGGCAAAAGTGCTCTTGCCTGAACCAAGTCTAACACCACCCCAATGAATTCTATTCTTCGGGTCAGTGACAAGGTTGACTTGTTCAAGTTGAGGAGGAGACCCAGTCTCTCGAATGTGGATCTGACCAATCGGACGTGAGAGTCCACCTGCCCCCTGGTGCGGCCCCAAAGCAGCCAGTCATCAAGGTAGGGAGATACCTGCACCTACCTCCAATGAAGGAAAGCAGCCACGACTGACATGCACTTAGTGAACACTCTGGGGGCTACTGAGAGGCCGAATGGAAGGACCGTAAATTGACAATGTTTGTGTTCAACCACGAATCATAGGAATCATCTGTGTGCAGGCCAAATAGCTATATGGAAGTACGCGTCTTTCATGTCAAGGGCGGCGTACCAGTCTCCCGGATCCAGAGAAGGGATAATTGTGCCCAGGAAGAACATGTGGAACTTCAACTTTACCACGAACTTGTTGAGTCCTCACTGACCTACAATGGGTCTGAGACCCCCCTTGGCTTCGGGGATTAGGAAGTATCGGGAATAGAATCCTTTGCCCCATAGCTCCTGAGGAACCTCCTCCACCGCTCCCATGATGAGGAGTACCCACATCTCCTGGATAAGGAGTTGCTCAAGAGAATGGTCCCTGAAGGGAGGGTAGGAGCAGAATTGGAGGGAAGATCCCACTTCTACTGTACGGAGAACCCTGAAGTCATTTGGGCCCAAGCATGGTAGAAGTGGGACAGATGATTCAAGAAAGACTGGGAAGGATCCGGAATTGTGGCTGGTGCGCTGTCCTCAGGCACACCTTTAAAAGGCCTGCTTTGAACCAGATGATGGTTTAGTCAGGCCCTGCCCCTGCCCGGATGCGGGGTGGGAAGGCTTGTGTCTGCCATTCCTGTCCCCTCTTCTATAAAAGTCCTGCCTCAGCCAAGGAGCATAGGAGAGCTGCTGCTAAGGCTTGAAATCTTTACATTGGGTTGCCGGGTGTACATACCCAAGGATTTCATGGTAGCCCTGGAGTACTTCAGGCTATGCAGCCTAGAGTCAGTCTGCTCTGAAAACAGACCTGCCCCATCAAAAGGCAGGTCCTACATGGTCTGTTGAGCCTCGGGCAGAAGGCCCGAGGCCAGCAGCTATGAGCTACACCTCATGGCAATACCAGAGAACTAGGTGCGTGCCGTTGAGTGTGCAGCGTCCAGTGAGGCCTGTGAAGAGGTCCATGCCACCGCCTTGCCCTCCTCCACTATTGCTCCAAACTCCTCTCTGGACTCTGTTGGCACCAGCTCCTGGAACTCGTTGTTCAAGTTTAAGGAATTGAAGCTGTATCTACTCAGAATTGCCTGCTGGTTGGCAATCCTGAGTTGCAACCCCCACACAGAATACACTTTGCGCCCAAATAAATCTAGGCGCTTGGCATCCTTGGTCTTAGGCCCTGGGTCTTGTTGTCCCTGCCTCTCCTTATAATTTACTGCAGCCACAACCAATGACTAAGGCTGTGGGTTTGTGAAGAGGTATTCTTACCCCTTAGATGGGACAAAATACTTCCTCTTCACACCCTTCGCAGTGGGAGGGATGGAGGCCAAGGCCTGCCAAATTGTCTTAGCATTGGTCTGTATAGTCTTAAGGAGAGGTCGAGCCACCCTTGACAGGCCTTCTGGGGCCAGGATGTTGACCATCGGGTCCTCAGTCTCCACCACCTCCTCGGCCTGCATATTTCACGCCACCCTGTGAAGGAAGTACTGGTGAGTACGACTGTCTATGGGGGGGGCGGTCCAGAGATGGAGGTGCCTGCAACTGCCTCATCCAGGGAGGATGACGAGGAGGCTAATGGAGGAACAGGGTCCTCCTGACCCTCTTGGTCTCCAGGGGCCTCGTGTCCTGCCTCTGTCAGGGCCAACCACACCTGGATCAGGCTTAGGAACCGGGGTTGGTTCCAGGGGAGGTGGTGCCGAGGAGGTACCCGTCGCACTCCTAGGGGTGGGGTGACTGGCGGATGCCTCCAGCACCCACGGTTCAAAGGCCACCAAATAGGAACCCTTGGACTGGGCACTTTGGGCCTGGTGGTATACACACAGGGTCCAAAATTTCCACTGCACTGGGCTCTGCCACTGCACAGGCCATGGCCCTGCCCTCACCTCAGGCTTTCCACAGCTTGACTGGTGCAGCCCCGCTCTAAGTATCTAGACCCCGTCTCTGAGTCCAAAGATGGGGACCAGGACTGCGATGGCCAGGAGCAGTGCCTGGGATAACCAGTGCCAGGAGCGGGACCTTCTGTGCAGCGGGGATCAGTATCGCTATCAGGAGCACTGGCATGTCCTGGAGCCATGCCGAGGGATTCCACCAGCGGTGCTGAGGGACGAAGCATCGCCGGTTTGCCTCAAGACAGTACCACACATTGTGGTACCAGAGGCTTGGCTCGAAGGACTGGGGACCACGGTGCTATCATGGCGATGAGGTCCCTCACGGCCTCAAAGGTGTCTGGGGAGGATGGCAATTCCACCTCCTCAATTACCTAGCTCGGAGAGTCCAACAGCACCAGACTCGATGGTCCCCCTTGCGGAACCAAAATTGACGGTGCTGGCTCCAAAGTCTACGGCCCTGGGTGCTCCACTCTGGGACATATCCCATTGGCCGGCTCCGAAGGGGTGGGTCTCTGAGTCTGAGATCCTCTCCTCCCCTGCTTCTGGTGCCACTTCTGCATCAGGGAATGGGACCGGTGCCAGCTCAATCCCACAGGTTTCGGCACCGGTGAGTAGCCATGCCACAGATCTCTCCCAGAGTCTTTCCACAGTGCCGCTTCTACCACTGCCACTGGGGCGCTGTGCACCCATGAGTTTGGTGCCGGGAGTTGCCGTGCCGATGTAGGTTGCAGTTTAAGTGCCGCCTCCATAAGGAGCTGCTTGAGGCAAAAATCTCACTCCTTTTTTTGTTCTGGAGTGAAACCCTGTACAAATCCTGCACTTGTCCGCTTTGTGTGGTTCCCCCATACACTTTAAGCAAGCGTCGTGGGGGTTGCCCGTTAGCATGGTCTTGTTGCAGGACTTGCAGGGTTTGAACCCTTGGGACTTAGGCATACCCTGAGTCCCAACGGAGAACGTGGTGGGGGTGCAGGGGAAGACCCCCCACTACCAACCGCTATCTGCTGTAACAACCAAAAACACTAAAACTAAACTGAACAAGGATAGGAATAACTGAACTAACTAAACTGAAAGCTAGGGAAAGAGGAGAGCTTGCTAAGCAAGTCACTGCAGTTCCAACGACCATCACCGGCGGTAAAAAGGAACTGAGGCGGCACTGGGTCGCGCAGGGTCCTCTATTGAGCTCCATGAAGGTGCCACTCCAGGGGGCTCCACAGCCGACCCAACAGGCACTGCTAGGGTAAAAGCTTTCCAATGACTGTGCACATGGTGCACACACACTCTTTAGGAGCAATCCCTTGAAGAACCACCATCACATTCATCTAATCAGTAAACTAATTTTACCCTATGTGAAAAAACTCTGGCAATTACTACAGAAAAATATATTTAATAGAGTCTCATTCTAAAAATCAGTCCTTTTTCCTCCTTCCTTTATGAGAGCTCTGACCTGCCGTACAGAGGAGAGATTCACAATAAGCAACTGTTACAGTTCACGCATCAAACAACATTCTCAAAGAAGAAATCTTACTTTTCCCGCAACCGGCGTAGCTCTGATTTCAAGTCTTCATCTTCAATATCTGACTCGTCGCTGCTCATGTAGGAAGAATTCAATGAGTTGCTAAAGCTTTGGATGGGGAGGCTGATTTTTGAACCCAGTGGTTGACGAGAGTCTGGGCTACCTGAGCCATCATCCAGTTCCTTTGCCACTCCACTCAGGAAGGCGGCCTCCAGATCAGATGATGGCCCATTCATAAGTGGAGACTCCCTGGACTCCACCAATTCTGGCACTTCTTTCTCTGGAGACATGGATGGAGGAAAAACTTGTTCTGAATCCACAGAAAGAGGAAGAGTCATTGGGGGTTCTTTCTCCACACAAGTGACCTCATCTTGTGTCCTGGACACAGAAAAGCGACCCACTTGGTCCGTTGTTGTTGTCACTTGAAAGCGCCCAACCTTAGTTGGCTGCCCAGCCTCTGATGGCAATTGTATGGCAGGAAATGTCTGTGAAACAACACCATCTGTCACATCTAAGGAGGTACCAGTGGTAGCTTCTGTTGTCCCACTGGAAGTCTGCTTCACAAGCGTACTCTCTGGACTGCTGCCAGACAAAGATAAATCAGAGGAGGTTGTCTCAAAATGCACAGGCTTAGTTTCTTCAGGTTTACCATCACCCTCTCTCAGTCCATTATCCACTGCCACAGACACCTAGAAGTGATTGAAACACTAAGTGAGCACAGCAATATAAAACAGGCTCTAGCTGACCTCTATGGTCAGAAACATGTCAAACAGGAAAATTAACCAGCTGCCTTGAGCACAGCAAAGCAAGCTGCCGTCTCCATTTCCTGGCCACATATCCACTCATCCCATAGTTTGAGGTAAAGGCAGGCTAAATACACTTCTACCCCGATGTAACGCTGTCCTTGGGAGCCAAAAAAATCTTACTGCCTTATAGGTGAAACCGCGTTATATTGAACTTGTTTTGCCCCACTGGAGCACACTGCCCTGCCCCACCAGAGCACTGCTTTACCGCATTATATCCGAATTCGTGTTATATCGGATCGCGTTATATCAGGGTAGAGGTGTATCCTCTGTTCTTGAGCTAAGCCATCTCAACTTGTTTCATACACATCCACATCTGTTCTTCCAAGAACTACATCTTTCAGTAAGATTCCTTCACAACCAGATTTAGAGAATGATACAACAGAGTGCACCAATGTCACATTAGCCATCATGTAGCTAACATTAAAGATCTGAACTACTAACAGCAAAGTCAACACATTGTTAAAACTTATTTCAAGGCTTCAGTTGTCACAGAATGCCATGGTCACAAACCAGAAATCGCTGCAATAAAGTGTGATGTTAACCCTGACTGGGAGTAGAGTTCATGAATAGAAAGCTGAACTCATATCAAACTCAATATTGGCACTTCCTCCCAGTAAAATGGTGTGCCAGGAGCTGGTACCAATCAAGGCGGCCCAGATTTTTCAAGGTATTTAGGCACTGCTTCACTCAGAATTGCAATGCCCAACTGATTCAGGAACCTAAATCTCATTTTCAAAAGTGGTTTAGGCACTTAGAAGCCTAAATCCAATTGACAGCCAATGGGTTTTAGGCACCTATGTGCCTAAACCATTTTTGAAAATGAGATTTAGGCTCCAAAATCAGCTGGGCATTACAATGCTGAGTGCAGCAATTCTAAATACCTTGATAAATCTGGGTCCTACTGCTTTGCCATAACAAAAAGTGAGATTCCTGGATCAATGCCCTGGTCACAGAGTAAATCTACAAAGTAACATTTTCCTACCTGAAATCGTCCCATCTTCAAAACTCCAGCTCCTGCAGTGGTAGTTGTTTCACTGCTCTCTGCATCCTGTGATGCTGAAATTGAGAAAAAGGAGGGTGGCAGGGAAGAGAACAGCTCCAGTCACACTTCTCCCTGGCAGGCTCCCACCCATATCCTCAGTCTCCCCTCCCAGAAAGCAGTGGTCCCCGCCCCCAAAGCTCCCAGTTGTTGCTCCTGCCTGTCCCTGTGGGATGCAGCTTGCAAGCTCCAGCAGCTGCCATGGAGGGAGGGGGGCCACCTGAATCATGTGACCAAGCAGAGCTGGCAAACCCAGGAACTGCAGCCTGCCTGCACGATATAAGCTGGGGAGCCAGTCTCGGCCAGGTCCGGCAGCCCCCTGCTCTAACGCACCAATACTGCAGGGCGGGCGGGGGGGGGGGGGGGGGGGGGGATGAAATTTTGTACAAATTCTGCATTGCACAGTGGCACAGAATTCATCCAGGAGTAACTTCACTTAGCTCCCAAGCAGTATTCCCTGAAGGAGCTGGATGCTTTAGAACCTAGTCTAAGACTTTTTGCAGAACTGCAGACCCAAAGGCAGTGTCTCCCCTAGGAGGTGTGTACTAAGGCATAATGTCTTGAGATGGTACAGACCAAAGATCATGTGGCAGCTTTGCATATTTCCTCAATGAGAACCTCTCTCAGAGCGAGGGAAGCAAACTGAAACCTAGTGGAATGGGCTATAACCCTAGAAGAAGACCGAACATTATCCCCCCCTCCTATGAGGCTGCTACAACCAGAAATCCACTTAGAGACTCTTTGGGTAGAAAGAGGTGCTTCATCTGACACTGCCCTACATACCTTTGGTATGGGGCATGAAGATAATTGGGTGCATGTGTGGACCTGACACTGCTACCAAAAGGCTCCTATCAAAGGCACATGCGCACCTGAAGTGCGGCACCCATAGGAACATTATGTAGTACACCGGGCCATGCTACAATTTCAAGACAAATTGGTTTTCACTATAGTTATCCCACTCATCTTATTATGGCACTTAATTATACTTCCAGGTTACATGTATTATATTTAACTGGCATGTCACTCAGGGAAGTTATGTAGCTTACTAGTGAATGATATAGACTGCTGTTTAAATGGGACAATAGTGGCAAACTCAGTTAAGGCCAGCTCCTTTAGGCATTTTTTATCTACTGCCAAATGTTGATTACCCAAGCATTAAACCAGTATAAAATTTAGAATGAGTATATTAATACAGAAATGAACAAATAAGATTAAAAGAAAAAAATCAAATGCTGAGAATCATTTTTAGTCAGTATAAGATTCTCATTGTAGATTTTCAGGGCCAGATTCTTGGACTCCCTGCCCCCGCACTCCAGCTGCACTGCACTGTTGGACTTGTGGAACTAGCTACCTAGAGGTCCCTCTAGTGAGGGAGAAATTCTTGGGTGGCCATAATGGCTCTACACAACTACTCTCAGCCTGTGATGCAGGGGGCTGTGGCTGAGGAAGGAGGACATGCACTGAGTACCTCTGCACTCCAGCAATACGTGCAGCTGGGATGCAACTGGGTCACCATGAGTGTGTGCTAAGTTCTAACAAAGGCTGGCCTGGTTCTGGTCTGGGGGCATACAACCACTGCCCATCACACTAGTTGTGCAACTGTGGATCTGGCATTCAAAATTTTAAAAATTGTTGTGTCATCCTTATTTGGCAGAAGGTCCAACATGGCGTTCCAATTAAAATGATTCTACTAAACTTCAGCAGGGTGGGAAACTTATTCTCAGGTAGGGAAGCAATTTTCCAGGGGAATCTATTGCAGGAAGCCCAACATGTGATTTTGTTTTCCTACTGTAATAAATCTTGAAGGTCTGCCATAAAACACTGGCTGCAGAAGGGAAATCTCTCAGAATATTGTTAGCTCTCCTAACTGGTTTTGAAATACTCTAAACAGTACAGCAGCACTCTCCTCTCATAAAAAGGTAAGAAAAGTTTGCTTAACTAAACTGGGCAGGAGAACATGTTAGAAATATATGTTCCCAGGCCCCCACAAAACCTCTTGGTCTACAAGTGAATACATTATCAAGCTAGTGTAAGCCAGCGTGTGAGCTGGCTAGCTACGGCATCTTTTTTCCTTTTTTTTTTTTTGGCAGAAATGTGTGCGCTTTATACCTGAAACATTCTGGAACCTTTACAGAACTGTACAATCACTAATTGTTTAGCAGCTGGATATACATTTAGGATTGGAAAGTCCACGGTCTGCTTCTCAACTTCTCTAAATGAAACCAGAAAGCAAATCTTTTTCCCGCACACTGCTCATATGAAGATTTCCACTTCTTTGCACAGTGTAAAGAAGGGAAATACCTAAAGATCTGTTGATAAGGCACAGAAGGATCAAAACTAGCAATATCGTCTTCTCACTCTTGCTGACTATATACACCTCTACCCTGATATAAGGTGACCTGATATAACATGAATTTGGATATAACGTGGTAAAGCAGCACTCTGGGGGGCAGGACTGCACGCTCCAGCAGATCAGCGTGTCAGGCTCCGACACATTGCTCTGAGTGGCATGTTAAGGGTGCCGGGCCAGGGTGTTGGATAAGGGGCAGAGGGTCTCGGGGGACAGTCAGGGGACAGGGAGCGGCGGTGGGTTGGATGGTTCGGAAGTTCTGGGGGTGGGGTGGTCAGGGGATGGGGGCATTGGATAGGGCGTGGGAATCCCGGGAGGCCTGTCAGGGGGCAGGGGTGTGGATAGGGGTTGGGGCAGTCAGGGGACAGAGAGTGGGGGGATTGGATGGGTCGGGGGTTCTGAGGTGGTCAGTCAGGGGCAGGAAGTGACTATTAATAATGGAAATGCTTGAGGCCAAAAGCAAGTTCGATATAACGCGGTTTCACCTATAACACGGTAAGATTTTTTGGCTCTCGAGGACCACATTATATCAGGGTAGAGGTGTAATATAGGAGAGAGGAGGCATTCACTCCACAAATCTGGATATTGTTCCTTAGCAGTAAGTTTAGCGGAGAGTCCTTGTAAATCTTGATTTAGCTTATTTTTGGAGAGTTTTAAAAATTAAATAAGTTAGCATATCCCTTGTACCTCTTGACCTGCAGTAAGATAGTTTTAGTCTAGTTCATCAAAAGCCAGTGACTTTCCAGTTCCTCTACTAAAGCCTGCAGTTTTAGGACAGCCATTTAACATCAAATCCTCTTGTTCAGCAAGTCAATTCACATTCCTCAGAAGACTGAGGTGGCAAGTGTCAGTATAAATACCTTCTCTCAGGGGCTGTGCCGGTGCAGACACCACTCCAGTAACCATTGTAGAAGCCACTGCTGGCACAGGCTATAAAAACCAAAGAAAATCCTTTAGCTGTTATATTGATCCTTACCACAAAGCCTACCTAAAGCATCCTGCAATATTAAATATTTTTCCATCTTACTTAAGGATAAGGGAATGACCCTGGGCAAAAGTAACAAGTAATCTCAGTGAATCTTGCATTACCAACTGTAAGGATATATGTTTGTGTTTTCAAATTTTATCTTCAATGGTTCAGCAGAGCTCCTCCTCCTTTAGATAACTTGAGGGAGTTTTAGTACTGTCTACATGGGGAAGTCTGTATGAAATAGCTAAGGGTCCAAGTTTAAAGGGCAAAAGCTATTTAAATTAAAGCTACTTGCATTCTGAATGAGACAGTCCACACAGAGGTTTAATGCGATTTAACTAATTTGCTTTAAATTCATACCTTTAAATTCAGATTAATTTTCCTGGCTGTACCCATGTAGACAACCCCTTGGTGTGGAATAAGTATGTCCACACAGGGAGTTAGTGCAGAATACCTACTTCACACTAGGTATTCCAGTTCCCCCCTCCCCATGTAGACAAGTTTTTATTTACTGTAACAGGAGCCTACATTCATCAGAATATAGTACCTCTTTCCAAATGACTAGGGTGCATGCCAAGGTTCACCACTCCCATTTGCTAAACAGCACTGATTAAGATCCTTAACAAGTTTTAATTTCATATTAGATCTTAAAATTTGCAACCACCCCTTACTGCACAGCTCCTTAAGGACCATATCACTTGGTAGCCAGCCATGAGGGAATACAAAATCCAGCACAAGCTGCACCTTTTGCCCCAAGTACATCAGAATACTTTCTTGTAGACTCAGAAGACAGTCACAGGTCATTCTTTATTCTGATCTCCTATATTGTTCCAACCTCAGAAAATCTGTTTCTTAATGAATGTTTGTTTTAGCAGGATACCTCTAGCAACAGGCCAGAAAATCTATTAAAAAGCTTACAAGAGTTATTAGTTTTTAAGTCATACAAGTATGTTTCCCTGCACAGCACTCACCAGCTTTTGAGGCATCAAAGCATTTTTATTTTCAAAGACCAGAGAGAGTTTGACACACTGCTTCTGAGGGCAATGATCCAAGAGCATAAACTTAAGGAAGCACTCTTATCCAGAGGCTTTAAACGCCAACACCACAAACTTACACAGGCAGGAGCAGATGTCACTGGGACAGTCTCTGGACTGAGGGTTCTTCTCAACTGAGCATCCAGATCTTCTAGAGGCTGCTGGGACTGAATCAACAAGAAAAAAATAAGCAGCTGTCCCTTGGCACCAGCTATGCACATGGCAAAATTTAACATCGAAAGCTACTTAATATTAAGGTTGCAAAATTGTATAGCAAAAAATAGAGTTTCAATATCTCCATTACCTCTGCTTCCTTCATCATATACAGGTAATAAATTAAGCTACACATTTAAACCAAAAAATAGAAAGGAAAAGTTAAGTGGTAGCTCTGTTTTTCTGAAGATAGTGTGTTTGGATTCTCATTCTTGAGAACGGACTGAATGTTTAAGAGCCCCCGAACTCTCATGTTTTTTGTTTCCAAGGGCAGTGGTTCACGGCATGGGCCATCCCAAACGTTCCTCAATACACACGTCACCAAACCAGGTTAATTTGTCTTCTTCTGAAGATACCATGTGGGCAGGAGTAAAAGTAGCTCAAGGGTTATCCCTAAATAAAAGGGTAACAGTTACACTGCAAATGGAGACAAGAGCTATACCAAAGCCAACTATGTACATGGACAGGGTGCTGCTTCAAAAAAAATGGTGAGGTATCTCCAGAAGTAGCAGGTTTAACATTTCAACAGCCTGAGGTGGTGTCTTAAAAAGAGACTTCTAAAGAGGACATCCAAAATAAAAGAATTCAAAAGGCAAGAAAGTTCGGACTCTAGTTCAGAAACAGGTTATGCAAGACAATCAAGAATCTCTCCCCTCAGAGACTAGGATCCAAGCAATAGATTTTTGTAAACATATGAATGGAGGACCACATATCTGAGTGAGAAACATTCCTGAGGCAGACATCAGAGACTGCCCTGTCTTGGACTAAATAAACCAGCCAGATCATAAGCAATGAGAAATGCAATGCATCAGTAATAGACACTAATCTTTTGAGCAATGGCATTATCCACCCTCCCATTCCTGAGAAAGCTCATAAAGAAGCTAACAAAAAAAATTACAAGTTCATCTAACAAACTAATATTCTATGCCTGGCACTATCAGGATTCAGCCCATGAGGCAGAACTGAAACTAATTTAGTGGCACTGATGATCTTCTCCTGTCAGTGGAGGGAAGACCGATGTCCATTCTCTTTTGGACCGCATTGCAGGGTTCAACGCTGTTGACCATGAAATAATGCTGTCTCTGATCAGAGAGGTGGCAAAGGTACAGACTACAGTGCGAAAATAGTTTGAGACCTTCCTGGAAAGTAGGGATGGAAAACTGCATCTCCACCACTAGACCTCTGATTTGTAGAGTTCCACAAAGATCAATCTACATGCAACCACTAGGTGAACTAGTCAGACAACAGGGACTCTACTGCCACAGCACGACAAGTGATCACACCATTACCACCAAGAAGGCCTACTGCTTGGACAATATCAGCTACTGGATGAAGAACAAAAGGGGTGTTACTGATGGCCAGAGAAGAAGATTTTGAGGAGTTTGTGGCCATGGTACAATCTCCTTCAACTAAAGATTCACATCCACAATTATTCAATTCAGTCCATAGTCTAGGAATACTCCAATTCCTTGCTAACACTGAGTTCTCCCATCGCAACAGACTTGGGTAACATTTTCTACCATCTCCAGCTGGCTGGGAGACTCCACCCCATCCCAGCCCTCAGTTATTTATGCCTTCAAAACCTCTTGGCTAGATTACAACAATGCAATATATCCAGGCATGAAACCTTCGTGCATTTAGGGAACTCCAACTAGTACAAAACCTTGCAGCACATTGCGTCAGTAACACAAGTTGCCATGAGTACATCACACGTGCCCCTCCACTCTCTACACTGGCTTTCCACAGAATTTCAAATCAAGTTCAAGGTAGTCGTCCTTATCTTCAAAGCGCTCCATGTCCTTATCGTCAGAACGCTGCAGGATACCTAAAAAGACCGCAGTTCACACCTTGGCTTCTCCGGCACAGTGGAGCTCAGGAAGAGTAAAGTTTGTCTGTGAGGGAAATAGAACCTTTTCTGGAGGTTGGCCAGACTGTGGAATAGATTCCCCCAGGAATTACGGACCATCACAAACCTCACAATCTTCTCCAAGTGCAAGGCGCATATACAGGAACAGGTATAGTTATTTAATAAATAAAAAATCCTACCAGAACTAGACACTCCACTGCATGCATTTCTCCCTCTAGGGACAAGATGAGAGAAAAATCAAACATCGAACATGATAGATGTGTAGTCACATAGCTTAATGCACTACTGGAAAGTGCTCAGATACTAGGGTAATGAGCATGGTATAAAAGCCTACATAGAAAATTGGATGGAGAATGCATTGCTTGCTAAGTATCTTATGGGGCCATCAGAATACCAGCAACTTCTTGCTCAGTCCAGAAGAGACATCCACCTTCTTTTGTCTCACACTGGAAGAAGATTTGATCGGAAAGTCCCTGAATTACCAGTAGTTTGTGGATATCTGCCATATCACAAAGAGAGAGAGATGGTGCGTGCAGTAATATCTTTTACTGGACCAACCTCTGTTAGTGAAAGAGACAAGCTTTCTAACCACACAGAGCTCCTCTTCTTCTGAAGCACTGAGGAGCACTTGTTCATGAAAAAACAAAATTCCCTGGATATGGAGTCCTGCGTGGATTCCTCAATCTGCATCCATACTCACTACTACTTACACATGCTTTCCTAAATGAAGGTACCATCCCCCGCCTACCACCAAGCCAGAGAAGTCATTCTTCTGCAAAATGCAGTACATGTCCCCTATATTGCTTGCTTCCATTAGTATTTTGGTATCCACTCAAGTTCTCTCTATCAGGCTATTATGAATGCACTGTTACCATGGTCCAAGTTGTCAGGTGCTGGTTATTGCTTATCCTTTCTGATGAACTGGTGGTGTCCTGGATTCTTCCTGACATGGGGCAGGAAGGCTTTGAGTTGAACTGTATTTAGCAGGACTCCTATATGCTCCATTTGTTTGTTAGGGACAAGCTGTGACTTTGGATAGTTTATCATGAGCCCTAGTGATCCCAGTGATGATACAGATGATGATGATGATACAGATTGATCTTTTGACAGCTTCTAGATCATCCTGTTAGATGAAAGGAATATGTGCACTCCCAGCCTGGGCAATAAGTCATGACTACCTTTAACCATAGTCCTTTGGGGAAACAAAAGGAGCCAATACCAAAAAGTCTTCATAAAAAAAATTGTATGCATGACATCGAAGTGCTGCAAGCCCATGTACACAACAAAGTATGTAAATGCCTAAACAAAGACTAGAATAGGTCATGGATCTTCTGGTGTCTCTGGCGACCTATCAGTGCTCCCTGGTTAGAGGGGGCCAAAAGGCCTTGACTCCTGAAAATAAAATGTCAACATCACAATAAAAGGAAGGAATGTAGACTTTAATGGGAGTCAGGAAGGGACACTAAGAGAATTCCAAAACAATGCGTCATTGGATGAGCTGAAGAGCCAGAACAGTGTCTGAATAACCACAGCTCATGAAGGGAGCTCTTTTGCTTACCACAATTCGAGAAGGAACTGACTGGAAGGTTACAAAGACAATGGTTAAAGCCCTGGGCAATGTATGACCACTAGTAAGGGAGCAGCTCATACCCCACCATACTACTACTACTCTTTGAAAACAAACAATTTTAGAACTTGGGTAATTCTCCTTTTCATGCATTTGGAAGCATAAAACCTGCCCACATGGTATCTTGCAAGAACAAATATAACCTCCAGTATGTCAACCCAGCTTTCAGAAACAGTGCAACAGCTAAGATGACACCACAGTGTCAAGGGATTTAATATTAAGTTTGCGCTATGTAGTATAAACTTTTTTCTTATTTACGATTATGACTTTATGCTTGATATGCACATTTAAATGGTTTCAGTTAGGAACTGGCATTTATATCACATTTATTTAACTAGCATGACACACAGAAAAGTAAATTCCCTTTGTTGGGTACATGCTCCTCTCTAATACATGGCTTGAAAGGGAACAAGATGAGTTAGAAGGGCCCATTTTGTGTTACTTTCCTCAGAAGAAGCCTGAGACCTACAGCCCGAGACCTACAGCCCTTGAGCATGTCAGGCGGAAAAGGGAGAACACACTGTGATGCCAATGGGCAAAGCTTCCATCAGGGTCCAATAAAAGTCTTAGTTGGTATCTCTGAGAATATGCAGAGGTAAATTTTCATTTAATTTTTATTCCCTGCTCATCCAGCCACTGGCAATAGCCCACAAGACATTTTGGCTATAACTTTTAAAGTACTTCTAACCTAATTTTTTTTTAAACAATGTCTTTAAAAATGCAGTATTGTTTCATGGCATAACTCTAATTTGGCTGAAGGGATTTGGCTTAAATATTCCAAAACTAGGCCACCTTTGGCACAAACCACAAATTGAAAATTTAAGTTAAAAAAGTGAGTACTTAAGAAAATTGTGTGTACAGAACATTAAGTTTATAACTGAAATTGTTTTGCAGCTTTAAAGCAGGTATTACCAGATGCCTGCTTTAACACATAATACCTTCTTCTTTATAAATCTAAATCTGAGAACTGGGGATTACATTTACAGGCAAGTACACTGGACGAAAAGTCCAGTTTGTGTTTATTCTGTAAGTAACCTTTTGACACTAAACATGCGGTTTCTAAAACACACTAAGAACAGGATACAGACTGTTTATAAGTCTCCATCTTCACTGCTTTTATTTTTAGCTTTTCTTTCATCATATATTGTATGTTTCTTCTTTAATGATGTGCTTAAATTTTCTCCATACTACCTCATTGCACAGCAATTTAAGATATCTAGAAATCTTTCTATTTCATTGCAGGTCTTGACTGCTTTTTTCCCCTATATTCTCTTGAGTTCTGTAACCCCGTCTATGAATTTCCTTCTATTTTACAGAAGGAAGTGGCAGCTGTCAGTCAGAAAGGTGTGTCTTGGTCTTTAAGGCAATAAGTAACAACCTCAAAAGTTCACAGAAAAGGGAAAACATCCACCAGTCTCCCTGGAAGTTTTCAGCTATCTGTACACCAGAAGGTGGCCAAATGCATATCCCAACAGTTTGCTTAAACTATAATCTTTAATCAGCATTAGAAGATTTATAGAACTGCACCAACTCTGATAGACTAGAAAAAGGAGACTATTAAAAACCCATTGATTTCTCATAGCCAGCAGTCTTGGGTTTTCAACAGCTAGTTGGGTATTGCAATATTTGTTGCTCTCTGCAGAGCTAGAACTTTGCTACCAGATACTCTTTTTATTCTAATCATAGGACAGGTGGGTGTAATACTTCTGAAGTTAAGTTTCATGACTCTTCATTTACACACAACTAATTCATCAAGCGCATTTTATTAGGAAAGAGGAATCACTGGGAAAATTAATTTACTAGTTTTGCTTTATCTCGCTGTCCTCCTCAGGGCTGGCCACTCCCACTGTGTTTTCTGCCAACACTGGGATTTGATGAAAGAAGTTTCTGTACTTAGTTTATGAAATGAACATTTGAAATAGCTACATCTTATGGAATACACCACCTTCAGTCTCACCCCTTGAGCTCTGCAGGTGGTGTAACTAGCACTCAAAGACCCAGTGATTATTGTTGCCTTGCAAATCCTCTGTTATGAAGACATATTTGGCACATAACCAACTTTGAAACACAGCTACTGTGCAACACTGAACATACTTGTCTGTAAAACAAGGGCTTTTATGAAGCTCTCCCTCAAGCTCAAAACAGAAGTAAAAGCATAAGCTTGAGTCATTGCACCCAGAGTTCAAACATTAAGGTCCAGTAATCCAAAGGGTAAGTTTGCTGCCTTTCCAGTGTACGAGTGACTCTGGTCACTGCTACACAGAAGGGGTTACTCAGTCAAAAGAGAAAGTGAAGAAGCCAAGACCATGCAATGGAGAGTTTAATTGTAACATGCTCTTTGAAAGAGAAAGGAGAAGTAGCAGACAGAATCTGCCAAGTCATGTAGCACCTGAGTTAGTGAAGGTCCTGGAAAGGGTGGCAGCTGTTCGCTGGATGGAGTGCCAGCTGGAAGTTCAAAACCTACCGGTAGCACCTATGGATAATGAACAGGAAATGCAAGTCCATCAAACAAAGAACAACAGTAGGAGCAGTCAGCAAGTTACAGTAAGTCATATCACTTAGTAGAAACCTTTAAGAATTTCCCTGTGGAGACTTCCTATGGAAGCAAGGAACGCTGTCAAGAAGGAATTCATTGCAGCTAGGATATCCACTTGCATTTTTTCTTTGAGTGTCCACAGGGAAACAATCTGTGTTTATGACTGAGGCAAGTGGTTTTGTTTTTATTTGTAAAAAAACCCAGGAATCTTGACATCTTTATAGCAAATCCATGAGAACTGCTGCTACAATCATAATTTTCCAGCTGAAAGCTTAGTGACAACTGAGCAGGGCAATCCAGAAGAGGATGTGGCCCCTACCCAATTTCCCTGACAGCTCTATATTGAGATTCCACTGCTGCTTAAGAGTGGCAATATTCATGTGATTGTAGTAAATTGCTCTAAGCAATTAATAAAGAACCTGAAATGCTTTTACTATCTGAGGAGGTCTCCATCTACTAAGAAATATATTATTTTTAACCTCCCGGTGTCAATTTTTGTACCCATCATGAACAGCTACCTGAAGCTGCTGACTGCCCAAGCAGATGACCAGAACATGCATCTTGGTAAGGGGGAAAAAAAAAATCCAGCCAGGTTATGTGGAAAGTGTTAGAGCAACTGGAAAGCGCAGAACGAGGCACACAAGTCTCACAGCAAAAGTCAGACAGCACATTCCAGTTAGTTATTTCAAATAGTTACAAATGTGGGAGGACCTAACAACTAAGAGGCTCTGTATGGATTTTTTTCAGCTTTCCTCCCCTCAATTATGTCCAGATCTCCCCCACCTCTTGCATCACTTTGCCTGCATTCTATTATTTCTAGTACACTAGATTGATCAGAGCTAGTGCAGATGTGTCTCCTTGATTTCAGGAAACGCACACAGTAAGTGGCATAATAACCTAATGATATTTGGCTGGTAGCCTTTTATGGCAGCAAACCATGATAGACAGTTCCTTGTTGAATAAACCCTTCTTCGGTCTTTAAACAAGTGGGAACTAACTGGGGCAGAATCTAGTTGATACAAATTCACAAGAAAATTCAAGGTGCATTTACTCTTGAAACTGATACACGTAAGCCACTGGAATATGCATGCATGTAGTGTTTTACAGCACCAACTGTTTAAGCTACATTAACCATTTGAAGGCAATGGGTGCTCTCCCCGAACTCCATTTTCATATTACTTAACTGTATGAATTACTCCCAGCCAAACTTCATAAAGCTAAAGTTAAGCTTTAAAGTACATATCACTAATTTAAGAATAAAGAACTTTACAAAGATGTAATTTTCCAAAACCAACATTAAAAAAATCCAAGGAACTCAGTTGTTTGGATTTAAATTTAACCATTTGAAATTGTATCCATCCTTCTTTTTTGTTGCCTTTTTGCCTCTCTTTTTTTTTTTTTTTGGTAAGATGCTTGGCTCCCTTTTTAGTTTAATCTGAAATTCCTATGCTTTAAGTGTTCTTCACACACCAAACAACTACCTCTACAACTTTCTTGTAAAGCTGTTTATCATTACATCAAGGCAGGCGATTCTCTTACTTTGTGTTTCAACAGAAAAGCACAAGGAGACCCTGGGCCCAATTGGTGCTTGAGTGATTCTGTAATACAATTGCTAGAAACTTTAAAAAAAAAAAAGTACTTTCAGTCCAGCATACTGAAATTTTTGCTTTGGGGTGTTTTAAGACCTAAGTTTTAAAATATATTTGTGCCCTACACAGGAGACAGGGAACAGGACACCAAGTGAAATTCCAAACCTCTGAAGATTATTGGAAGCCAGAAAGAAGCGGGAAGTTTATGGTGGTTAAGAGCTCTACATGATCAGTCTCCTGAGCCTTTGCACATCAGCCCCACTACAATCTTCTACTTCTATACCTTTACTTTTCGTCCCCAGAGCACACCTATACTTTGAGCTGGGGGTGAGAGTTCCAGCTCAAGGAGACATACTTGTGCTAGTTCTGATCAAGTTAGTGCAATAAAAACAGAGTGTAGGCACAGCAGCGCAAGAGGTAGTGATGGTGGGGTGAATGGGCACATACTTGGGGTGGCTAGCCCTAACTTCAGCCTACTCTCCCGCCTCCCCTCCACGGCTACATTATTTCAGTGTGCCCGGTTGATCAGAGATAGCACATGTATGACTCCTTGAGTTGGAAATTATACCTCTGGCTGGAAGTGTAGACATACAGCTAGTCTCTGATTCACCTTCCTGAAGCCTTGTTGAAGACCAAGAGATCTACTATGGACCTTGGCAAGTCAGCAGAAACCATGGGCCCAGTATGGATTCCTGGCCTCAGCAGCACCTGTACATTTTATCAAATCTGAGACAGGGAGCAGGAATATGTAACCTGGGGGAGGAGGAAAGGAAGTAGAAGCAGATGACAGAAGCTAGCAGGGCTGTGGGATCCACTTGGGTCATGGAAACCTGCAGACCTTAGGAGCGCTTGAGACATTCAGATGGAAATAAGGAGGGCTGGAAACCTTAAGCTAAGATTGTTATAGGAGCTAATCAAGTCAAGAGGAACTTGAGTCAGGCTGCCTGTACTTGGCTTGAGAGGAAAAAATCATGCCAATACTGTACCTGCACTAAAAACAGATAATATACTAATACACTGTACAAATCAGTTTGGATAAACATTCTGTTTCAGCCTTGCTTCAGAACAAGAGCCCTTTCCAAAAGGTTATTCTCTCGTATACTTAACACCATTCACAAGAGTGTTGGATTCCTTACCGGTACCCTGCTAAGAGGTGGCTTTGAGGGAGGAGTCCCTGGTTTCACTGCTGTTGTTGCAATGCTGACTGATGCTGGAACATAGGTGACAGGAATGCCCACTTGACCAGGTGTGGCAACTGGTGTCATCACTGGTAAGCCAGCTGGTCCAAGGGGCAAACTAACTGGTGGTATACAAGAGCTGGTCGTGGCTGTCATAGGTTTAGTTGGTGCAACAGCAGTGGTTGGTACGCCAGGCATGACTGTAGTCTCCATTACCAGTGATGTCTCCAGAGATACAGGTGGATGCGTTGCTCCAACATTGCCATGTTCACTGAATAGAGATCGTAGCTTTTCTTCCAAGGTCTTTATGTCATCGATGCCAGGAGCTTTGGGCTGAGTGTCAACATCAGCCTCCAGACAGTGAGTATGAGGTTGATTGGGTAGCGGAGCAGGTTGAGGTTGACTGTGTATCAAGGTCTGCTGTACTGCAGGCAAGTTAGCAACTGGCTGCGTCAGTGGTAGGGTGCCAGATAAAGGAACCTGGGGTACTATGGGGGTAGAGATTGCAGCTGCTGCCTGGGGTAGGACAGGTGTTGACGCAACTGCTGACGGAATGAGTAAAGGATGCACCACAGCAGGCTGAGGGACTGAACCAGATATACTTGATGCCACTGTAGAGGACAATGGTACAGAGATAGGAAGGGACAAGCCAGCTGCACTGCACAGCTGCGCTTTATCTACTGACTGCCCATCCTCAGGCTTCAAGTGTAGCACACTTACAACTGTTTCTGCCAGACTGGGGGTGGAGCTACTACTGCTGAGCTGAGGCATTTGTGAAGTCACATTATGAGCCATAGTTGGGGCTACAGATGTTTGCGGAGCTGCCACAGACTCCATACTACTTGAAATCTGTTGAGCAGAAGGAGAGGTCACAGGTGGGGGTACAGCACTTGGTGCACTAACACTGGGGCCAGCCATGACAGGAATCTGTTGTGTTGGTGGCAACATTAAAGAAGCAGGTGTGCTGATATTAGGGACAGCTTCTTCAGTCAGTGGTTGAGCAGACTGTGATGTAACAGTTAATGAAAAAGAAGCAGGTGCACTCACACTGGAAGTCACTCCACCAATTAATTGGTGCCCAGACTGTGATGATGTGGGAGAGTTGGAGCCTGAAACACCTGTGCTTGGTGTAACTCCAGCTGGCACCTTTTCTGTAGGCAGGGGAACAACAGATTGAGCTACTGGAAGAGAAATACCAGTGGTGGAGGGAGGAGATGCTGGGAGAGGAGCCACTGATGTAGATGGTAGACTTCCAACTATGTTAGAAAGTACAGGTGGAAATGGTGGCATAGTTTGGTTAAAAACTGGAGGAGCTGTACTGGGTCCTTCTGTCATTTGAGCATGCCTGATCTCGGAGAAAGCTTGCTGCAGACTGAGTGATGATGCAGAATGAGAGAGGTTCATCCCAGGACCATGTGATGGAGAGGAAGTAACTGGGGGAAAAAAAAAAATATATATATATCCAGTCAGGCCACCTAGAGAAGTTTACCATGGTTTACCTACCATTGCTAGATTAACACCATTCCAGTATAGTGCATTATAGCATGCTTTACGTCGGCTATTCAAAAGAGACCTAGGAGTACAGAGCCAGGGGATATACTGCAAATCACAATTTAAGATGTGCTGTGAACCCTATAGGAGCCTAGCACTGGAACAGCAATGGGTAGTATCAGTTAACAGACAGATCTAGAGGAAGAAAATCTTGCATAATGCTGCCCAAAAGCATTTTTGGCTCTAACCAGCAGTCAGTTCCTTATTTTCAGTGGGTTTTTTTCTAATGTTAGGAACTGGTCAAGGTGGGTGAGGTAATATCTTTTATTGGACCAACTTCTGTTGTTGAGAGAGACAAGCTTTCGAGTTTACACAGAGCTCTTCTTCAGGTCTGGGAAAAGTACTCAGGGTCACAGCTGAATACAAGGTGGAACAGATTGTTAGCTTAAGTAGTTAACATACATTTCAAGAATAGCTGCCAACTTTCACATGGTAAATAAGCACCTCGACTTTCACAATAAACCAAAAATCAAGTTAATCCCATTCCAAAACAAGCCAATCCCTAAGAATCTTAACACTATGTGACTAGATCCCCGGCGTGCAGTCTGGGACTGTGGTGGGTCCCCTGAATTTCTCCCACCGTTGCCCCTGCTTTCCAGGAACTGATTAAAAAAGGAACAAGCAACTCACAAGCCAATTAAGCCAAAAACAAGCCCAATTTCTGTGTTTTTTCCATGGGTTTGGCATGTCTGATTTCAAGGGACCATTCACAGACTCAGACTAAGGTCAGAAGGGACCATCATGATCAACTAGTCTGACCTCCTGCACATTGCAGGCCACAGAACCTCACCCAACAACTCCTGTGATAGACCCCTAACCTCTGGCTGAGTTACTGAAATCCTTAAATCACGATTTAAGAACTTCAAGTTACAGAGAATCTACCATTTACACTAGTTTAAACTTGCAAGTGTCCCATGCCACATGCTGCTGGGGAAGGTGAAAAACCCCCAGGGTCTCTGTCAATCTGACCTGGGGGAAAATTCCTTCCTGATCCTATATATAGCAATCAGATAGATCCTGAGCACGTAGGCAAGACCCACCAGCCAGATACTACAGAGAATTCTTTCCCAGGTAACTCAGAGCCCTCCTCATCTAGTGTCACATTTGCTATTAGCAGTCACAGATTGGCTACATGCCTTTGTAGGCAGTATCATCATACCATCCCCTCCATAAATTTTTCAGGCTCAGTCTTGAAGCCAGCTAGGTTTTTTGCCCGCACTGCTGCCCCTGGAAGGCTGTTCCAAAACTTCACTCCTCTGATGGTTAGAGACCTTCACCTAATTTCAAGCCCAAACTTGTTGATGGCAAGTTTAGATCAATTAGTTCTTGTGTCCACATTGGCGCATAACTTAAATAAATCTGCTCCCTCCCTGGTATTTATCCCTCTGATGTATTTATAGAGAACAATCATATCTCCCCTCAGCCTTCTTTTGGTTAAGCTAAACAAACCAAGTTCTTGGAGTCTCCTCTCATAAGGTAGGTTTTCCATTGCTCAGATCATCCTAGTAACCCTTTTCTGCACAAGAAGAGGGTGGAGGAGAAGGGAGCTTCCTTTTCCCCCTATGATTGGAGGCATGCTAATGGGCCACTTCACCTTGAACGGTCCCTTGAAATGTGTGATAACTACTTATGCTAAACAATCTGTTCCACCTTGTATTTAACTGAGAGGCACTGTGTGCATTTCCCAGACCTGAAGAAAAGCTCTGTGTAAGCTCAAAAGCTTCTCTCACATCAATGGAATTTGGTCCAATAAAAGATATTACCTCACTTATCTTGTCTCTCTAATATCCTGGGACTTACACAACTATGACAAGAACTGGTCACTCAGGTTAAACAACTTGTAGCTGGTATCAAATATTAACAGTCAAAACTCCAGAGAGCTTTAGGTAACTTACCAATATCTAGAAGTTCCTTTCCTGCAGGAATAGAAGAGGTGAAAAACTGCTGTTCTCTTAACCGACTCTCTGGGACAGGACTGACAATAAATCGTCTTCCAGCAGAATGGACAACCTGGGTGAAAGAGCTGGGAGGAACACCTAAACAATAAAGAGAAGTTAGGTATTTAGCCATGTGCTGCATCTCACTCATCACAGCATGTCCTACCAGATCATGCACTCAAGCATACAAAGGTTGCGCTCCTCAGCTGGACCAAAGTCCGTAGTAGGAAACTGTTGGATAAGTACTATAAAGCTTACCCGTTCTCTGCGGTATGAAAGATACAGGATCTGGCTGTTTGAACTCTCCCTCCAATTTCTGCAAAAAGATAAAATAGTATAATTTACATTCAAGCACCTCAGTCTTCCAAAAAAGCTTAAACAAGTTCAGTGGCATAACTATGGTATTCAGTGTACTGCTACTGTAAGCAATACTGTGAATTTGAGTACTTTATCAATCTAATCTAGTTCTACCTCACTTCACCCCTCCCGCACCCCTCAAAACTCTGTTCCATGGGAACATGTCAGTATTACATCTAAATTACCAAGACAGGAAAGTTTGGAAACCTATCTGCTTTCCTGCCGGGCAGACTGCCCTGGAACCAGGACTCCCATAGGTTGTAGTTGTCCCAACTCCAAGGCAGTCCAGGAAGCCCTCGCAACCCCTTTCCCCTGCCTGGTGGGCTGCCAGGATGCTGGACAACTGGAGAAGCAGAGGAATCACTACAAAAATGTCAAAACAAGGGGTCTTATTTTTTTTCTAAACCATTTCATTTTTGTTCCATTTTGGAGCAATTTTTTGAAATTCTGAAATTTCCGGGAATTCCAGTTTCTGGCCAGCTCTACTTATGCCACCACTTCCACTGCACTCAAAACAGAGGTTGTAAACAGTCTGGCTGAAACAACCAGGTCCCCACTTACCTGGGACCCTGGAAAGAAGCAGTCATCTTTCGTCTGCATACTCTCCAAGCCCTGATCGCCTTCTGGCTCCACACTGACATCTTCACTGAGCATTTCATCTGCTTTCTCAATGATCTCTCGTACCTGCTCTACAAATGAATCTCTCTCAGTTGCTAGAATAAATTCATTCTGCACCTGTAAATGAAACAAAACAACAAGGATTACTGTCATCATTAAAGTCCCTTGTCTATTTATATTTTTAAACCCCTTCAAACCTATATTGTACATGGATTCTGTCTATGCAACTATGCCTTCCTTTCAGTGTTACCCTTATTCTCCGTTGGCCATTTTGTCACACCAACTTGTTGCATCTTGCTTTAATTTAGACTGTGACCTCTTTAGGGAAAGGGATAGTCTGTATTTTTATAGCCTCAAGTGTAACAGGACTCTTATTTGGTCCTCTATTTGTATTACAGTAGCACTAAAAGTCTCACTCATCTAGGTAAGCTACTGTCACTTCATCACAGGATTTCTCCTTGGCATAAATTGTTTAATTGAAATTTACCACTTCTGTCGAACTATCTGTTCGAGCTTGTATTTAGCTGTTACACACAGTTTCCCAGACCTTTAGAATAGGTCTGTATAGACTTAAAGCTTGTCTCTCACTAACAGAAGATGGTTCAATAAAAGATGATATTACCTCACCCACCTTGACTAATATCCTGGGACCAACACAGCTACAAAATCATTGCATAATTGAAGTCAGGCAGTCAAACTAATTCCTATTACGTCTACTGATTAATATTGTGTAAGTGCTCAAAACAACTCAAATGTTTAGCTGCAGTAAAAGGAATGAGGGACTATGGTCATTGAAACTTGAAAGTACTGTGCACGATCTCCTCACAAAGTGCTGGAAATGAACTTCTAAATTCTCTTCTCTGCCTGTTCAGAGTCTTTCGTAACCAGAGCCAAACAATCGTGATGAACCAAGTTGCTCTGCACTAGCAAACTACGTTTAAGTTGAACCCGTATCTCCCAGAGAAGAGAGAAAATAACTTCACAAGCTTAATTCTGTGACTAGCCACATAAACCAGCTGTACATTTCAATTGTGCAAAACCAGTCACTACAAACTCTTCTGTTCAAAGACTGATAAGTGTCTTTTTAACAGTCATCTGTTTTTCACTCTGACTAAGAATGGATATTACTACTGGGATGGCAATGCCATGCTGTTCTATTTCATGAGCCGTATGCACTAGTTTTTCAAGATATGCCAAGACAATTTCCCACAGAATGATTTGAGATAAAATCTTTAATAGTCTTCTATCCTTGATGCTGCGAAATGAAATGGGATCCAGCATATATAACCCTGACCAATCAGTTTACTTTCTACATGACAAAACCAACAAGAATTAATTCAGACTTCCTTGGAAACAATAACTGAGGTAACCGGTGTATGCTGAATGTATATAATGTGGATAGTGTAATTTAATAGCTTATAGGTGTACATTTCATGACACCTTTGAAAGAATTTTCCTTTTACAATATTGTGTCTCTCTCATTCAAAGATTTTTGATGTATATTGTTACCACCTCAAGAAAAACCTATGAATGAGTAACAAGGGTTATACAAAACATTTGCAACAATGAAAAGTTTCTGTAAATGTATTACAATTATCAATGTATATGTATTTCTTTAAGTGGCGGGAGGGTTAGTGTGTGTTTTGTGCAGGTTAGTAAAAAACAATATTTCCTTAAAAATATTACTACACACCTGTCCAACTGAGCATTGAGTAGCTGGGAGGCTATTTGCTCACGGACAGGCATGAAAGAGCAAGTCACCATGAGCTCAAAAGGAGGCCTAGTCAAGGCTCAGAGAACTAAATTAAGATCCCAGGTTGGAGTGGGTGTCTCATGTGTGGGAAGAGATTTCCAACACCCTTAAGTAATCTACACGTCAGTGGGTAAGCAAACAGAGTATTGGTCTACTTGACAGTGAAAGGCCGTTATAGTCATAAGATGTACCTTAAAGGAACAGAGTTTTGATGAGAGGGTGGGAGGAAGATGTTTGGTCTATGTGCTTAGACCACCACAAATTTGGAATCACTTCCATTTTTGCTGGTAAGTATGCCGAGTGGTCAATTTTCAGCTGTGTAATAACACGTCTTTTACTTCATCAGAGCATTCTACCTCTAGATCCTGGAACCAAGAAGGAGCCACACCTGGAAGCGGAGGATCTACAAGTTGGAGTGAATGAGCTGTCTGTTGTTTTGAGAGAGCAAGTGAGGAATGGGTTGAAGAGGAACTGGAGAACATAGTGCCATCTATGCCACATAAGGGAACCAAACTTGCCTTGGCCAGGAGGGGGCAATCGGAATAAGTCTTGCTTTGTCTCATCGTACCTTGGACAGTAGAGGAAATGGGGGAAGGTCTATAAAAGGTTCCTGTCACATGGGAGGATGAGCGCAAACTGTTTCCCCAGGCCTGCTCTGGAGCAATAATGAGGACATATCTTGTTCCAATACGCAGTGAAGAGATCTATAGTCAGGGTTCCCCCAAGGGGTAAAAATGTCATGAATAGGGCTCTGTGGTTTTCACAGAGGTCGCGGAAGTCACGGATTCTGTAACTTTCCACTATCGCTGTGACTTCTGCGGAGGTTAGTGTGGCTGAGTCCAGAGCCACCCAAGTAGCTGGCTCTGAGACCAGCTGACCATGTGGCCCCAGGGACAGCCACCCCCAGCTGCTGCTGGAGCAGCCCCACAGACTGCTCAGGCAGCCCCGTGCAGTCAGCTCCAGGGACTGCCCAAGCAATGGTCCCCCTGCTGGCAGCCAGAGTAGCTGCTTCCCTGGGCAGCACCTGGGTGGCCAGCGGAGCCGCTGCCGGAGGTGCCAGTCTGGTCGGCCGCTGGCAGCTGCTTCCCCGGGCTGCCCCCCCCCCCCCTTTTCCCTTCCCAGCAGCAGCCTCTCCAGATGCAACTGCCCCCCAGCAGCAGCCTCTCCAGATGCAACTGCCCCCCCACCTCCACCCAACAGCAGTGACCCCCTTAAGATTTAGTCATGGCTAGTTTTAGTAAAAGTCATGGACAGATCACAGGCCCATGATTGTGTGGGTCTTGCCCATGAGACTTACTAAAAATACCTGTGACTGAATTGTAGCCTTAGACATGAAGCACCTCTGAGTTCAGTTTCCAATTGTGGTCGTGAGCGAAGTTCCGACTTAGATTGTTGGTTGTCACATTCTGCATCCCAGGTAGGTAGACGACTGAGATAAGCATGCTCTGTCGGATGCACCAATTCTGAAGTCTGAGTGCTTCTGTGAAGAGGGAGGTACCCTGGGCCTCTTGCACTGCAGCTCGTAATAGCACTGTGAGGGTGGATACTGAGAAGATCGTGACCTGTACTGTGATTGAGAGCCATAGCTCCTCTTTTGTCCCGCTGTATAGATTCCTAGGGAAACCTTCAAGGCATGGAGAGAGGTGCCAGTCATATCCATGAAGAGCTTGGGCCCTTTGAATGGGAGATCCTCAACCATAGTCTGTACCTCTTTGGGCAACCCAGAAAGGTGTAACCATGACACCTGCCTCATTATCACTGCCATGGAGACCTACCAGGCTGCTGTATCTGCTGCATCCAACACCGTCTGTAGCCTAGTCCTGGCCACTAACTGACCCTCTATGACAATGACCTGAAGGTGCTCTTTTTGTGCCTCTGATAAATGTTCAATGAACACATTGACTTTTCCATAATTAAATCATATTTGGCCATCACCAATTTGTTACCCTGAGCTGCAATGTCTCAGACTAATATGTCTTCCTTCCAAAGAGATCTAGCCTTTTCCAATCTCCATCATATGGGGTCGACTTGGCATGTTGCTGCTTGCCAGGTGCATTAACCACATCTACTACAATTGAATTGGGTTGAGGATGTAGGATGTTGAGGATATTGGATTGAGGATGTTTGTAGATGACACTAAAACCTGGGAGGAGTGGTAGATCCGCTGGAGGGTAGAGACAGGACACAGAGGGACCTAGACAAATTAGAGGATTGGCCCAAAAGAAATCTGATGAAGTTCAACAAGAACAAGTGCAGGGTCCTGCACTTAGGATGGAAGAATCCCATGCACCGCTACAGACTACGGACCGAATGGCTAGGCAGTTCTGCAGAGAAGGATCTAGGGGTTACAGTGGACAAGAAGCTGGATATGAGTCAACAGTGTACCGTTGTTGCCAAGAAGGCCAAATGGCATTTTGGGATATATAAGTAGGGGCATTGCCAGCAGATCGAGGGACGTGATCGTTCCCCTCTATTCGACATTGGTGAGGCCTCATCTGGAGTACTGTGTCCAGTTTTGGACCCCACACTAAAAGAAGGATGTGAAAAATTGGAAAATGTCCAGCGGAGGGCAACAAAAATGATTAGGGGGCTGGAACACATGACTTATGAGGAGAGGCTGAGGGAACTAGGATTGTTTAATCTGCAGAAGAGAAGAATGAGGGGGGATTTGATAGCTGCTTTCAACTACCTGAAAGGGGGTTCCAAAGAGGATGGATCTAGACTGTTCTCAGTGGGAGCAGATGACAGAACAAGGAGTAATGGTCACAAATTGCAGTGGGGGAGGTTTAGGTTGTATGTTAGGAAAAACTTTTTCACTAGGAGGGGTGGTGAAACACTGGAATGGGTTACCTAGGGAGGTGGTGGAATCTCCTTCCTTAGAGGTTTTCAAGGTCAGGCTTGACAAAGCCCTGGCTGGGATGATTTAGTTGGGGAATGGTCCTGCTTTGAGCAGGGGGTTAGACTAGATGACCTCCTGAGGTCCCTTCCAACCCCGATATTCTATGAAGAAACAGAAAGTCTGCCTCTTTGTGAGAGATGTAATATTTCTTGTCGGCTCTCTTGCAGGTTGATGCAATGGAGACTGGTGTCTGCCAGATGACTTTGGCAGGATCCAGAAGCGCCTCACCTCAGGAGGGTGATTCTGGAGAAGGAGGAAGTATGCAGAATATCTACCAGCTCGTGATGTGTATCTGCTACCTCCTGAAGGGGAATTTGCAGCTCATCCACCACCCTCTTAGTAAGATCTTAAAATCATCAGCTAGTGATGGGGGAAGGCATTAAAGCCTTATCTGGTGAAGATGAAGAGAAGTTGGCTGGAGAGGTAGCCTCCGTTTCAAGCCTTTCCTCCTGTCCTTCAAAAGTTTCTTCTTCCTCCAGTTCAGGGACCAGAGATAGTGAAGCTACAGGAGACAGTCTCACCAACTCTCTGAGAGACATGGACGTCAACAAACTGTGGGATCTGTACAACACCCCTGGATCCCAATATGGCAGGGTGAGGGGTAGTGAAAGTGCACAAGGAGGCCCACACCAAGACTGCAGGTCAGCATGAGGGTGGAGTTGAGGAGGTCCCCAGTACTGTGACAGCATGCCACAGTGAGAGGTCATGGAAATAACATGCTCCTGGTCACTGTCATACTCATCACAGGGTAAGGGTGGTGCTGACTGGAGCACTGGCAGTAAATGGCCCCAGTGATTCCATGCATGAGGCTCCAGTTCCAATTAATGGGGATTGTGCTTATTCCGTGACCTCCAGATCTCTAGGGTACAGGAATTCTTGCAGTTACACTGACTCACTTGGTACCATGGATGAGTGTCCGTGGTAACTTGCAGGTACCGATGGTTGCTTGTGTGTAGAACGCTCCAGGGACAGTAGCTTTGCCACAATCAGTACCGATGCTTTACTTGGTATCACTCACTTGGAAGCAGTATGTACTTTGTCCTTCTCCTTAGGAGGCAGTACCACTACCTAGGAGTCTGAGCCTCTGGTGCAGGGGTGGGCAAACTAGGGCCCATGGGCCAGATCCAGCACGCCAGTCATTTTAATCCAGCCCTCAAGCTCCTGCTGGGGAGCAAGGTCTGGGGTTTGCCAAGCTCCAGAGCTCCAGCCGGGGAGCAGAGTTGGGGGCTGCTCCACGTAGCTCGGGGAAGCAGTGGTATAGCCCTACTCTGCTGCTCCGGCTGGGGAGCAGAGTAGGGGGCCACTCCGTGTGGCTCCCGGAAGCAGCAGCAAGTCACCCCTCCAGCTCCTATGTGTAGGGGCAGCCAGGGGGCTCCACTCGCTGCCCCCCACCCCAAGCGAGGTCCCTGCAGCTCCCATTGGCCAGGAACTGCAGCCAATGGGAGCTGCAGGGGCAACACCTGGGGATGGGGTAGCACACAGCGGAGTCGAGCAGCCTCCTACACCCCAAACCTCTCATCCCCAATCCCACCCCAGAACCTGCAACCCCAGCCAGAGCCCTCCCCCAACACTCCAACACCCTGCCCCAGCCCAGAGCCCTCTCCCACCCTCCAAACCCCTCAGTCCCAGCCCAGAGCATCCTCCAGCACCCCAACCCTCTGCCCCAGCCCTGATCCCCCTCCTGCCCTCCAAATCCCTTGGTCCCAGCCTAGAGCACCCTCATGCACCCCAAACTCCTAATCCCCACCCCACAGCCTTCCCCCCACACCCCAACCCCCTGCCCCAGCTTAGAGCTCTCTCCCACACCCTGAACTCCTCATTTCTGGCCCCACCTCAGAGCCTGCACCCTCAGCCAGAGCCCTGACCCCCTCCCACACCCCAACCCCAATTTCGTGGGCACTCATGGCCCGCCATACAATTTCTATACCCAGATGTGACCAAAAAGTTTGCCCACCCCAGCTCCAGTGTCTTTAGGCAGTGCAGCTAAGCTCATAGGGAAGACACCCTGATACTTCTGGGTACCGCACTTCGGAGCCACTGGTATAGAGGTGGCTGAGCGCACCGGGGAACCCCTCTGGCTGGCCAAAGACTCTGTCTGGGGGCTTGGAGCCCTTTTTCTTGAGCCCTTAAGGAGGGAATCTGCTGGTTTTTTCCACAATTCTACCCCAATGGAAGTCGAAGGCTCCGGAGACAACATGTGTCCTGGATAACATCTAGCACTGGAGTCAGCTGGTGGCTGAAGTGCTCTCTCCATCAGGAGGAGTTTTAACTTCAGATCCTGGTTTGGCTTTTTTTGAGACCTCGCCTTGAGCTGCTGGCAGAGGGTGCACTTTTGTGGATATACGATTCTCCCAGACACTTTACACAGTGATATCACCCTTCAAAAGCAAAGAGAGCAGAAGAGTTGTTTTGTTTTTTGTTTTTTTAATTAAAAGGAGAGGTTAGAAAGCCTAAACTACTAAATGCCCTCTGGGAGGGGGCGGGCAGAGGGTTCCCCAGAAAGGGCAGGAAACATGACATAGAAGGGGTTTTCCCCCTTTTTTTTTAAATCCTGGAAAACTAACCATTAAGGGAAACAAAAGGACTAAAACTACTACTTATGCTAATGATGCAGAGAATGATCAGACACCTGCTTGCTCCATTTGAGGCCAAAGGCAGTCAAGAAGGAACTGTGGGCAGTTTGCCCGCACAAGATAGCTTCTGGGCAGATCATGAGGGAAGAAAAGCACATATGCGGGCAGAATGGACACTACAACCTAAAATCTTCGAATAGAGGCACAGGGGCTCAGATACACCTACACTGGAGCTCCCATAGGGACATTACTTGAAGAAGAAAATTAAGTTCCCCAGTGACACGAACGGAACTGCACTTGGAAGAGTTTGTTTTATATTGTATTTCCAGAAATGGAGTTTAGTGTTTATTAGTTCAGCTCACAAGAAGCAGTAAGAGATTTTTAAAATCCTAGAGTAGAAAGTTAAAACTGTTTTACTTGAAGACACTGAAGTTTGAAGATAGAAGCTGACCCAAATCCTCAGATGAACTAGTTTTGCAAATACTGGACCAAACATGTTGGCTTTGGACACTGTTCTTTACCACTCAGTTATTATGGAAAGATTTTGCTTCTAATATTAGTAACGTGACTGGAAGAGGAGACAGACTGTAGTGCACAGGGAAGCCATAAGAATAGTAGTAATTCCAGAAGGCAGGTTAGATGAACTCTAATCTAAGGTGATTTGTACAACTAATACAGTTAACAAGATCACAGTCAATTCTCCATCTGCACTGGAGACGTAGCTCACCATAATTGATGCTATTTCCTCCGGGTTGTCACCGTCCAAGTCAAATTTGAAAGTAACCATTTTCCGATTGTGTGTCTCTAGTTGGCATTCAACCACACGATCACCCTTGTTCGAAACCTGAAAGAAAAGAAATATGCTTTCCAGCCTGAACTGCGGAACACAATGGAACATCACAAACAACTACTGAGCACAAGTGTGCAGACATCTCTTGTTCCTAAAGCCCGGGAAGGCCAGGTGCACAAAAGCAACAAGAGATCTCCAATAGGGCCAACTGTACTGTACTCCTCCATGAGCCATTCACTTTCCATTTTCAAACAGAGATCAGATGCACTGAAGGGCAAATGATCCTCTAAGGGATTCCCAACTGCATCACCCTCTTCAAGCCCTCTTGCTCAACATAGACCATCTTTCTCTAGAACTCTGACTGACAGTGTAAACCTTTCCTGCTTATGTCAAGAAACAGTACAAAAAGTCTGCCCCAACATTTCAGGAAAGTCATTAATGGTAATAGTGAAGGTAGGGTGAGGTTTCTTAAATGAACTCCAGCCCAGTCAACACAGTCTGAGGGCAAGGCAAATGGCAAAGCAAATATTCTGTAGCAACTACTGGCATCAGTGCTCCCTGAATGACCATGTTCTGCTGTGCTTAATGCTCTGCAGAATATCTAATTGCTCATCTTTGGAACACTATCTGACCTCCAAAGCAGGAAGAATATTTTGTACACCCCTATATAGTGTCCAGCACCAAGAAAAAAGATGGGGGTGAAGCCTAGCCACTTCACATGGGAGGCTGTTATCAGAATTTAGGATACAAAGGAAACAAAGGATACCCCTCTTACAGAACTTCCCTACCCACCATCCTGAAAAGCTCAAGAAAGACATTACCCACTACTACAGTCATTGAAGTAAGCCATAACTCACATTAAGAATTCTCAGTTTTGGTCTAGCAGTCTTCTCGTGCCGAGAGCGGCTGCGTACAGACTTCCGATAATGGCGTTTGGTGGTCCTCCCTTCATGTCTCCCACTAGATCCTGGCACATTCTCATTCCCATCACTCATCCCTGAAGCAACATCAGAATGTGCACTAAAAACCAAAATAATTAATTTTAAGTTTTAATAATTTTCACAAATATTTGAACTTCTTAAGAGTGTGATGACTGAATTCCCCTCTTAACCCAAGAGAGGGTGGCCTCTTAAGAGCACCATTGGTTATTCTTGTGAGGACAGGGTCTGAGGAGGATAATCCTTTAATCACAAATGGTTGCTTGAATAATAAATATGTAACCACACATGAAAGGAAGGGATCCATAAAATATTTTTGTGAAGTAATCCATTTAAATATATCTTCTGGATGAAGCATCAAGCTCTACAAGGCTCAACCCCTGAGTAAGTATGAGTATCACAGGAATGAGTAATCCCCTTGCTTGATGTGTAATTACAATAGATTGGCATATCTGGTGTGATGTTATCTGATTAAGATATGACCATGTATATCATTGTTGCTACCACTGTTATACAATTGCAACAAATCTTGTACAAAGTATGTTATGTGATGTGTCAATGGAAACGTTATGATTTGCTGAATATGATTATCCTATTAGTATGCACATATTTTCATTTCTGAAGTTATGAATATTGACTGTATACCATAAACCTGGGAATCCTGGACGCCCCATCATCTCAGGCATTGGCACCCTGACAACAGGATTGTCTGGCTATGTAGACTCACTCCTCAGGCCCTACGCTACCAGCACTCCCAGCTATCTTTGAGACACCACTGACTTCCTGAGGAAACTACAATCCATCGGTGATCTTCCTGAAAACACCATCCTGGCCACTATGGATGTAGAAGCTCTCTACACCAACATTCCACACAAAGATGGACTACAAGCCGTCAGGAACAGTATCCCCGATAATGTCACGGCTAACCTGGTGGCTGAATTTTGTGACTTTGTCCACACCCATAACAACTATTTCACATTTGGGGACAATGTATACCTTCAAATCAACCCGCATGGCCCCACAGTATACCAACATTTTTCTGGCTGACCTAGAACAATGCTTCCTCAGCTCTCATCCCCTAATGCCCCTACTCTACTTGCGCTACATTGATGACATCTTCATCATCTGGATCCATGGAAAAGAAGCCCTTGAGGAATTCCACCAGGATTTCAACTATTTCCTTCCCACCATCAACCTCAGCCTGGACCAGTCCACACAAGAGATCCACTTCCTGGACACTACAGTGCTAGTAAGTGATGGTCACACAACCACCACCCTATACCAGAAACCTACTGACCACTATGCCTACCTACATGCCTCCAGCTTTCATCCAGACCACACCACATGATCCATTGTCTATAGCCAAGCTCTACAATACAACCACATTTGCTCCAACCCCTCAGACAGAGACAAACACCTACAAGATCTCTATCAAGCATTCTTACAACTACAATACCCACCTGCAGAAGTGAAGAAACAGATTGACAGAGCCAGAAGAGTACCCAGAAGTTACCTACTACAGGACAGGCCCAACAAAGAAAACAACAGAACGCCACTAGCCATCACCTTCAGCCCCCAACTAAAACCTCTCCAACGCATCATCAAGGATCTACAACCTACCCTGAAGGACGACCCATCACTCTCACAGATCTTGGGAGACAGGCCAGTCCTTGCTTACAGACAGCCCCCCAACCTGAAGCAAATATTCACCAGCAACCAGTAACCCAGGAACCTATCCTTGCAACAAAGCCCTTTGCCAGCTGTGTCCACATATCTATTCAGGGGACACCATCATAGGGCCTAATCACATCAGCCACACCATCAGAGGCTCGTTCACCTGCGCATCTACCAATGTGATATATGCCATCATGTGCCAGCAATGCCCCTCTGCCATGTCCATTGGCCAAACTGGACAGTCTCGACGTAAAAGAATAAATGGACACAAATCAGATGTTAAGAATTATAACATTCATAAACCAGTCAGAGAACACTTCAATCTCTTTGGTCACTCGATTACAGACCTAAAAGTGCCAATTCTTCAACAAAAAAACTTCAAAAACAGACTCCAACAAGAGACTGCTGAATTGGAATTAATTTGCAAACTGAATACAATTAACTTAGGCTTGAATAAAGACTGGGAGTGGATGGGTCATCACACAAGGTAAAACTATTTCCCCATGTTTATCCCCACCCCCACCCCACACACACTGTTCCTCACACGTTCTTGTCAACTGCTGGAAATGGCCCACCTTGATCATCCCTACAAAAGGTCCCCCTCCCCCACTCTCCTGCTGGTAATAGCTCACCTTACCTGATCACTCTCATTACAGTGTGTATGGTAACACCCATTGTTTCATGCTCTGTGTTTATAAATCTCCCCACTGTATTTTCCACTGAATGCATCCGATGAAGTGAGCTGTAGCTCACGAAAGCTTATGCTCAAATAAATTTGTTAGTCTCCAAGGTGCCACAAGTACTCCTTTTCTTCCCACAAGGTAGTTTACATCCAGTCTAGCCAGCAAACTGTGCATGGACTATTCAAGTTGATGGTCCATCAACGAACCCAATGGGCCATGGAAGAAGCTTATCCCCACCTGATAGACTTTCCTGTGAACTTTCCAAGCAAAATATGGGTAATGGCCCCTGCTATGACTCATCGAAACATGCAAGGGCATGTGACCAGCTCACGTGATACTGGACTCCATCTTGTGCCTGTACTTTTCCCACTGACTGTACTGACAGCAAACCCATCATATGGCAGAAAGTATAAAAGGCCCCAGAAACATCTCCATTTGGCCTCTTTCCCACTCTGATCTCTGGACTATGGACTTATACTAATGGGAGCTTTCTAACCAAGAGATTGAGGACCTTCCAATCTTTTGGAAGGAACCAGAGACTTGACTTAAGCCAGCAGTTTTATGCCATCACTGCTTCAAGCCTGATCCAAGAACTTTGCAATTATTAGATACTAAAAGATTGGCAACAGTGTGATTATTTGGTAAGATCTGAGTTATATATTGACCTGGGTATGTGGCTGGTCCTTTGGAATAAGAAGAACCCTTTGGTTGATGAAATTGGTTTTAAATAACCACTCATCATTAAGTCTAGTGTCTGGGTGTTGGAACAAAGGCTGGGATGCCTAAGGAGACCATTTCTGACTTCTCATTAGCCAATGTAGTGAGACAAATTTATTTTTGTTGATGGTTTGGTATATCTTATGGAAGAATAACCAGCAGTTTGGGGGGGGGGGGGGGTGTTTGCCCTAATTCTCAGCAGTTTGTCATGAATCTGGTGTTCTCAGTTGTGACCCACTGAGGCACAGTAACAGCAGGTCATTGCACACAATCTGTGTGCCTTCTCCAGGCCCTGATTAAAAAGAAGAGGTTTGTAGGAGTTCAAGAGAAATCTTTGAGGAAATAACTTCCATTTTTTTCCTAGGTTTATGTAGAAAATATCCCTAGTAAAGAACAGATGCCAGAGAGCCACCAATGGAAGAAACTCCTCTCAACCAACAAGTTCAACTTGGCAAAACCCACTGGTTACCTGTCTAGTGAGGAGACCAATGGGGTAGTCAGTGCAGGATGTTGCTGTGCTGGTGGTACAGTTTCTGAAGGAGCAGCCTGTGAGGCCCCCTGAGTACCCTAGAAGAGAAAACAAACATTCTTCAAGCATGCCAATGAGTTATATCTTCATTTCTCACCACAATCAACCTTTTAATATTTTTTCCCCAATCAAACTTTGAAGCTAGAAAGCACCATTTCTCCAGAATAATTTATAACAACCAGGGTCTAGTCAGCTCAAATCTGACACCCAAGGGAGAGGGCTCTAGTGCAAGTTTCATACAGAGCGCCTGGTGAGGTCAGCCATCCCACCTGCTACATTGTGATACTACAGCTTGCCATGCAGCCAGCGTCTTACTAGCAGAATGTGCAACAGGGAAGCCAACGCAGCACACAGACAATTCAAATCTCTCCCCCCAACAACAGCAAGGCTGCAGGGAACATGTATAAGAGAGATTCTCAAGGGCTACCAATGGCAGAGTGTCTCTCAGAAGACAAAAAAGGATCTAGAGCACTAGCAAGAAGAAGTGAAGTGTTAACAGGTTTTTGCCTCTGGGGGCACACTCACTTCCCAACAGAACAGCCAATGGCAACAAGGTCCCCACATTGGCATGACATTCTGCTGTAAGAAAAAGTCATTTGAGACATTAGTTCATTATGTCCAACTGAATACCATCACAGAAGGGGTTAATTTCCCCCACAAACAGTGCAATGTAGTTCATGCCCTGAAATTTATAATTTACACAGAATTTCCAGAGATTACATTTACCTCTAAAGCTCCCTGCTGTGAAGATGCAGATGAGACCTGCTGTGCTAAACTCACTGCAGGCTGTGGCACTTGAACCTGTCCTCCTAGACCGCCCAGAGGAACTAAAATGTTCTGTTCCACATAAGGCTGCACCATTGCAGCAAGATAGCCTGGCTGAGCCAATGCATCAGTGGGTAAGGGAGGGGACAGTACTGCAGAAGGTATGCAAACAGGGGCCACAGCAGAGGAGGGAGCAACATTTGAGTCTCCTGGGTATTGCGGCGGCAGCCGAGGTGGGAAGCCCTGTGACAGAAATGAGGAATCTGAGTTAGTGCATTTCAGGGGAAGTTAGGAAATCAGCAAGAAAGGCTGAAAAAAGAAAACATAGCAAGTCAAGCTGCAGGGGCATGTTCCAACCTGAAATCCTTCCAGAATGTTCAAGCACCTCTAAAAATAATTTTTCCAAGAGGAACAGAGCAGACTACCCAGGTAAACAAGTTCACCTCCAGAACAATCATATAGTATAAACAGCAAATTCTCTCTCAGGGCTCTCACAAAAGAGAAGAGTTTCAAAGTCCCTAGTGGGTAAATGAATCCTCACCTTCCAACTCCCCCATAGTTATCCATGAAATCATGAAGTGGGGGAAAATCTGAAGAGCTTGCAGGCTGAATGGCCACTACTCAGACAGGATACGCAACTGCTGCTTGTAATCTCTCTTAACTAATAGTGTTCCTACAATCTCTCTCCCCTTTCCAATCTCAGGAGGTGGGCTGGCCTGAGTGCCAAACATTTCTACACACCTCAAGTAAATAGTACTTGCTATTATCTGCTGTTGAACAGCACATTTCAATGTAATATATATTACATTACAATAGTGGTAAACATTATATGTTGGACCTATATTCCCATCACTACGCAGTTTGTCCCTTTTACACTCTGACTGCAGTAAATGTTTAACTTCTAAATAATCAGACACTGATTAGCTCCTGTCCATCATCTCAACATTCCATGTTTGCATCTGATACTTCACTCATGTCCAGGGCTCACAGTTTGGTTTATTGTTAAGATATCAATTTTCCCCCAATGAGTTGTGCCAAAAGACTGGCATTGCCAGACACCCCACACAGTGTCTTTCCAGGACACAGACCAACATTTTGATGTCTTTGGCAGGGGTAATAAAATATTATCAATTTTCAAATTCATAGCTGTCACATATAGCAGAAAAAATACTAGCTCTTTTAGAGAAATTCCATTGCCAATAAATCCATAGTTAGGTGTCCAAAAACAAAATAAAATTTCATGAAACTATGCCCTCTTGCATACAAGTGCAATGAGAGAACTCATCTGTTCATTGTAAAAAAAAAAAAAGGACAAAATGTGGCTTGTTCTCTCTCCAGCCAAATTTGGGTATTGGCAAGTATCTGCAGCACGCAGATCAGGTCTAGTGCCCCAGAGGAACAGAAGATGAGAAGACCTCTTGCTGGCTTGCAACAATACCTGATACAAAGCATCTCCAGCCGGAAGTGCAGTTTCAGCAGCTTGTCCAAGGCTGGCTGGTAATCCCATGGACTGAACAGCTGGCTGCAGGAGCTGTGGGAGAACCTGGCTGGGCAGCTGGGCCGCAGACTGTAGAACAGCTGGAAGCTGGCTAGGGACAATGGTTGATCCTACAGGGATAGCAGCTGCTGCAGCAGATGTGGCCAGAGTGAGTAATGGCTGGTTAATGCCAGCTGCCATAGAGACAGGCAGAGACTGGAAGCCTGGCTGAGCCACTGACGCATGAGGTGCCGCTATGGGGAGCTGAGAGACTGAGAATTGGGGGAGCAGGGAGGTTGACAAGGACTGTCCCATAGGGAGAAAATGAGAGCCAATGGGGATGGTTGGGGCAACTGATGGTTGAGGGAGAGAAGGTGCTGCAACAGGTAACTGAGGTTCGCCTTGGATGATCGGCACTGCTTGGGAAACAGGAAGCTGGGGATGCAAAGAAAATAGATATAGACTTTTTAGGAAGCAGGGTTGCAGAAAGCAGATTTTTAATGTATGAGTCAAAGAAAATAGAATTATTTAAGTTATCACACCCTTTAAGAGTGGAGTGGGGAAAGTAGTTGGTAGAGAGGCTGGAGAGTGGATTGCTGTTCCAAAGGGTTCTCATTTTGCAATTCGTTCCTGAGGATCTCTAAACCACCTTTTGCAACACGTACGTTGTGTTGGGGTGGAACAGCAAGGTCTGAACACTGCTGCAGCATCAACATGTATGTAAACGGACTCTGGTCCTCTCTCATTCTAATTCTACAATCAATCCTCTCTCCCTTGCCACTGTCAGCATACAGAGAATGGCAAAGGTCATGTCAACTGAAGCCAGCAATCAACTGGAAAAGAAGTTCAAACGTACAAGCAACAAAAACCCTTTTAATTTATCAAAGCTCACATTCATGGTATCAAAAAACGTGAGCCAATCTGAAATAAAACCATTCAGTAACAGAAGCATTTTGGCCAAGGAGTGAAGGAGGAAGGCTGGTAGAAAAGAGGAGGACAGTTCAGAAGAGGCAGTGTACATGGCTCATTAACTGGAGAACAAATTTTTGATTATGAACACAAATGTAATTTGGACGGAGAAGGTTTCTCCTACATAAAGTGTCAACAATGTCACATGAAACTCCTCAAAGTGCAAGTGACATTATTTTAATCTTTGCAAAAGTTGTGTCTTGTCACATTTTAGACAATGTGACAAAGATCTCTATGTAAGAAAGGCCTCCTTAAGTGCTGTCACTTCTCAACTGAACCACTGAGCTTCTGCCACATATTCCAAAGAAAGATTCCAGGCACAAATTTTTTAAAACATAGTATGATAATCGTGTCACCTCCAGCAGTATTTTCTGAACCATTAGGAAAGAAGGCAGACCAATAAAAGAGGCAGCCAACAAAGGAAGAGAAGAGAAATCTCCTAACTTTGCAAAAGACCAACTTTAACTACTTGAGTCCCAGCTGGTACCTGAGGCATCGGCATAATCAATGGAGTCTGAGAAACTGGTTGTGATGGGGTAGATCCACTGGAAACTGATGACTGCTGCAGCTGGTACTGTCCTGTCTGCTGGGAAGGAGCCAGCTGCTGTGCACTCTGTTGCAAGGAGGAAAGACGGCAAGAGATTATTTCTCTTCAGATAAAAACATTCCTCAGATTTAGATGCATTTGTGTAGATTTTTCCTAGGTTTTCACTCTCTCATTAGATACAGGAGATAACCATATATGATAGCTGTTATTCGGCAGTATTAAAATAGCTCTGGCACCAACACTGAGCCCTAATATTTCACTAGTTACAATGGAAGCTAACACATCCTGTTAATAGAATCAGTGTAAATGTAAAAACAAACAGAATATTATTCAGCATAGAAAATATTTCATATCATGAAAGCCAGACGATCAGACAGGGCTACCTAGAATAGGCAGATGTCAAAGATGTCAAGAGAAGATGTACAGTTTTTCTGAGTGGAACCCCTGTTGTGTACCTATCAGAAACACAGATGTGGGAACAAGTACAGTAACTCCTCGCTTAACACTGTAGTTATGTTCCTGAAAAATGCGACTTTAAGGGAAACGATGTTAAGCAAATCCTATTTCCCCATAAGAATTAATGTAAATTGGGGGGGGGGGGGAGGAGTTAGGTTCCAGGGAAATTTTTTTCATGAGACAAAAAACTATATTATATATACATACACACAAAGTTTAAAACAAGCAATTTAATACCGTACACAGCAATGGTGATTGTGAAGCTTGGTAGAGTTGGTGAAGTTAGAGGGTGGAAGAGGGTGGGATATTTCCCAGGGAATGCCTTTCTGCTAAATGAGGAACTAGCATTCGGCTGAGCCCTTAAGGGTTAACACATTGTTGTTAATGTAGCCTCACACTCTACAAGGCAGCACAAATGAAGGGAGGGGAGACAGCATGGCAGACAGACAAACAGAAAGACACACCCTGTGTGTGTGTGGGGGGGGGGGAGAGAGAGATGCACATTGCCCCTTTAAGTACACTAACACCACTCTAAGTACATTGCCTTTTTAAGTACATCAGGAAGTTGAGACAGCAGCTGCAGCCAGCAAGCTCTCTCCATCCTGAGCCCTGTCGTGTCCCCACCCTGCTCTATATGGAGAAGGGGTAAGCAGAGGGACACCCTGACATTAGCCCCCCCTTTTTCTTCCCCCCGCATAGCAAGCAGGAGGCTCCCGGGAGCAGCTGCAAGGCAGAGGGCAGGAGCACCACATGGCAGTGCGGGGAGGGACAGCTGAATTGCCAGCAATTGATAGCCTGCTGGGCAGCTGCCGCACAGGGAACTTAGGGGATCTGATGGGGGGCTGCCGGTCCACTCTGGTTCCAAGCTCCCACCAGCTAGCTGCTACGGACTGCTCTTCCTACAAGCAGTGGACAAAACAGGCGGCTGCCAAACAAGGTCATAAGGGAGCACTACGCAACCTTCAATGAGCATGTTCCCTAATTGATCAGCAAAATAACGAAACAACGTTAACTGGGACAACTTTAAGTGAGGAGTTACTGTATATTAAACAGCTAGTAAGACTGTGATTTCACATTATCCTACAGTTACACCAAGCATAGCTGCTTCGCATTAAGCCTGTCCAAAGAAGTCAAGTTTCAGAGTAGCAGCCGTGTTAGTCTGTATTTGCAAGCTGCAAGTTAAACTTACTACACATCAGTCCCGCCTTTAGGAACAGTTATTCTTACCTGCTGACTTGTCTGTGTAGGCTGGGATGGTACTCCCACCGATATACTACTTGAGGCTGACTGGCCTTGCACCTGTGTCTACAGGGGAAAAAATGGAAACAGGTAGAATCATACTGGGCATTTCTGCAACAAGCATCTATAATTTCTGACTAGGATGGTCTAATTGGAACAAATTTCTAGTGAATCCTAAACAATACTATGGCTTAAGTTTAATATGGAGATATTCAACAGAGCAGAGCATTATGGGGAAGTGATGAGCTCTATTTTGTTAAGCTTTCCAGAAAAACTAATACAAAAAAAAACAAAACAACCTGTGAAAACTAAAACAGCCCTCCACATTAGGCAAGTCAGTCTATCAGTTTCATCCTTCCGCAGTGTTTCTTTAGGATCTGCGTCAAGCTGTCCTGGTACAATAGCCGGGAACAGAAGGCATTAAACTTTACATTTACATACTGTGAGCACACTTAGGTGGCCAGGGGTAAAAGAAAGACAATGAAAAAAGGATATGAAATCTGTATCCTTGAGCATCAGCTGAAGAAAGATACAGAGTTCTAGACCAGTATTAAATCAAGCCTGTGTGTGTGTGTCCTGGGCTCACTTTGAAAGACATGTCAAAAATCCAAACCAAATCATTTCCAGATTCTCAACACTAATAAATGTTCAGAGCCTATCAGTTGGATCAGCTGTCGGAGAGACAGAGGGTTCCAGTCCACAGAGTCCTAGCTAATACAAAAAGACATCTTTGAATAAATAAGCAAATAAAAGAATGGATGAATGACATTACAAGTGAATGTGGAAGAGACTGAAGAAACGGTATGGTAACTAGCCCCTCAGCAGTTTTGTTCCCACTTGACTAAATATCTTTCTGTATCAGAAACTGGGACATACAGTAACTATACACCTTAGTACAGCCCAGAAAGCGACAGTCACCCAGCTCTCTTTCTTAGTTTGTCACTCTTCAGTGGGAAGGCTAAAAAGTAGAAAGTGTCTAGTGCATTTAGAAAGTTGCATAAAGTACTGTATGAAATATTATTCCTTCAAATTATTAAAGCCACAAGATTTCCCTTAGACAGTGTACAAACCTGCAGTATATTGTTTCCATTAATACTTTTGGAAAGCCTGTGATTTAAGAAAAAACCTTGGAAAGCATACCACCATCCAGGGAAGCTTTTTCTTTTACTCTTAATAGTTTCTTGAAGGCTTTGCCTATTTGTTACAATTTAAATGGTACATACCAAGATAATACCTCTTCAATATGAGGACACACTAAGTCCTAAATCATGCACTATTTTAACACATTAGTCAAGAGCTCTTAATAAAATATCTCATGTATGGATTATCTTCCTTATTTTGGGCTACCTTCCCAGCCATTTGTTTAGTCTTTAACATACAACAAACTTCAGTAAGTGGTTTCCTATGTAACAATATTTATAGGGTAGTATAATCCCACATTGTTTCAAAGCACTTCACTAGACTTTCACTCCACTTCACTCTGCTTACAGTGAAGGTTCACTATGCTCCCTTCGAGTGCAACAACTGTCAACAGATTAGTGCTTAGAAGCTGCATTCTGAAACAGCTATCACCACAATCCTCTACTTGTGTTGAGTGGGTGGGAAGAAAAGCAGTCTCCACTACCCCATGAGGAAAGCATTCAGACTGAATCCCTGGTTCCTGACCTTTCTACATCTATATACTGCAGAATAACAAAGCTCCTTTTCTTCCTAAACAACATCTCCTCCACTCCAAAAAATGGGCTAGCTCCACGTGCAACTGCAACAGTGAAGAAAGTCCGAACTTCACTGCTGAAATGAGGAGAGTGAGGGAGAAGAGAAGTCTTCTTCTAGCTAGGTCCTCTCCTCTCCTGGCTATTGCAAGTGAAAGTACTACATGTACCAATAAAATATGTAAATTCCAACAACATTTAAGTTTGTTTTATTTTTAATAGTCCCAGGTTCTGCCATTATGTGGAAGTGATACCATATGAATATCAAGCTCAGACAATTTGTGCAATTGGCTTTTGTTTACATTTTAATTTATCAAAATAGTGAACTTGGAAAATAAACTTTCCTAAGTAATCTTCAGAGCGCTCCTTCAATAAATACATTCCCAGATCTGTGCATATTTACAGACACACCTCATCCCCTGAAATCCCTTTGAAATCTAGTAAGAGTTACACCTGCTTCTGGACAGTGGACAGATCAATTGGCATTTTAGTTTTTCCATCCTTCATTGTATGAATAGTATATTGTTAAACAGTATTAAATTCTTCAATTGAAGACACTGACTGCATGACCAAAGAACGCACGATTCTTTGGTCACCATATTTCTTCCCACAGAATTAGTCATACCTTATTGTACCCAATTCATAACCTCTTCAGGATGAAAAGCCAACCCTGCATTTCAGTCCCCTGCATCTCTGAGCTGAACATCAGCTAGGAAATAATGATAAGGAGTACTGACTATTTGCCACAAACATCAGAAGGCCCCAACTACCAAGATTTTGCCTGGGCTGAAGGTATAATGATTAGCTGTTGATGTCTCACTTATTTAGGTGAGACCTTTTAAGATACTGAGATCCTAGTATATTACTGATATAGCGGGAACATATCCTCTAAATTCCAAGATCTAGAACAACTTTGAGTGGGGAAGGGAGGAGAAAGAAAGAAGGGAAACCTGGCTCCTAATTGTGTAAAGGAGGACTTAAACAGCAGAGAAATTCTGGAATGGTTGCTCCTGTAACCTGAGGGTAGAGTGTAGGTGGTCCTAATGAAAGCGAGGTAGACAAGGCCTGCTGAGCTGAGGCTCCCTGTTGGAAACAGATGAAGAGCTGTGATTCTTGAAATACCTTCTGAGGCAACGGGACAATGGGCAACGAGACATCTGAACCAAAAGCTGTAGATGACCCTCCTGTCGGGGGAGGAGACTGGAAATCACCAGTGTCAGAGGAAGTCAGCTGTGATGAATCACTTGAGTATTCTGGACTTCCCTCTGGCCAGCTGTGTCTGATAGATCCTGTTCTGGGCACTGTTAGCTCGGGAACAAGGTAGTTGTACTGTTCCTCTGTCACAGGCTGGAGGCGACCATGCAACCCTGTTGCCTGAGTGGACTCCTCCTGATTAAAATCCATCGACCCCCGGCAGGTTCTGTAAATACGTTGAGGTAAGATACCCCCTTCTCCTGAAGCCGAATTTGCTGTGTGTACATGGAACTCAAAAACACAGCTTGTTCTGCCATCACCACTGTGAGTAAGCACAGCAGGTGCAGAATGAGGAACAAATACCTGGTGAAACTTCATCTGTGTGGAATCTGCACTTAATGGAGATGAAACACTGGACAATGGTGAAAGTGGGCTGATTCCAGAATCCAGCCTCAAGCTCTGTACATGTCTTGGCAGGAAGGTCTGCCCAGATTGGTAGTCATAAACAGAGTTCTGAAGAGGGCCACCTACCACTTGCTTCTGTTCAGGCACCTGTTTCAAGTACTCTTCAGTCCCATAGGAATTATATGCTACTGTATCGTAATGCTCTGGCAACTGTGGCTGGTAGCGCATGCCCACTAAGTAAACTGCTTCTTGAGGCATTCTATAGTGAGCATCCTCAGGAGGTGCTGAACTGACTTGAACGTGTAGGGGCTCTCCAGTGACCCTATGAGCTGTAGTGCCCAGCATAACGACTGCCTCTGGTGTCCAATTTGTGGGGCTACCACCAGGTGGAAATAAACTCTGGCCAGTTTTCAGCAAGGGCTGGAAGTGGCATGTTTGGGCTTCCAAGAAGGAGGTACTCTTGCGCCGCTGAGAAATGGTGACCTTCGGCGGGCAGATAGGTGGTGGCGAGAAAGACACTGACCGTTCATGAATGGTTGGGAAAAATATCTGTGAATCTGGGAACGTTGGTGTTCCCCCACACGGATGCACCAGAGACTGAGGCTGTATTGATATGAACAAGACAAGTAATTCATACATTTAGAAATGAAAGGACATGAACATGCACAGCTCACTACGCAGCTGTGTAGTAACCTTATAGAGTGACTACTCCAAGTTCATGATCAACAACACATACAATGCTTTGGAAATTACAAAAAAAGAAATATCCATTAAATACATCCATGGTGAACATGAATCATAGAATATCAGGGTTGGAAGGGACCTCAGGAGGTCATCTAGTCCAACCCCCTGCTCAAAGCAGGACCAATCCCCAACTAAATCATCCCATCCAGGGCTTATGACAGCATATAGAAGTATTTGCTTTTGTTAGAAGCTGCTTTTCCATAACAACGCCCTTCTTCTCATTCACGAAAGAATGAAACAGACTTACTTTCACGGTACCTGCAACTGCTTTAAGTTAAGCCTTTGAGTTACTGATCTGTGTGCAAGTTATACCTAAAGAACAAATTCTGAATTAGCTAGCAGTGAGGCAACAATCTCTTGATTTTGTGTTTACAAGGTCCACAAAAAAGGCAAGAAAGGGAGGAGAAGAGATCTTCAGTTTTTGGTTACTTAACTCAGATTATCTCCCATGAAGATATATTTTTGTTACCCTCTCAGAAACCATTCAGTACTTGTTACACGCTAAAAGGCAATGGAATGACCCTCCTAAGGTTGCAAGATTAAGCCATCTGTTAAGAGTCACTCATTATGTTGCATCATCTTTGGACTCAGTTTTTTTCAACTGCCCTTCCTATTTGTGGTACTCAATAGGCAAGCCATTAACACTCATTAGAATTGACTTGACTACTCCTGTATCTCCAATCTGAATAGACCTGTACTAAACCAGCAGTGACGTTCTCAAAAGCAAGTTACACACTTTCTGATTTAAGTGTTAGGTTAGGCTCATCCTGGCTTTTTTCCCCAAGGGTCAAAATGAAGGGTGAGGAAAGGTTGTACTGTAATTTGTAACATGATGCATTTTCACTATATATGACACTACTTATTTTCATTAGCACCTCATACTTTCTACACCAACAGTACTTACATATTTAATTTAATTCCTCTTGGGAGAACAGCAGCAACCGTGCAATCACTGACAACTACTACAGGCTATTGAAGTCAAAGAAATTGCCAAGAACTGCTTCCAATTGGCTAGAAGTTCAAGTCAGTTAGGAAGATCTGGTTCAAGGATAATTCAACAGCAGGGTAACAATCAAGAGCATCTATTTCCAAATGTTCAGTGAGATGCTTTCATCTCACTTTGCCCCAGCGTATTGAGCCATGATGCAATATTGCCTCTCTTTTAGGAGGATTCTACAAGAGCTATCAGCAACTGATTTCTCCATGACATTGTGATTGATTATAGTGAGCTCAAAGAATCAAACAGATCACTTAATTTCCCCTCTGGAAAAGCAGCAGCAAACTCCCATAGTGCACAATACAGTGTATAAGGACATGTCCTTTATACTCTATTCCTGTGTTCTGGAAATTGATTCCATATTCCCAAAGTTCCCCTTAAAAGGAAATATTTCCTCAAATTAAAGAATAAATTGAAGCCAAACACACTTCTAACTTCAAACAGAATCAATTACTCTAGAAAGAGCCTTCCATTCATGCCCTTAGTATCTAACATCTGCTCTAACAGAAGCAGTCTTTCCACCTCAAAACACAATATTCATATAGGAATCAATGGAAACTTAATTGTAACTTCCCTCCAGAATCAAACAGAAGGATGCTGAACTGTTTGCTACTCCTACTGATTTGTTTTAACATTATAAATCTAAAAGGTCACTGTCCCCACTAAAACAATCCTCTGGAGCAAACCAGCTGCTACTAATAAGTTTTAATACCTGGTCATATTTGACATTAACAATTTTATCCAGGACCTGAAAGAATGTCACTGACTGCCTAAAAGCAGAAGCAGGTGCACTAACCTTATGGGACAGACTAGATTGCAGATTCTCTCTTTATCTTCTGTGATACATTTAGTCCTTTCCCTAAAACTTTAATTGAACTTGGTGCCAACATTTCTTATTGGTTGTTACATAGATTCATAGATATTTAGGTCAGAAGGGACGATTATGATCATCTAGTCTGACCTCCTGCACAAAGCAGGCCACAGAATTTCACCCACCACTCCTGTGATAAGCATGGTGCTTCCCAAAGAGAAGGGATCAGCACTCTAGTTGCATAGGGCATAGGATTTTAAAAAAAAATCTGCTCCTCTTTACTTTTATTAAACCAAACCAGGATGTATTTAATGGTAACTTATCTTTGTGTGCCAGGAGGCGTACAGTAACACATACAGGAGTGACAAAGAGGGAAGGCAGGCTGGAGCGTCGGTGCTTGCGTGGAGAGGCAGAGTGCATGGGCAGGACATTCTCCAGTACTTTAGAAAGCTTTTCTGCAAAGGTTTCCTCAGGGGCAGTCCGAAAGTAGGAAGGAGAAAGAGGTGCACACAATGCTGGTGGTGGGGTAGAAGGAATACTGGGAGGGATGCAGGGCAGAGAGGGAACAGCAGAAAGATGGGGGACACAAACTGACATGCTACGACCACGTTGAGGCTAAGGAGGAAAACAAAATTAAGACATGAATGCTTTAAAAACGAAAAGTTGGACAACTGTAATGAGCTAACACAAAAAGTCACACATACATGATAAGACTAATGCTGATTGCTATGTATGCAAAGAGATATGAGAGAGTTTAATGAAGGCCAGCACACAGGGAACAGGAAGTGTGCACCTCTGAGGACTTGCTTGCCTTGGATTATTCAACAGTGAAGAGTGTTCCATTAATGCTCCTACCAAAAGCAATTTGTATGTGCACACGAAGAGCAGGGCTGACAGATAGGAGATATTTTCTCACTGTACACTCATTTCAGGAAGCTTTGAAACAGTATTTCCAGTACCAAGCAACTCTATACATGAAAGACCCTCGGTGCTTAATTCACAGCCTTCAGATGTCCACACTAGGTTGACTGGGGGAAGGCGTGTACGTCAGAGTCAGTGATACTTGTCTCTCCAGTCTTTCTGCTTGCACAAAACCTATTTCATTTTCTATGAAGGATTTTAGCTTCCTATACATATAACTGGACTGATATGGTAATAACTTGACTGAATCAAGTCCTAAATCTATCCTAAGAAATTAAGCATCATCCACAACATGAATTGTGGAGCAAAAAGTTAGAGTTTAATATTTGGAAAAAATTGCTTCTTTAATATTAGATTTATTGCATTTTCTAGAAGATGGCTTTGTTAAATAAAGAGCCAAGATTTTGTGATTTTGACACAACCCAGAAGCCATTAGGTCAAAATCTGACCCAATTAAATACTTGTAAAAAAGAAAGAAGTGGAAAGATGGAAGTGTTAGTATAGCAGCCAGCCCATAATTTCAAGATTTGTTCCTCTAGTCATTGAAATGTCTCACAATGAACTGCCCCTTTGCCTTCAAAGACAATTGAACTCAGAATGTAAAAAAATCCAGAAAAATCCAGATTGGTGGTTTTCTGGAGGCCTACCACTGATTTTAGCAAGATTTTTCAGATTAGTATCTGGACTGCTCAGAAGAATTGTTAGTGGGTTCCCTACTGTTACTCTAGCCATTCAATCTGGAAGCCAGGCATGTCAAGACTGGAATGTTTTCTCATCATAGCCACATCCTTGGATTGAAATATGGAAAAGTAAGAGAGTAAGCAAAGGACTACTTTAGACAGCTTAGAAGCTTAATTTGATTAAGAATCAACAGCGCCACAAACCTTCAGGTTAAGTGCCTTTGAAAAAGATGGAGAGGCCATTTATTCATCAATGCAATTGGTAAGTTTCTTCAAAGAGAAAGGCTGACACCACTAACAACTGCAATAAAATTCCCTGCATTAGATGCCAAAACAGAAACCTGAGGATTCCCAAGACTCAACAGAAAATGGTTTTGTATTCTCCAGATATGGTACCATTATTTGCCTCTGAGTTTGCAAATGAAGGAGCCAGCAATGACAGCTGAATGGAAATATAAATACTACAGCGGTGAGAGGCAGGATTTTTTTTTAAGAGCTCCTACAAAGTCAGCATTGAAAATGTATCAAGGGGGGAAAAAAGGGGTGCCAAATAAAGGGTAACAGATGAATAGTGGAAAAGGTATTTGTGGCCTTTGCAGACTTTCCAGGGAAAGGAATATGCATGGCAACTGACAAGCAACTCAACACAAGCTATAAATAAAATGGGAACACACAAACGTGGATCTCTCCAATCTGGAGTGCTTACATGCAGCATTCTATAATGGTTCAAAATTCTTACCTGTGACACCTGTAATCAAAGCCTTACAGAATATACATGTAGCAAGTTCATATTTATAGAGCAGCTCTCATTAAGTTATTCCAATACCTCTGTCTGTCCTTTCAAGAACTCTTGGTGCTTGGAACTTCCACACTTACTGTTAAGTGTAGCAGAAGCACAGCTATCCTGAGTGAGACTAAGCATAGACTTAAATGTGAGATAATACTCTCAGCTTAGGTTTGCATCAGTCAAGACTGATACTAATCCACCCATTTCACTCTAAATGCATGCCGGGGCGGGGGGGGGGGGGGAGGGAGGGACACGACACACGGGACGGGACACCCCAGATTATTTCCTGTTCATCCTAAGTGAAGTGCTGCATTTGAGAAGGTCTGCATACAGCCTGAAGTGTTTCACCTCCCAGATAGATTCTGCATTTGCATACAATATGCACAGGCTTGGCAGAATTCAAGCTGTATTTTTTTTATATAAATTTTGACATAATAGCAATGTATATTTTAAGCATTTTTATTATAGATTTAAATTGTCAGTTGTGCAAAACTATAGGCTTAAGCACTTTTCAATATTAATTTTATCAATTTAAATTTCAGAGTTGTGGAAAATTATGGCAGACAGATGTGAGATTCAAAAAGTTAAGCTTTATAACTATTATAACACAAACTGCCAATATCTCATGCCAAAACGTACAAAGTAAGTATCCCTAAATCAGGCTCAAGTTCTCAAGCAGCATTTTTCTTTGTTTGCCTATCTGTCAATTTTGATCATCTATGGAAATATTTTTTCATCATTTGCGTGTATGGTAAATCAACATTTACCAACAAAAATCTTATCCTTCCAAGCTTAAATATATACACTGCAGATTGAAAGGCAAGAGGAAAGTTTGCAACAAAAACAGACAAACAGAATGAAATAATCCATAGTGTTCTGTGTGCCTTTTGAGGTTTGTGCTTACCACTGTGGGTAGCTGATATCCTCCATGTTGTTGAGACTGCGCTTGGCCAACTGAAGCTGTGTACCCCTGGATTGTAGCTGTTGAAATAGTCTGTTCATGCTGGGAACCATAGGACACAGTTTGCTGGCTACTCACACATGATTCAGTATGAACAGATGATCCCTGCCCGCTGTCAACAGCCCCATCAGCTGCAGATAAAGACCACAAGACTTTAGTTTCAAAAACAGTACTGTGGACTCACAAGTTTTAGTCTTGCTTGAATATTAAAAGTCCAGACTTTCAAAAATGGGTGCCTAAAGTTAGGCTCTGAAATATATGTTGCTTGATTTTCCGAAGTGCTAAGCTCCCAGCAGTTCCTAAGTGAAGTCAGAGCTTACAAGTACTTTGCACTGTCAAAGTCAGGCCATTTATTCAGGTGTTTAAGTATGAATTTGGAAGTCTAACTTTAGGCAGCCTTCTGAAAATCTTGGCCCTAAAAACTTTAGTAACTGCATGTAAATAATGTCAGTCACACAACCTGCCCTGATTACAGGATGTCTTCCCACCTCCTCCAGGCTCCGCAACATGTCCTATATTGAACTAAGGTCTTCAGGGCAGGGTTTACTTTCATTGTGTCATCTACAGTACACTGGCAGTTTTAAAATATTTTATTAATTATTAAGAGGAAAACTGATCCAAAACAAAGATTCTCTTCCTCCACTATAGCAAGCCTATATATGGATATAACCCTGAGTATTCAGTCTCAGCGCTCCATCTCCAACTCTGAACTAAATTGATCCGTAGTATCAGGAGATGAGCGTGGAAAGCCACTGACAATCATTTCAACAGCTCCTTTACCTAGACAGAGTTATCAAAAAGTTATTCCCAACTAAATGTGGAAGTAAGAAATTTGCTTCAATTCTGCCTTGCTCTGGACCTCACCGGCTCTTTTGAAAATGTTATCAGGTCCTCTCTGGTAACTAGGGGTTCTTTAGTATTATTATTATTTTCAAAGAGGATGAACAGCTTCATTGCCTTGCACAAATAGGTGTATCTTTCAAGTCTGAGTATATCCAAAATAAAATCTTAATATCCAGGTGCCTATATAGGGCAAATGGTAACTTAGGTTTCTCTCATTTTAGTAGTGCATATATGGATGGGAGATCAACTAGCTTCTCACTATTTTCTCTTCCTCTTACAATCATATACTACTAGAGAGTTCCAGATATGAGAGCAAGAAATGAAGCAACAACTCATTACTTTGGATACCCCACTGTGGGCAGAATTATCAGCATCATGTAACCTGATTTTTCACTTGAAAGGGAAATCAGTAAGACTCCCCAGAAGGAAGGAAAGTAAAATTAAAGGAAGTGGGAGTACATCCTGAATGGCCTGAGGCAATATACTTACACAGAACAGATATGCCGGGCTGTTGATATTGCAGCTGTTGGTGCTGATCAGCCTCTGGCTCTTCAGGCTCTACTTGTGTGGACACTGATGCTGAAGTAGTGGGGATGGCAGTGATGCCAGTGGCAGATGGAGGGTGCTTTGCCCCTGCCTGGGTAGCATTTGTTTGTAGCTGCTGCTCCAACTGCTGCTTCTGACTGATTTCTTCCTGCTTTCTTTTTTCCTGCTCTTCTCGCACCAACTGACGCTGCTCTCGCTTTCGCTTGATCAGAGACACTCTGTCCTTGATTGCTTTGGCCATTGTCTTGTGATCCCCTTCACAGACATACCCTGACTCCACCTAAAGCAAGACACATGGATGTTCACAGAAGTCATATTACCAAGCAATGGTAATATCACATCTTGCCACAGCAATACAAGTACAGCTCTGCTGTATAATCTTCAACTTCCCCGTCTCCTCTGAAGGTTAGCTCCAAACACAACCAATCCCTCACCCCCTTACATCAGCCAGGGCAATAAAAGGATGGCAGGTTACACCCTAACCTCAGAAGAAAGTGTGTCAGTTGATCTAAAAACACTTACAAATGCCCCAAAAGGGCACAAGAGCCCTTACCATTTCTTGTGCTACATCCTCTGGGACATCTCTCTCCAAGTCAAAGGAAAACTCTATTGCCTCATTGTCCTTGTATTTGCCCTTAAGCTTTTTGATATCCTCAATTCGTAACCAGAGCTTGATGGCAATCTTCTCTCCATCATCTTCCTCTGCTAGTTCTACCCGCACACCAGTCTCTTCTTGGAAGAAAGCATGGTTCAAAAGGTCCTTGATAGCATATCTACACATACCAGGGTAGAGAAGTGGAAAAGGAGAGAAGATACACAATAATTAGGTTTTGACAAAATCAGCAAGGAACATCATCTTCCTTGAATGGTGATCCCAAAAAGGTTACTCTCAGCTTTTCATACTCCTCCCATTAACTCCTCTGTTTGTTTTGTGGGATGTGGGAGGGGGGATTAAATCACTGTTTCAATTTTGCTTTTCCAGTGCCAATTTTTGAAACTTTTTAAGATGCAATCAAAGATTAACCCCAAGATGATGCAAAAGCATGCAACAGTCAGTGGCTTAAAATTCACTTGCATCTCAACTACAAATACCTAATCCTAGCAGCACAACATCATGTTAATTACTTAAAATAATGGACAGCATGTCATAAAAACTCTTGAAACTGTATGGCTTTTTGAAGGTTAAAGTACCATAATGCATCTGTTACTCCACATATTGGGCACAGTGGACACTACCATTTAAATAAACTAGTCCGTATTCTATTCAAGATGGTCTCCAAACCCTCGACCAGTCATCTCCGCACTGGTTACCCAACTGTCTCATTCCATTTGAGATCTGTATTTATTTCTGACAGCCCTGGCAACGAATCAGTGACCAACGATCTCCATCATCCCTCTCAGCACAAGTAGTAACATTACCAATGCTGGAGAGAGCTTCACCTATCTTCCTTCCCACAACTGGCAGATGCCAGTGACACCAGGCCTCAGCGACTAAGTGGAAGGGAGATGGGTATTTGATGAAAGGAATAATGCTCCACTTCACACTTCCTTTTACCTAGGTTTAATTATGGTCTTATGCCCTAAATTCAGGCCTTCAACTTTAGTGCTATTTGGGAAGCACTGGTGCAGATTATATTCCAAACAATACATCCCTGCTGAGTACAAATGGTGATGTCAAACTGTACAGGCACAGTGAGATAAAGCATCAATGTTCTCTACTACAAAGAGTGACTGGGTTTGAACACAGTTGTGAATAATCAAATCAGCTAACTCAATGTGATCAGTATAAAATAGTCCAAATCACACTCAGCATCATGTCAGTCATGACCGCTCTCAAGACTTCAACATTTTATCAGAAGTATATGTACAACACTATCTGGAAAGTTTCCAATACATAGTATCTGAAGCCTTATAGGACTATTCCAGTGCCTTATTCTGTGCTGAAATACAACTGTCTGGGACCCATAGAAGGAGAGCTTACCTTTCATCTTTGTTTTGTCGGATGCATCCCTCAATGATCTCCTTCACTTCAGGAATTGCTACTTTATCAAAGCTAGCTGGCTTGACTCCCTGAAACATACAGAAGTACCAGTGGGGATACAGCAACAAGGAAGCCCACTAATTCATTTATAATGAAGTTTAAGAATTGCAGAAACCACTTTCATATTAACACAGACCCATATTCTGTATATACAGGGCCAAGTTCATATCCCCGGTGTGAACTACAAAGATCAATCTGGCACAGGATATCTTGTTCCTCAATCATTTATTACTGATCTTTCAAAAACAGATTCGTCCTTTTTCTCTACCAGACATCCCCTATGTAGTTTGAGGGCTTTAGCAGTTATGTGCTACTCAGCCATTTTAAACTTTAGAAGAATTTGTTGGCTAGAGGGTCACATGTCATCTCAGCAGGGAGCGTCTTCTGTGCAGCTCCAGTGCACTAACCCACATGATTACCTGAATACACTCAGCAAAGAGTTGTTGCTTCCTCGAATTGTTCCAAATTATGGTCATGCAGAAAGATTTAGGCCTAGATTCATCATATAGGAAAGAATTCAGCTATATTGACAATCTGTCTGGATGGCTATGTAAATTGCTCAGTGTCCTAGACTGAGATTGATTGGGGGGGGACTTCCCTTTTCCTCAGCCTCTCAGTCAAAAATAAATCTGAAAAGGCAGCAGGACAGTCTGACAGAACAAACAGATGTTAAGATTACACAGGCAGCTCTAACGGGCAACACTTCACAGAGTTTTAGCAACACAAGGGCATACTCCTGAGAAAGAGTAAGCAAAATCACTTCTTACAGCACCTTTTCCATAAGGATCCCATGGAAGCCAGTGCAGATATATATGGGGCTAAATTCCCTTATTTACATGTGACCAACACCCCCACTGATTTTGGTGGGAGCTGTGCACACATTAAGGAAAGCAGAATTGGGCCCACAGAACTTCACTTTATTCAGTCTTCATCTCAACTTAATATTAAAGATGGCAACACATTGAAAGAGGAAGCAGCTAATTCTGTTTATTCATAGTTTTGGTTATCTAAGGTCTCAGTTTGCAGCCAAGTAAACTATAAACTTAAATTCAGCTAACAGATCTGTTACTTATGGTGTCGATCACTGCACTATCTGTATACCCGAAGTATCAGCCTGCACCTCTGGCGGATCACAATGAAACCAAGCACAGAGCCAGCCCTGAAGTAGCAGTCAAGGAACAGGGCTATATGAGGTACTTCAAACCTTCATGGTTTGGTGTCCTGAGCACCTAGAGACATTCTCCCTGTATGATATATCAGCTAGGGCAAAGGTTCTCAACCTAGTGGTTACAACATACCACTCTGCCCTGCGTAATGGGAGGGAGGTCATAGGGAAAAGGTTGAGAGCCACTGAACTAAAATTCAGGCTAACAGTCCCTCATTTAAATGGAAGGGGGCTAACTTCATGATATTTTCAGTAGATTTCCTACACTAAATTCCTTCCTCTATTGGTTTGAGGACCTTCCAGGCACGCTGCACTGCCTATTTTCTCTCCCAGGCGAGGGACAAGTGGGTTCCAACAGGGATAAATGAGTGAGAGGGAAGCACTGGAGTCCAGATTTCTAATGCCTTCTATTGTTATTAGTTGTAGTTTTAGTATGCATTGTTCATGCATCCAGCAAAATGGAGAGGTGTGTTTAATAACCAAAAATTAAGCATGCTGGATGTATTTCACACAAAAAATCCAAACATCTGGTTGATTCTATTCTGGAGGGCCTGTTTCCTTACTCTAAACTTTGCTCTAGCTTACAGATCCCTGCAACTAAGATTCATAGAGTTGAAGAGTATAGTGTGATAAAAGTAAGCCGTGGAGCAGGGCCTCTCAGTGAACATTAAGAATGCTTTTTTAAAAGTTTTTTTGAAAATGAGAACTTTATTAGAGGCCAATGGCCCAGCTGATAAGATAGAAGTAAACTTGATACAGCAACGCGGGCACGTATAATCTCCCAGTTTTCCAGCAAGACGTTAGCAAGATTGTACTGCATTGCAATAGATCTTAAAATTATCTTAATCTTTAACTTTCTCCCCAAATTCCTGGTTCTTTTTTCATCTCTAATCATCTTACTGCTTAAAGTACCAACAATTAGCAAAGCTAAATTCTTTAAATATAGTCACTTTCCAAGCTTAAATTGAGGCCAGGTATTCAAACTTCTAAGGTGGTTACTTTGGCTACATGATCCATTGTGTAATTTATATCTCAGTTTCCCAGCCAGAGATCAGGTATTTCGAGCACAGGGAGCTCCTAAGGTTATGTCTACACTGCAACTGGTAGTGCGCCTCCCAGCCCAGATAGATGGACACACGACAATGGCAGTCAGACATTGTGGCACAGATTAATCATTCGAGTACAGACTCGGGGGAGGGGGGTAGTGAGTGTCAGGCAGATTTATACTCTGCAGCTATCCTGTTCCACCACCCATGCCACAACAGTCACTGCTATTTTTAGCACACTAGCTCCAACAGAGCTAGTGTGCCTCTCTCTACCCGAGCTGAGAGGCGCACTCCCAGCTGCATCATAAATTACTAGAGTCCTGAAAGTAGCAACAGCCTGCATATACCCCAATTTACATCACCGACAACAGCAACAGAGGTAAGATGTCAGTTAAGGATCTTTGGGAAAATCTCATTTCAGAAAAGCAAAGAAATGAAATATAAAATGGCTGGCACAGCTGAACATAAGCTTAAGGAAATAAATAAGAGTTTCCTGTTCATGGTACTTTATTCTATGCTCCATCCTTGTAACTGCAACAATCTTGTAAGTGATGAGGAAGTTAATAAGGGGGTCCCAGAACTACAAACGTTACCAGGTTAACAACTGAAAAATACTCCTGGATATTTAACATTAAGAGATTTCAAGTACCTTTACTATTACCCACTGCCTTAAGCTGTAATCAGTCAGGAAGTTCCTTCTCAATCAAAGGCCTGACTGCACACAACATAATTTCTAAACATACTGTAACAAGGGAGAAATGAGGAAAGAGGTCCTGTGCTTCAAGTGACCTTGGTGTGTCCTGTGTGCAACTATACTCTCTTTCAACAGGCCCTAGAAAGCTGAAGACACTCAAGGACATACTTTATCAGTTTCTTGGCTCAAGCAGTTCATATTAACTAGTTGAGGGTATGCATGGTGTCATGTATTTAGAAGCACAGTTCCCACCTCTTCGCCTTCTCCAAGCCCATTAGGAAGAATCAGCAGTGAGGACAAGCCAATGCATTTTTTTAGAAACTATGGGTTCCCACTCCTGAGTGGCAATGTTCAGTTACAACAGCACTGAATACCTGCCACGACTTTTGTGGTTTACCGGTGTTTGTTACAAAGAATCATGGGCTCTTACAAATGGCAGATTTAAGGAACTGACATATACTTGTTACAGATACCTGTTCTAGACCTGTTTAATACAAAAAATTAGTCTTTTGGGTGTACACTCAGAGCATTTAAATACTTCCGTGCATTGTTAACGTGCCTATAAACATGATACCCAGGCACTAATAGTCAGGTCTTTAGCTATTAACACATAATAGACCAAGCTGTAATACAGAAGCTATCGAGATTAGCTCAGAAATCAACACAAGAGCCAGCTGATGTATAATTAGAAGGGCTTTGATGAGGCAGATAGAGTGGATATTTTAACTGGTCAAAAATGAAGTTCGCTACTCTTGTTTTACAATCTGCATCCACATTTACAACAAAAGCAAGATCACTAGTTGAATATTTTATACATCTTTCAGAGTAAATTTGTGAATTTATCAAATCAAATAGAAAGGGTGCTTTAAAATCCAGCAGCTTTCTCTAATGTCCTTGAACAAATCAAAACAAGCTAACATAGGTAACTGAACAAACTCCAGAACATTCTTTCAAAATAGTTTTGAAAACCAAGAAGAGAAACAACCTTGTTGTACTCTGCATGATTAGTATCACTTTGTTCAGATTCAGATTACATCTAGAAAATTGTAGCAATAAATACTTAATTATCTTCCCTTACCAATTCAGAAGTCACTTTTATGTTTTCTTATGGAGCAAATAGTCAATGCTAAATGATTCTAACACCAAATTAAGCTAAAAGTAGTGCAAACAGGATAGATAAAAATTACATATCATGAATTAGGATGGTTCTGTTTGGATTTTGAATAATATTTAACTTACTTAGCACTATTTTGTTACTTGCAACTGAAGCACCAAACAAAAAGTTATCTGTGCAAAACCATAAGCTATGTAAAGAAATGTTTTCAATAAGATATTCCTGAAGATCAATTTTAAAAGTTCATAGGAGCTGCAAACTTCACTCACCCTCAGTTTCTGTACAGCAACAATCTGTATGACAGTATAAGAGTTTTGTTATAATTATTCAGAAGAGAACAAATCACCTCTATGCCAGGCACAAACAAAGTAAGGTGAGAAATAGCCTGAGTTTTCATTATTCCATTGTATTTGCTGTTCCCAAAACTCCTACCCCCCACATAAGACATTTAAGCTTTTCCTAAATACAAAATCAGGTTTCCCACTAACTGGAACCAAAGCACAGTTTATGTTAAGTCAGACCAGTCCAGCAGACTTGTTCCTGAAGGGCTCCTGCTGCAATTGCAACATTCTTTACTTGAGCTACATGTGCCTATCCAGTACAGTAGAAATTCCTACCCACCTCTTTAGCACTGTCCTTGTGAGAGCAGCAGCAACAGTGGGAATTAATGATGACAAACACCGGACAAATCTCTCTCTTTGAAAAATCCATCAGGAGAGAGAGAGACAGAGACAGACAGACAGACACTAAAAATGGGATGAAGGTAAAAAATATTCCAATACGAGAGTCTGTTAGGTATAGACTTAGCGCACAGCAGAAGGAAAGCAGACATCAAAATTAAAGGGGAGCATGGTTTCTTGTTTCACGCCACTTGTGCTTCCCTTAGTCCTGTACATGAGTTTGCAGAAATCAGAGCTCTGTTCTGATGGCTGCTTGCTCCATTCCAGACCCCAGAACAGAAACGCTAAATGCTCAACAGCAGGTAAGCTTACTCAAGTGCTCCTCCTCCT